GTTTTTAGTTTGTTTCAAGCAAAAAAAAATTTAAAAAATTTCAAAATTTTTGAACTTTTTTGAAGGTCTGGTGTCATGGATTTTTCCAAAAATCACTAAGTCCTTATTTTCATAATATCAGCATAGAATTCACTGTAACTACCCAAAATGGTGTTCGCAATGTATATTAAGGGTTTTTAGTTTGTTTCAAGCAAAAAAAAATTTAAAAAATTTCAAAATTTTTGAACTTTTTTGAAGGTCTGGTGTCATGGATTTTTCCAAAAATCACTAAGTCCTTATTTTCATAATATCAGCATAGAATTCACTGTAACTACCCAAAATGGTGTTCGCAATGTATATTAAGGGTTTTTAGTTTGTTTCAAGCAAAAAAAAATTTAAAAAATTTCAAAATTTTTGAACTTTTTTGAAGGTCTGGTGTCATGGATTTTTCCAAAAATCACTAAGTCCTTATTTTCATAATATCAGCATAGAATTCACTGTAACTACCCAAAATGGTGTTCGCAATGTATATTAAGGGTTTTTAGTTTGTTTCAAGCAAAAAAAAATTTAAAAAATTTCAAAATTTTTGAACTTTTTTGAAGGTCTGGTGTCATGGATTTTTCCAAAAATCACTAAGTCCTTATTTTCATAATATCAGCATAGAATTCACTGTAACTACTCAAAATGGTGTTCGCAATGTACATTAAGGGTTTTTAGTTTGTTTCAAGCAAAAAAAAATTTTTGAACTTTTTTGAAGGTCTGGTGTCATGGATTTTTCCAAAAATCACTAAGCCCTTATTTTCAAAATATAAGCAAAAATTTCACCGAAACTACCTAAAATGGTGTTTGGAATGTGCATTAAGGCTTTTTAAGTCTTTTCGAGTAAGTAGAGTTGTTTTGAAATATTTCAAAGTTTTTGAATTTTTTTCTGGTCTGGATTTTTTCAAGTCTGGTCATGGATTTTTTCAAAAATCACTGAGTCCTTATTTTCAAAATATAGGCATAAAATTCACTGAAGCTACCCAAAATGGTCTTCAGAACGTACATGGGCTGTGGTGTAATCTTTCTCATGCGACTAAGAAAGGTAGCATCGATAGATTTCAGATTTACTTTTTAGAGAACGTTGGTTTCAGATCTAGATTGCCAAAGAAAGACATTTCAACACTTTCATACTGTGCAAATGTTTTTCATCTCAGATCGGATATGAACATTGTGGTTTAATCGGATTTTATGGGGATTTTTTTGTGTTGAAACTTTTTGTAAAGCAACAGTCTTTATACTTTTCAGTACTGATTTTCATCAGTGTTTATTGCCTATTTGCAGCCTCTTTTCCAGCCATAAGATTATTATCTACTTTTTTGTTTAAGAAGAATATCTACTTGTTTTAAGTGTTTAATTTATTCCAGCATGAATCGATTTGAGCAAGGAATTCATAGATTTTTCAGTTTAATTGATCTCCCACCAACCATGCCTGTTCTTCTGCAACGTTGGCTCCGACAAAAGGCAACACGAAATTCAGAAAGCCGATTAAACTTCAGGTGAATATCTCTGTAGTTTAGTTTTTACACTTACAGGAGTGTTATGGCAGCGAGATTTTTAATAGCCGGGTTATTGGCTCTCTCACTTCTACAAGCTACTTTTTCCAATTTAGTTTTTAATTTTCTATGGGACAGATTCTCATTGTGAACAGGTGCTCTCATAATCTCAATCTGACAGAGCCTTAAGATTTTCAGCTTTTGTTTTGTATCATCTTTGGAGAGCTCTGTCTAATAATTCCCTGATCTGGCACGTGACTAATACGAAATCTAGCATTTTTATACCTCTAATGTCAATCCTAAAATAGAATACATTGTCTTATAATCCAATCACTCTCCTATGTAACGCTGATAGTCAAATTACTTACAGTTTCGGAAATGTTTTAAGATCTTCTCAGTTCACAATAAAAACAGAGAATGGCGAATTTCTGAATATTGCTTGATCCATTTTTAGGGAAATTGAAAACTGAAGCTCCTGGATAAGTGATGTTTACAGAAGATCTAGAATCGATCTTGAAAAGGTAGACATTAAATTGGATATGCCAGGTTTGTCGTTATTGTGAATCATGTTCATTTTGTTTTCAAAATTTGAAGTTCATTTTTTGTCGATGCCAAAGTTCGAACCATTCAATTTTGTATCTTTATTTCGTTATTCGTTAACGGGTGGGTAAGAGTTTTTTCATCATCTATCTGCTTAGGCTCAATGACACCTTTTTTATAAAGTTGCCTGGTGCTGCCATTAAGGTGCTCAAAAACATGTTTTGATAATGTTGCTAAACCCTCCAAATAAAGTCACACTCAATTTTCTCAGTATCTTCTGTGCCATTTTGGTTTTTACTGAAAAATATACCAAAAAAATTTCAAAACTTTTTGTAATTCTAGGCATCAAATGAACGATTTCCAGTTTGCTTTAAGGAATTGAGTGTATTTAAGAATGTGTCTTCTTGATCAAATCATTTATATCATAGTCCCTTAAATTCGAAGATTAACCGATTCGAAAGAAACCTTTTATTGTTACACACAAAGCCATCATTTTATGGACAGTTAAGCCAATATGCCTGAAATGTGTTTCATAAATTTGTTTAAGTTCACTGGTCGTTTGTGTCAAGACATGATCTAAGCCTTTGAAAACCGATTAGCGACCCTTCATATTACATAATTTCATTGTTTTTTTCACAGATCTTGGGCTGTTTCTGTCTGCTCCTTTCAGTGATTCAGCCGACATTTAAATGTAATAATTTTATGTTACATACTTTCGTAATATAATACGTTGATACTATTGATGCTGATGAAATAAAGACTTAAGAATTCACAATCTTTCTGGCGTTGTTTGTTCCCTTTCAAAGAAGGCGGCTTGGTCCCGTGCTTTCTGTAGAAATATGCTGAGAAATCGCTTGATCGTGGTGAATTTTATACACATATTGTACATAAAGCAAATTAGGTGTCATAATAAGCACCTAGGCCTAAGCAAAAGTTCCTATGGTCCATAGGCTCTATGTTTGGTGCACCCTAGGTAATACTGCGCCACTGCTTACCCTTGTGTCTAATGCGGCCTTAATGTCATATTTGGTAAATTGCTACTACCTTCCTTCTCCCCTCCCTCGTTTGAAAATAGAAACCCTGCGCTATTATGACATAAGGTATTCTTTTCTTTGCAGCTGGGCTGAAGACCTTTGGTTGCATCACTTTCTGCCACAAGTTGAGAGATGTGTGGAGTAGCAGGTTGCCGAGACAACCAATTCTCAGCAGAAAGGAGCTTTTTTGCCGGGCTGCCCTTGCAAATTAGATATCGGCTAGGTTAGGATTAAATTTTTAAATATTTGAATCGACTCTACTAGACCTAAAGATGTCTGACCTGGAGGAATGTACTCATATTCCAGAGATTTTGTCGGTGGTCGAAACAAGGAGATTTCACGATACCCTCGCATGCCTAAAATTTCCGTAAATGCTATCATCTAAAAGAGGGTCTTAGAAATTTCAAAGAAGAAATGACCTGTCGTTCTCTGATTTCCTTGGTACAAAGCAACTCCTGTTTCGGATGCCACGGAGAAGGAAAGCAAACCGAATTCAAAGATGCATTGCAAAGAATATCTTGGGATTGTCAGATGAGAATTTGTAAAAATCTAAGGTAAGACGTTTATACTAACCTGTAGAAACCAGTAGCTGAAGTTGCTATCAATTTTCAAAGAAAACTTTTCATCTGTTGATATATGTATCCACTTTGTTATTTGTAAGCTATTTTGATATCTTGTACAATTTTACGTAGGAATTGCTTGAGTGTCTATTTCTCAGATTATTCAAATCAATCCTTACTCACTTAATAACATTTTAGGATAGGGGGGCTCCCTCCTCGATTAGTTCACCTATTGAGGAGGCTCCTCTTTTAAGTATTTCCTTGCTTACAATTCATTTGTTCCTCTTTCAGTAACAGTAACTTGTCCTCATTCAGTAACATGACTTATATCTTTGTAGTTTTTTTTTCTTTTTCTGTCTGTATTGTCAATAATATTCTTGAATTGTATGTAATGGAATTTAAAATCTGAACAAAACTGAACTGAACTGAATACGTAGAATAACAGACGCATATGTTAATCTCTTTTACGTGAGAACGAGCAGTGATGACTAGGCCAGCTGTTCATGAAACTGCCCAAATTTCAAGCTAGATTGGTCTAAATTTGATTCTAAACTATTAATGGGCAGAATTTGGAAAGAAATTATATTTTCCTGGGAAACAATATAGAAAGAGTATAACAAATTTATTGTTTTTGATAACATAAGATAATGATATATCCTGCCATGAAAGGTATATCCCGAACTAGAATGTTTTGCAGGAAAATAGCCTCAATAATTATTTACGTTACAATGATTTTACAAACAATGTTTAACAGGTCATGGCAAAAAATTGAAAAACCTGTGTCAGCGTTGCTCACAATTAGATTGTTCTTCAATTGCTCTAAAACTTTGTCAAGGTTTGACGTTTGTACCTTAACAAATTGGTTCTCGTAAAAAAACAAGTAGGCTTTAGGAAAAGCCAGCTATTATGTAAAACAAATAAAATCAGAATATTAACTTCAAGATTTTTTGGCAAGAGAGCCGTTAGGTTTGGTAAAACAAACAAATTTGAGTCTAGAAATAGCTAATTTAATGAGCTTTAAGATCCTTTTTTCTGAATAAAAACTTTTCACAATTTCATTTTAGAGTTACAAACAAAAAAATGGATCACTATAGAAACAAAATGAACCAATTTTGACGTCAGAAATCATTTTTATGAAAATTTCTAAACAATTTTTTTTGAAAGACTTTCGTCTAAAAATAACTCGAAAATTCGGATGGAAACAAATTGAAAAGCTGATCAAAATCAAATCACCTTAAAACAAAAGTAGTGAAAATAGATGACTAGAAAAGATGCATGCAACTACTGTGGCAGTAAAGCTATGTTGATAAAGATTTTTTCCTGGTTCGTTGAATTTACATCTAGAATGGAAGTCGTATTTTTAAAAGAAACTACGACATTTTAAAAGTAGTGATTTTTGCTAAAAAGGCAAGGCTAAAGGCTTAGAAAAATAGTCAAATTTTTCACAATTTTTATTCACTTAAAATCTGCTTAGTTTGCCTTTTAAATATCATCAGAAAAAACATGAATTGAACTTTTTTTAGGAATCAAAGTGATTTTTTTTGAAAAACAACTATCTTTTAGACGGGTTAATTATTGATCAAAAAGTAAGGATATTGGCTAAAAATCGTTTTCAAGGAAATTTTAAGAATTTATATCATTAGAGGCTGTATTTAGCCTTAAAAGAAGTACTTTTCTTAGAAAACAACAGTATTTTAGAACGATATAATAGATGGATCGGTCTTTCTAAAGATTTGCATTCCTAAAAACTAATCAATGTGCTTTTTGGTCATTAGAATAACCAGACATTTACTTTTTAGATCTCCAATAAAAGTATTTTTTTCGAAAAAAACAACAAAAAATTGGATGGATCAATCTTGGTAACGATACATAATTAAGCAAATCGATAAATTTTTCAAAACTTTTTGTAATAGAAACTAGTTTATTTGCTTTAATACCATTAGAACAGAAATCAATTAAATAGAGTTCTCCAAAAAATTTTTTTCCTGAAAACAACGATATAATGGATGGATTAGTTTTGGCAAAAAGTGCGGCTAATAGACCCAGGAAAATCATCAAAATATTCCAAAAATCTTTTTTCAAAAAACTTTTCAGTTTGCTTTATTATGATAAGAATAAACAGAAAATAACTTTAGTCTTTGATCTAATTAGAATTACCGTTGTTAAATTGCTTTGATCTAATTAGAATTACCAGAAATTATCTTTAGTTCTTGAATAAATATCATTTTTTCTAAAAAAACAACGATATCGTGGGTGGATCAGTTTTGGCACAAAAATAAGGCCATAAGCTTAGGAAAATCACCAAATTTTTCCAAAAAATTTTTTTTCTAAAAACATGTTAATTTACTTTAATATAATTAGAATAAATAGAAATTATCTTTAGTTCTTGTATAAATATCCTTTTCTTGGAAAAACAACGATTTTATGCATGGATTAGTTTTGGCAAAAAAGTGCGGCTATAGACCCAGGAAAATCATCAAATTATTCCAAAAATCTTTTTTCAAAAAACTTTTTAGTTTGCTTTATTATGATTCGAATAAACAGAAAATAACTTTAGTTGTCGAATAAATATCTTGTTCTCGAGAAAACAATGATATAACACATAGGTCAGTTTCGGTAAAAAAGTAAGACTATAGGCTAAGGAAAATCGTCAAATTTTCTAAAAAGAATTTTTTCTAAAAACTTAATTATTTGCTTAACTATAATCAAAATAAAAATAAATTAGCTTTAGCTCTTCAATAAATATCATTTTTCCAAAAAACAACGATATAACACAGGTCAGTTTCGGTAAAAAAAGTAAGGCTAAAGGCTTCGGAAAATCATCAAATTTCTCCAAAGATCTTTTTTTCTAAATACTTTCTAATTTGCTTTTTATTATTAGAATAAACAGCCAATTACTTTAGTTCTTGAAGAAATATCCTGTTTCTGAGAAAACAACGATATAACATACATCAACAACAAAAATATAATAAATTTTCGTCGGATAAACTTCATCGAAGAAAATTTCATCAAAATATTTTTCCAAAATTTTGTCACGACGAAATTTTATGTAGTTAATGTAGGTCAGTTTGGGTAAAAAAGTAGGACAAAAATTTTCAAACAAATTGTTTTTATATAATCTTGTTAATTTGATTTAATCTAATTAGAATAAACAGGAATTAGCTAATTATCATGTATCCTGTTTCTGAGAAAACAACGATATAACATACATCAACAACAAAAATATAATAAATTTTCGTCGGATAAACTTCATCGAAGAAAATTTCATCAAAATATTTTTCCAAAATTTTGTCACGACGAAATTTTATGTAGTTAATGTAGGTCAGTTTGGGTAAAAAAGTAGGACAAAAATTTTCAAACAAATTGTTTTTATATAATCTTGTTAATTTGATTTAATCTAATTAGAATAAACAGGAATTAGCTAATTATCATGTATCCTGTTTCTGAGAAAACAACGATATAACATACATCAACAACAAAAATATAATAAATTTTCGTCGGATAAACTTCATCGAAGAAAATTTCATCAAAATATTTTTCCAAAATTTTGTCACGACGAAATTTTATGTAGTTAATGTAGGTCAGTTTGGGTGAAAAAGTAGGACAAAAATTTTCAAACAAATTGTTTTTATAATCTTGTTAATTTGATTTAATCTAATTAGAATAAACAGGAATTAGTTTTTTGTTCTTGGATAAATAGCTTTTTTGAAGAAAAAAAACGATAAAATGCATAGGTCAGTTTCGGTAAAAAAGTAAGACTATAGGCTTAAAAAAATCATCTAATTTTTCCAAAAAAAAAATCCTGGAAAGTTGTTAGTTTTCATTAACATAATTAGAATATACAGAAATTAACTTTGGTTCTAGAATAAAATCCTTTTTCAAAAAAGCAACGATAAAATAGATAGATCAGTTTCGGTAAAAATGTAACAAAAAACTAGTCAATTTGCTCTAAGATCATTAGACTAAAAAGAAACTAAACAAACTGCTTCAATGAAAATAATCGTTTTGAGAAAACATAGATATAATGCATGGAACAGTATTGGCAAAAAAGTAGGGCTATAGGTTTATGAAAATCATGAAAATTATCTATAAATCTTTTTCCTATAGACTTTATTTGCTTTTATATAATTAGAATTAAAAGAAATTAACTTTGGTTCTTGAATGAATATCACTTTCTTGAAAAGACCAACGATATAATTGATGGATCAGTCTTCGTAAAAAAGTAAGGTTTATTGACTTAGGAAAAACAAGGAAATGCTTCAAAAAATTTTTTCCTAAAAATTAGTTAATTTGCTTCGATCTAATTAGAATTACCAGAAATTAACTTTAGTTCTTGAATAAATATCATTTTCCCTAAAAAACAACGATATCGTGGATGGATCAGTTTTGATAAAAAAGTGAAACTATAGGCTTTGGAAAATCATCATTTTTTCTACAACAAAATTCTAGAAACTAGTTAATGTTGGATACATAACTTTAAAATAAACAGAAATTAAATTTAATTTTGGAGTAAAAGTCATTTTTTTCGAAAAAAACCAACGACATTATGGAAGCTTCAATCTTTGTAAAAAAAGAAAGGCAATAGGCTTAAAAAATGATCAAATTTTTCCAAATGTTTTTCTTCAAAAAACTATCAAAATGTGAGCCTTCCGGCTTGGGAAAATCGATAATTTTGGATCGGTATCTTTTTCATATTTCCAAAGACGTAATCACACGCTTGAAAGAAAAACTTTCTCTGCTCCATTTATAACTTCATTTGGTGTTTATACCTTTACAAAAGACTTAAATTATTTATTGCGTGTTATAAAAACATGACCTTAAATAGAATAAAATTCATGTTAAAATACATGGCTAACATTTACACTTTCATTTACCTTCCAATTATCATTTAGCGCGTCTGATTTTCGTTACAAAGTAGCCACTCACAGCAAAATAAACCGATGTAATAATGAACAAAGCAATATAACCGAGGCCAATACGACAACCATAGTGTTCGAAAGTGTCCAAAACGATTCCTCCAATCGGTGTTGCGATTGCTTGAGGCAGGACCAGTGCCTAGAAAAATACATTTAATTTGAAAAGAGCAAACACCATCAGGTCTACATCAATTGAGAAGCTTTGAGGGTGTATGACTGGGGCTTGACAAATCGTGTAACATCTGGGCTAGCTTTTAAAAGAAATTAGTAGCAAAGGCTCAACACAGCCAGGAACTAACGCTGCATTTTATCATGAAGAAAACACTCGTTTTTACAAGAACATACTTTATAAGAGCACCGGAGCCCCATTTCCAAAAAAAAAATAAGAAATGATGAAAAATGTGGAAAAAAACAATTTTATTAAACATTTTCTCCAATTGTTTGATTTTATTCACAAATTAACTTTTCTACTAAAAATGTCAGGCAAAACTGTTATTCAGTGGTCTTAGAAGCATTTGATAGTATGTAGCTGTATAAAAATCAATGTTGAAATAAGACAATATCAGGAAAAACAGAGATTCCAATATCCAAAAAATAAGAACATCCAGCCTCTACATAAATCATCTGGTTTATATAAAAAAGAGTGCAGCAATGTAGAATTTAAGTAAGTGTTATCTGAAGTTTTTATCTTCTGAAAATTGCATGTGTTTTTACGACTGGAATCTAATCAAGAGGAAGGATGCTTATCAAGGAGATCATTTTAACATACCTGATGCCAGACTGCTAAATCTTTCGCTTTGTCTTTCTCTTCCGGTAAAACATCCATAACCAAAGCGAAATCAACGGCAGAGTAGGCTCCGAAGCCGACACCTAAAAAGTGAGAAGAGCAGATTATATTATGATAGTAGCAACAATTTATATGTTTAATTACGATACAATAAGATCACCACTATTGGAAACCCGTGGAGTTACAAACATCAAATATATTCTGAATAGGGTTTAAGTTTGTGAATTTAACAGCATTTATCATATGTTCATATATGACAAAAATACAATTCATGGGCTAGATTTGATGCTTATATATAAGCTATAATTTCTCAATATAAAATAATATACTTGCAAAAACTCAGAATGACGTTTGACTTGTCTCTATGAATGGAAATTCTAAGTTCCACTGGCAAAATTTGCCTGACATTTCGTTCTTTGGAGACATCTACCTCTAACTCATATTATTTTTTTAACCGATCTAGCAAGATTTCTGTAGTAAAACTAGGCTTTGAGCTCAATCTTGTTCGGAAATTTCTGCGGCAGGCTACTGCACTTTTCAACAAAACCAAGAGCAGCTGGACAGAGTGTTGGTGAGAAAATGTCTTCAAAGATGCAGGCAGTATCTTCCTGGAACATGGTCGCCGCGCATTTATATGAAAATATCTTCGAGGGAGGTTGATAGAGAAATTTATGCAGTAAACAGATTTAAACTGCATTTTATCAACGTTCTTTACTTTGTCGGTTTTTAAGTCAGGGAAATTAAGGACAAATGTCTAGATCACAATAGTTTAAAAGCTAATAGAACAAGACATGCTTCAACTTCTGGTGCAAATATTTTCAAGGATACCGCATCAGAACTACTTTAGAGGGGTGCAAAAACAGAACTACTTAAGAGGCTTGACTGAGAACAAGACCATCTGCTTGACTAAAGACAAAACAACAAAGACACAAGAAGGCTTCAGAGGATCTTTTCAAATTAAGATGATGTCTCATTCAATGACCCTTTGAAATAATTCTACGTTGAGAAATTTAATGCAAAAAATAGAACAGAGACGTAGAGTTTTGAATTCTTCACAATCACGAGATTTATTCAATCAATCTTCATTTGTTACAGTTCCACTGTTAAAGTTCGACTGCTACTTATCCTACGCTAAATACCAGAGCAACCAATTGACAGATGTGTCAGTTTAGGACCTAAATAGCACTGTTGGAATTGAGTGTCTCTACACAGAGTGAGCTTCCTAACTAGCGTCGGGGAGTGGAATATCAAATATTACAATTGGAATAGATTTATTCGTATATACAAGCAAAAAACAAAATAGCTTAGGGAGTAGAATATGAAGTAAGATATGGCATTGAAAGCTTCTATTCGGGGTCCTGTTTACATTATCAAAGCCTTACCGAATGTCAGGAAAACGGGTACAGCTGCATAGAAAGCGTATTTTCCTTTGAGCCCACTGAGTATGAGCGAACAAATAGCCATCAGAACAGCTGGAATTAATAAAGAAAAAAATCGTTATTTTTATAAGCAAAAGCACTTTAAGTTTAACAATACCCTTGGTGGCTGGTCAGCCAGAATCAATAGAAATATTGTGAAAAAACAGGCGCTAATTTGCAGAAACGCAATAAAATGTCACAAATTTCGCCGGAAGCAGAAGAAACCTTTATGTTATTTTTGGGGGAAAGAAAGACAAACGACCCTCTTGCAAGACATTACAAGCACCCTCTTGCTCATCAGGGCTCCATTCAATAGCTTCTGGATACTTCATTCAATAAAGATTCATTCTATCATCTCTTAAGCCTGATTTACACGAGACGAATTTTTTCGTGCGAAGCAAATTTTTCGCCGCGAGTGCGCGAAAAATAAGCTCAAAGGTAGAGATTAGAAAATTCGCAGCGAATAATTCGCAGCGAAAAAGTAGCAACCATTCCTACTTTTTCGCTGCAAAATTTTTCGCCTTGAAAAATAAACCAATCAGAACAGCATTTGAAGACACCTGAATTCTGTTTTGTTTTCAGATGGCCTACGTCTTTCCGTATTCTTTTTCTCAGACACTCTCGCCTTTAAAACGTCAATAAAATTAGTTGGTAATTATTCATTTCCTGTTCCTCGTACATAATCCATGTAAGTGGAGTCATATCAGATTATTATTCAAACATTTGAATTTCAAATTGACGAAAATTGGCTTGAAAGTTTCATCGTTCTACCAATATGTCGGAAATAAATAATTAGGCAAGAATTTCTTCAAATTGCTGATTTTTCGGCTGCTTTTTGGCCTGCTCAACAGCAACAGTTTTAAGAAGATGCACTAACAGGATCTCACATGCTCTTGCAAGCTTCGATAGCGACCTTTGAAAGTATTTGAAGAAGTTATACTGGTCTTATAAATGTAAACGTGATCCTCTCTTACCGAAAGATGGAATTCCCCCTTCTGAAGACGTCCTGAATACATTTTTCTAATCCAGTATCGCTTTTTGGTGTTTTGCTCGCTTTTTTGATAAATTTAAAATTTTAAGCTTTCTGATAAGATCACTCTTCGGACAGTCGCTATATTTTTTGTAATATTCGCAGCGAATTCGCATAAAAATTTCTGCCAGTGTCAAATGAACTTCGAATTGGAGAGAACAATTCGCAGTTGAAAAATTCGTCGCGAAAAATTCGCTTCGCACGAAAAATTAGGCTCGTCTAAATCAGGCTTTAGACAAATAAGACGAAAAATACCCGGCTGACAGGTTTATGGACGTGATAGTTGGTTGATAAAATCGTACTTTGGTCGGCTGCAAAACGAGTAGAGTCTGGGTAAGATTCCCCTACGAGAAGGTGTGGAGAATCCGAGGCCGCGTTGGTGTAAATGTTTATTCCCTGTGACACACTGAATAGATTCACAAAAGTGCGTCTCTTTCAACGCTATGATAAGGTACGTTTTCCAGCTTAGGCCCGTAAAGTTATTCTCCAAAGATATAAACAATGCGTCGTGTTTATGTATCCATCGAATCCTCAACTAAAAACTGAATGCCTACAGCAAGCTACGTTACCCTTTTACACTCTTCAACAAGAAATTTCTAGAATAAACTCGTACAATATCACGTTTGGAGGAATACAATCTTGAATAAGCAAGTTACAGCATCTTACATAAGGCTAACTCTAGAAGTTTCTAGAATTATTTTCTTATTAGTTAACTTGTCTAGCGTGTTCTACTTATTTAGCATTATTAAAAATTTACTAGAAAGGTCCAGTTCACCACAAAGGCTTTGGTATATTCTCAGACTTGCTAACAGAGTTTAGCTTAAAAAGGACAACGGAATTTTCGGATAAGGCATTGGTAAAATGAGCAATTGGGGTGGCGGCTAACTAAGATTACCCACTTATTCAAGAGAAAATTAAATTTCGTTGTAATACCTTGTTTTATTAAATAAAACTTGTTCTAGTAGTCAAATATTTCCTATTTTTCATTGTTCAAAATTGAAATATTGAATTTTAAATGGACTGATAAACTGATAAAGAATGTCCGGAAAGAAAAATTCGTCAATTTGACAGAAATTAGCGTACCTGATCCAATCACAAGTGGTTTTCTTCTTCGTAGTTTGTCAGACAGAAAGCCGCCGATGACCGAACTACGATCGATATTATAATGAAATACATGAACTGTCTATCGACAAGATGAAACTTAAAATGAACAACTAAAAAAATCGCTTCATGTCAGACAAATAGATGAATATCAAGTGACTTGGAAATTTAAAAATGACTGCATTGAAGGAAAATGGGGTTTTCATGGCTTTTACATTGCCGCTCCGATTGAAATCTTATCCTTTTTTGAGAATTATTTGATCACTATATGAATGAATGTATGGATGTCTGATGAAAAAAGTTTAGGGGAAAGATTTGAGAATCCTTTGATGACAAGATAAAGGTTGGTGAAGAGGAAATAGGAGAACTTTTAAAGTAGATTAGTGAGATCCGAATTGCGGATATTCTTAAGTACGCAGTTGATAAGGCGAGTTTTTGAGTTGTATTTGCGCAAACTAAGAATCTAGTTAACTAAAACTGACTCACTCTGAGTCAAACAGCTGTAAATTGGTTTGTAACACAAGCAATGCACGGAAGGCGAATTTAGCACATGAAAATAATACGACTTTGGCATATTTAAGAAGGAATTCTTTCAAACAATTATCGTAGTTTTGCCTATTTGATTACAAACTAAGCGAATAATGGAGCATTAGGAATCAAGAAATTGCACCAGCCAGCAATAGGATGAATGAAGCACGAGACAAAAATAAAAGAAACAATTTTCTACTTAAAGTTAGCAATATAAAATATCGGTAGCCATAGGTACATGTGACAAAGAACTTCCAAATACATGTTTGTAACGACTGTACTTTTTCTCAAAAAATCTACGTTTTTGTAATATGTATAAAATACCTGGTTTTTGGTTAGAATAAAGAAGGTGAGAACTGAAAAATCGCCATTAAGTCTAACGGGGATAAGAATCTTATTTTAAGTCCTAGCAATTTCAAATAAAAAAGGGGGGATTTCATGAATAGGAAAACAAAGAAAAACACACTAGGTATGTAATGAAAGGCACTTTTCTGTGTAGAACTAGAGGGGTTGTAGAACGAATAAATGTCTGCAATGCAACTCATCCCAGTACCTGTTTCGATCAACCACGTTCCATACCAATCCTTCCCTCCCGCCTCATACCCGCTACCACTACACAGAAAAAACCCTAACACATCATCTGACACTTGGCATGTAATACAAACCACTTCATCCAGATATACTGATGATGAATATGTTAAACACTAATGTGCATCATTAAATCACATTCTAAATGATTAGTTGATAAGCAAAAAAGAATACTATAAAACGAAAATCATGTTTCTTTCACCTATTTTGATTGCAATCGATGATGTGCATCGCTCAATCAAATGATTGATAAATCTAAAAAAGAATGCTTACAAGATTGCTGCAGCAAGAAGCAATGGGAGAAGTATGATTGCGATAGCATTTTCTGGTTGCCAGCAGTTAGGAAGGTAGACCATGTCACCGAGCCAGAACTCAAGGAAACCAGTGACAGTAGAAAGGCCTTGTTGCATCAGAAATCGAGTTATAAACACCCATCGAAAATCATGCTCTAAAAGAAAAGAGAAAAAGAGAAACTTAATGGGGACTCAAATACGCAGCTTGTTTCTTGGAGAGCTATTCAAACGGAAATGGTTTCTTGCTTCAAATCCAAAGTTTGGTCCTGTTCAATTACTCCGTTTTCGTAAGAAGACATACGGAGGCATATGAAATGAAGAATTGGGAACAGGGCCTTTAAAGGCCGTAGAAATAAAGTCAATAAGACGTTTAAAGAAGAATGCAAATAAACTGGAAGAAATATACTCAGGAATGGGGTCGATGTATCCAGGTGGATTCGAAATAATGCGTACGGAAAAGAAGGAGCCAGTGAAATAACAGCCGAATGTTGGATTCGATGTCAATTGAGATTGTTTCGCAACTTAGAATTCTTTGAGTATACTACCCACATTACTCTGTAGGATTTAGGTGTTAGTTGTAGCAAGCAGGAAGAAAAGTGAATAGGTATAAAAGTAAGTGCATAAATAAGCAAGCAAGTGAGAAAGCTTGTAAGTAGGATGATCTATTAAATAGTTAGTTTAATACTCGATTAAAAAAGAGCGCCACAATTCCTACACAGGAACGTATTTTAGTAAGTTAGTAAGTAACATAGTGACTAAGTCGATTAGGAAATAGGTAATTAAATAAGAAAGTAGTTAAGTAAATGAATCCGTTAGCTGGTTTACCAATTCAGCATGTATCTTACTCTGCAGGAAAATAGGCAAGTTAGTAAACTGGTAGGTGAGTCAGTAGAATGCAATCTGCATTAACGAGCTGTCAATTTTTGTTTTAAGCTACAAATGCGAAAAAAGTCGATGAGCAGTTGATAAGTTTTACCTCGTAAAGGTTCCCAGTAGGCCAAGAAAATTGTCTTCAGATCTAGAATATATTGAACGACATTAAAAATATCTTGAAAATAGGTATTGCCCAAAAAGGGGGCCAACATGCTTCGAGATTAGAGATATCGATCAAAAGGGTCTTTCCACGAACAGAGGACCAATATGTCATGATACCATGCGGAAATCGTAATGTTCGAATTAAAAAAAGGAGCAGTACGATATGATATCATACTGTTGTCATTAGGTTTCCGCGTAAACAGAGACACAAATTATATGATATAATATAGATTCATTTAACATAGTTTCTTCTTAACGGGGATTAAAGTTGTACTGAAGCCAGAGTCTTATCCATCAATCGCTTAATGCCAACAAATGATATCATTTAATGATTAAGTTAAATTAAACAGCATACCTATAGAAGGACTCTTCTCGTAATGAGTTGCTCTCTCAGGACATGAAAGTATAGTCGCAAGAACACAGATGAATACTAAGCTAGCTATTATAGCATAGGTCCAAACAACACCAAGGCTCTGCAGGGACAGAAAAAGAATTACAAAAAATCTTTATAGCTATGAATGCTTTAGGTCTAAACAACACCAAGGCTCTGCAGGGACAGAAAAATAATTATGAATATATTTATAGCTATAAATAACCTAACATCTCTATAGCTATAAATAACTTTATAGCTATAAATAACTAACTCAAATAGCCTCTTACAAAAAATTGTTGACGTGTAAAGAAACGGCTTCTTTTGAACTTAATAAACCGGAGCATAGATTCACTTTATGCTATTAAATCTAAGCAAAATTTACGAAATATGTACGACTGTAAAATAGAATAGTGCAATTTAGATAAGAGTTTACTCACATAAGAAATTAGGAAAAAATTACATCCTGGTATATAGACCTTTGAAACCAGATAAAGGGACATATATTGCTTTGATGCTCAATGTTTATGTGAAAAGGGGGATAAAATCTTTACATTAAAACTTTTATAACAAAAAAATAAGAAAAATTATCCTTACTGTAAAAAATACGCCAATTGTTGCACCCGAGACATTTCCAAGCAAGGTCATTGCCCCAATCACCCCTGAACTGAATCCTGTCAAATGAAAAATGTTGATGGACGATATCACCACTAATTATGCCATTTGCATTTTGCTCATGTTTCTTCTTAGCATTTGAAGGCAGTTTTTAAAAAATCCAATAAAGTATATAAGTTGTGTATGGTACTTTTTCCTAATAAGGACAATATGATGTCAATCCTTGGCTTATTGCATGCACCTCAAGACACAACCAAACGCAAGACCTTCAAGAAATGTTCAATTTTGAGCCCAAAAACTCTTTATCCTAATTTACTGAATATGCATTTCAATTTTCTACAATAGGTGTTTTTCTACTCTATTTTCTTCTCTATTCTTATGTTCCTCCTATTTCCTATACTGGTTTTGGCTACGTCGTATTCCGCATTCTTTGCATTTGTCGAATCTTGTCCTCTCTTTGTATGGCTCGTTTATTTTCGAGCCACTTGATAACGAGTAGATGCTCGAAACGTCGTGATTTTACAATCTTTTTCAATTTGGTACTTAATTTATATTGTAGTTTTGAGAACCCAGAAATTCATTTTATAACAAATCGTTCTAAGAACACAAAAAATCGATGCTGATGAATCCCACCCCACCCCCCTGGGCCTTACATTAAGTGAAAGATTAGTCACGACAGGGACTCGATTCTACGACCCTTGGTTCTGTAGTCAATGACCCCGACTTCTGAGCAATCATCACGCATTCAAGGCTGTTGCATAAAAAGCTGAGTTTCAATGCACAAGAAGCAGCTGAATTGGCATTGACTGAAGGTGAATAAACTCAGGAAATATGGATCCAGAGCATTCATGTATATAAATATCTCCTGAGCAAGGGACAAGTACTATTTTACTTATTTGAAATGTGAATGCCAATATCATTCTACAATGACATTCTGTGTCAATGTAATTAAATATTTCCAGATATAAACCTTTTTCCCTAACCCAGAAATTTCGTTTTTCTCTAACCGTTTTATGCTCTGAAGAGTGTCAAATGAAAAGCTCAAGTATGTTTCAAATGTTTCCTTTTTTCAAATCTATTTCGAACCTTTGTACAGCCAAAAATGTTTACAAATCATCCTGACGGTGTGCTTACAATGATAAAGCCAACATAGCCATAGCCACATGAGTTGCCTTTTGACGGTTTTCTACAAACTGCCATTGTACTTTATAAAATTGATTTTTTTTCTTCTCCTGTCAATATACATGATGCTATACACCACATATGAAGAGTCATGCATCACAAAGCCACTGTATCAAGAAGTCTGGATGCAAAAATTCGTTCACTTTAAATTGCTTGATTTAAGTTAGACCTCAGAAAAGCATGATATTTTCTATTGCCTCTGAGAAGAAATTTCCATATTTCATGTAATCAAGAAGCATGTAACGAGACTGCACAGTTGTGACTGAAAAAGCACGAACCTCGCTGTGCGGCAGGAGTCTTGTCAGCGATCAATCCATTATAAGGCACGCTAATTAACGCGTAACAGGCCACAACACATAAATAAAATATGCTGTACATGCCTAAAACAAATGAAACATCAATTATTCAACTTGATCCAGTTCTTAAGAATTACAAGGTTGGAAATAAGAAAGTATATTACATAAGAAGGACAGATCTGGTACATTACATAAGAAATATGTGACAGACAGTTTTATTGAATCTGGCTATGTGGGACAGTAAAATGGAAAATGTTGTATGCCTTGCAGGAGAAATGCTCTCTAAAATATGATAAATTTCAAAATGACGATATCTGTAACATTCCTGCGTTTATTCCACTGCAAAATTCCTTCGTTTTTATAAACAATATTTCATCCGGACAGGATCAACAGAACAAATTTAACTATCTTTGCCCTCGCCCCAGAAACAATTATAGCGAAATCCAAAAGAACATACAAAAATTGCTGATATAGGCAGAACCTGTGTATGCCTTTATTGGTATTGCAAGATTCCTGAAAGAAAGCGAGCCTGCTGAAAAGGCTACATATTCTAACACTATATCACCGCATGTTATTATTTAAATGTTTAATCCTCGCTAAATACGAATTAGAAAATATATACCAATGAGGACAGGGTAGTCAATATGTGTAAAACGATTTGGGCATACTGCCCTCCAATCAATAATTTCATCTCGCTTAGATATAAAAGGTTGCCTGGCTTTGGGTTGGATTTTCTATATAAAAAGCTATGCCGATCTATACAAAACATATTTCAGAAGGCAATAACATGCGGATAAAATGAAATTTTATCCCCTTTACGTGTCAACTATCATGCTTTCATTCTGGTAGTTGGTTCTTATGTGCCCTTTATCGATGCATTTGGGATATAGGGAAGTAGGAGTTCTGTATTTTGGGTTTCTACACGGAGTTGTTGGTCCCTTGGCTCTGATGAGGGTATTTAAGGGTTTGGGTGGGGCCTATCGTGATTGTTGGTAGACTTCTTAACGCTCTTCTCTTGTTGCAACTGGGGTAAGGTAAAAATTGGACTTACAAATTTATTAATAAATTCATGTAAACATAAATGAATGTTGTCACATACATAAGCTTCCTCTTGAGTTTGGTTTCTGCTTCAATAAGTTTAAGATAAATATTGTCTCGTCTTTATTCGTGGCATTGGCATTACTTTCCAGGCTAGTAATGTTCACATACGGGGCACACCTTCGAAGCTCCAGGTCAACGAAGCACTGGAAAATGAAATGATTACCTCAAAGTCTTTTCAATAATCTCAAATACCCTATCTGCTTTTAACAGAGCTGTTATGTTAAAATATTGGTGCCTAAATTTACGATTATAAATAAACTGCTGATATAGCTGCAAGGGTGACGGAACAAAGATGAGGCATGAATTCGATACATATGCCTCTGCAACAGTAGGGCTGTAGGATGAATAGCCAGTACTGTCGAGAGAGGAGAGGGTAGCCGGGGTAAATTGCCGAAGCCCGGGTCACAAGAAGCCCGGGAAACATTTTTAAACAATCCGCTTGTTTGACGCTCATAGGTTATCTCTTTTGAGGATTGTTTGTCTGTCAAGTTTATTCTTTGTTTGGCGTTTGATTTGATGTTTTATCAACTTTGCCCCTGCACCACTACTCCTGCACAAGAGCCTGTGTTGTTTGTGGCACCAGGGCCAGTGCTGGTGCTCGACCGGCCTGTGTATAGCTAATTCTGTATGATCATAATGAAAGACGTGATGCTGCATAATGTAGTGAAAGGCATGAAGAATGCTGCATTATGTAGACCCCTATATGGCGAGAAAGCACGATGTAGATTCCTATATGATGGGGCGTTTAATACCCAGAATATTTCAAAGATTTATAACGATATCTCCATGCAAAACTTTTTTTCGTTTTTAATGATTAACTGTACACAGGAGAAGAGTTGCTTTGGTTTTAGCAGATGGGTTCATTTAGCACTTGATTTAAGCACTGTTAAGGACGGTTAATAATTTCCAGTCGGCTGAAATTTTATCAGTGTTGTTTAAAATGTTAATTTAATTCGACAGAGAATGGTTAATTATAATTTTGAAAAATTTAGTTTTAATGTCAAGCTAGTGTTCTTATTTAAAGCCTATAAGCAAGTATGGTATTTACTCACAGTTGCGTTTCCTCTAAAGCTGAAAATTAAATAATAGAACTTTAATTCGGTTTCTGTAAAGATTTGATATTCATTCCATTTCGATCTACTTATGTTGATCGGAATTGTTGGCAATGACGCGAGTTTTATCGGAATGGCTGGTGTTTTAACGAAGACCGCGATGGCAAGCGATTTATCTTGTGTACCAATTAAAAATTATAGCTATTCTATAGTATTTTCAAATATTAAGCCTTTAACTATCACGATAATATACGATTAGATTGTCAGTAAAGATGACAAGGTGACTGTTTAGACTTTTCAAGTATAATCATTTAATTATACTGAGAAAAGAGTTGAGCAACCGACACGACCAGGGAATGAGCTTAACCACATGGACAAGTGAAACTGTACGTCACCACACAGTAACTTTCCCGTCCAGCAGAGATTGAGTCCTGACCTGGTCGTGTATGTGGCTCATAATTTTTCATTGCTTATTTTCTCATATCCGATTCTACACATAGGTTTAAGATTATGATCATCCGTCGGCGAAGAAAACGTACAGTTTAGAGTTTAATATCTGAATATTGAAATTATCTGTTTTATGATGGAACAAAATCATTTCATCGATCGTGGTCCAAATCTAATTCTTTCGTAAAAGTGCAAATTTATTAGTTGCTTATATTTAATTAAAGATGTTTTTAAGTAGCTTTCAATTTTACATTTTCAGGTTCAGAATGAGTTAAGTCAAAGAATCAGATTGTTTTATGAACAAGTGCAATATAGATATATGAAATATTTTTAGATAAGCATATGAAGTATTGTTTTATGAGCTTATGAATATTGCCTAATGAGCATGTTAAATTTTTTTTTGTTTAGCACGTGAAATATTGGTTGATGAGGACATGAAATATTGTTTTGAGAGCACGTGAAATATTGCTTGATGAGCACATGAAATATTATTATGAAATATTGTTTGATAGCAACTGTGAGATGTAAGAAGCATCTGAGACAGGCATATCTCTGATATATTGCAAGTTAAGCAGCATTAAAATACCTCTCAACATCAGGAGCACTAAATGCCATTCCAAACAAAGAAATACTGTGAATGAAATAAAATCATCGATATGATGAAAAATGTAACATATCATACTAAAAGGATTCTATGAGGATTCTTAAAATCAGTAATAAATTAGAAATATGATAAGATTTTGATTGCTAAAAACTCAGGTAGCTAAGCTATAAAACACAATCATGACTGACAAGGGGTACTTATGTCGTGAATTGACCGACAAGGGGAGACATTGATAGCTGAAGCATCGTGTCTTTTAGTCCATAATTACAATTAAAAACTTACAAGAAAGAATGGAGCCTAATCAATGAAACTGCATATGGCTTTTTAAAAATAGTCTTATGAATGCTAGATTTAAAAATGTCTACCTGTTTGTCTTCAACGTGGTTTCGTCACACAGAAATGTATCATTTTAAACAATACGGTAACATTAACGAACTCGATAATCGATTATAAATCCAAGCAAGCTTACCAAAGAAGGACAGTTCCTCCAAGCATAAGGGGTCTCCGCTTGCCATACGGTGAAGCAAGGCGATCACTATTAAATAAAAGATAGCATTAGACATAAATCAAAATCGTTTTCTTCATTTCCTTTAGAATAAGTTTTTGCATCTGTATTTGCTACAACCTAGCATCCGAATATAGTTTTAAGAACACTTAGTAGCTATTCTTTTCTAGCAGTATCCTGGCTCTCTCTCTTGATGTCACTACATCTCATAATTCCGACCTTTGGAATTAAAGTGAGCTAAGTTCTCAGGACACTCAGAAGTTGTGCTTTCCTGGTCCCTTGCTCTCGTATGACAACACCTCATGATTCCAAAGCTTGGAATTACAGAGAACTTAGCGACTCACTTCACTCTGGGTGAAAGTTTGGTCATTACAGGGACTCTCCGATTCTTGGATCTGTATGCCGCGATCGCTGAGCCATCCTCGCATCAAACCATTAGTCTAACTATTACTTCAGTTAGCCTGGATATAGCTTTTTGGTCAGTGCTCCAAAAAACCTTCAAAGATACTATCTTGCCAGTTTTGTGCTAGCAACAGACCCCTACCAACAAAAAATTGGGGTGATAATTCAAAATTATCCTTAGGTTGGAGTTCAAGAAACATATACTGACTCGAAATAGAATTATAACCTGACTGTCACACATATTTTACACATAAGCTCTACTTGAAGTTACAACTCAACTTCAGCCCTACTTCATTGCCACAAAGTGACAAATCTTTGCTGGATCTTAATGAAAGATTTCTAGCATCTTAGAACAATTAGGTCAAATAACATCTATAATTTTACTAAAAGTAAGAGACGAATAGACCTTAGCAAACAAACAAATCAACAAGCACACATCAGTTAGAAAGACAGACCTTCAGTTGACTAAATTTTATAAACGAACTTCATAATTAAGTTTCAGTAAAATGTTGAGAATGCTTTATTCGTGATATATTTGCAAAGCATGCACAGATGTGCCTAAGTAGCATCTCTTATGTGGTCTAGAGAGAAGGCATTTATCATTTTTTCTGCTTTTCGATAAAATACCTTCATTGAGTCATGAAATATTTTACTTTTGAAGCTATTATTTACCTCTGTGCGAATAACATCTATTATAGGATATATCCTATAATAGGCTCTTCTATACCACTTAAGATATTTTTAAAATAAAATGATTTTCAACTTATATTGTATATGGCTTCTATTAGATAATTGTAAATTCTTGTATATAACGCTTAGCAATCCTATCTATATTTGGAAACATATGAAAAAAGTGACAATAACTCGGTGGGTGAACCTAATTCATAGTTCTTTCTGTATTTACTATTATGTAGCATTTACCAACCTTTTAAGACCAACCAATGGACTGCAAAACAGCGTCACAACTACAAAAGAAATCGGATTACTTCAATATGCATTCTTTCAGGTATTACAAGAATAATTTTCGTTTGTTGGGTATCAATACAAGGGTTGCCAAATTTGGTAATTTCAGCTTTCAGGGGCAGGTTCCCTTACGAAATTTAAAGGCAGTATGTCCTCTCAGTCAGCGATTGGCTGATTTGAACAATGAGATTCAAACAATGAGCTTTGGACCATCCAACAACTTCACTCATTGGGTAACATACCGGATTATCATGTTGTCAAACATAGTCTCTGATTGGATGATATAGTGAATTATTCATCAATGTCACGCAAGGATGAGTTTTAAGTCCAATGAAAATAGAATTAAGCACAACAGGGAAAGGACTGCTTTTAAGATTACATATCTAGTATTGAAGTTTTTTCCTTAATTCAATCTCTTTTAATATTGCAGACTAAAAGGAAAAAACTAGCCAGTGTATAAAAACATAAATTGCATTAGATTTTCTGAATAACTTAGTATCAGCGGGAACAGCTTTCGTAGCATCAGAAATTAAGGAAGGAAGAAAATATTGTTCTGATGCATCGCTTCTGCGGAAAGAAGCAAGGGGTATTAACGATGTTTGTCGATTTCAAGTCTATCAGAACCAGTGAGTTGGTGACAATTATGAAGGTAGTAATTGATAACAATGATTAAGGCAACTGATTGCACTATGGTTGTGATAATGCAGAGCCTGTGGGGTAATCTTTAATTTGAGCAAAACTGATTTGTTGATCTATCCGGCATGGGTTGATTGTAAATATGATTGAGAGTGAAAAGATAATAGTGATAATAACGATGGCGGCGACTGGCTGCACCAATGTGGGAAAGATAAAGATTGGTTTTGATATTGATAGAAACCCTATCATAATTTTTATGCTAACAAACCCTGACTGGGGATGATCATAATGTTAATGGAGGTGGTCAGTGGCGGCGCCAACCAAAAGGCTTTGGGGGGGGGGGGAACACAATTAATCTAGGCCACGCCCTTTGTTCTGGCAGGGAACGCACTTTTACCAACAGGGAACGCTAATTTTACCAATTGCAAATACCTATGATTATCATTTGGTTACATAAGAGCAGCTTCAAAATCACAGAGACACGTTATAAAAATACTTTTCCAAAAAGCACTCCTACCCCAACAACTTCTCATCGAATTTAGACAAAATACAAACTCGTGAAGTAGGGGGGCTGCTACTGGAGGTGGTAAGGACCATAATGTTGGCGAGTAGCAACAATCTGTTGATAACGAAAACCAATTTTAAGATAATGTTGAAATCTTTAATGAAAAACGCACTTGCCCCTCCAGCAACCATTGCTCCCATGACCTGCCCTTTCATCTGCGATCCTGCCAATGCATGTACTTGACTAGGAAGCACTACAAACGAAAATAATTTTATGTGGTGATGAAGGATTATCAAAGCTGGTTTGGACAAGACCAGAAGAGTCGTGGAATTACTTTCATGAGGATGAAACTAATATTTTATAAAAAGCCATTGTTCATTTGATAAAACTTTGCGGAAACTTTCAGTGACAACCTATAAAAGTAAAAATTCGAAAACCACACTAACACAGTTTGTGTTGCGACTCATTCCGGACAAAATTTTCAGACAGTATGATGCAAGGGGGAACAGGCTCCACGTCCCCTTGCACAACTCCCGTTGCTCAAACAGATTCTCAGGGCATTGACACCACAGTGGCAACGAGGTCTTTAAGAGCATTTTAGCTCTACGATACTTAAAGTACACATGAAATCCAGTTTCGAGTTTCAGTATCGGTCCAGAGTCTCCTTGCAGTCTAATTTACGTATTTGGGAACAGGTTATTACTTTGTTGTTTGTTGTGAGGTTTGCATTGCACATGAGGAAATCATATGAACTGCGTACTTAGAAAAAAATCTCGTGTTGCAATTTTTTTTTCTATTTTCTAGGTAAAAATGTTTGAATTAAAGTTTTATCTTTGTTTAAATTTTCAAGCAAGCTTCATCAAATACGAACTTTGGAACACAAACATCAAACGATATTTCGAACCAATGTTTTCCCAGAAGTACAGAATTGAAACAACTGAGGCGACACGAATGTAGATAATTGTGGATTTTAACTGCTGGTAACTTCTTCCTCTGACTCTAACTTCCACGATTTTGGAAAAATAATGAGATAAGAAGAAAAACTGTGCATTTAACTGAATATTGAATCAAAGTAGATCTAGGAAGAAGATTTTATCAAATAGCTTTCAACTGAAATATGTTTAAATTCACTAGATTAAAATCAGGTAGTGTAGAATAAGCTGCTATATGATAAGCTGACTAGTTTTGTCATTCATTTCTGTAGCGGATATTTTTCTATCTTTATGAATGAGCGGAATAAAATCATTCAGCTGATATATAAAGAATAGCTGGCAAAAATTTGCCTTATGGGCCGAAAAAACAATGAGCACTTTGCTGGGCTCCTTTGGAATGATCTGTATCAGCAGATACAGTTGGAAATTGAGAACATTTACCCTCATACATTGCTTTGTAAAAAAACAAAATAAATTGCTTAAAAGAGAAAAAGGTGGTGGTTATGTATTATTCTGTAAATGTTCAAAAATGTTAAAGAATTTGGTAAAATGCGAAAAAATGGTAAAATGTGAATCAAACGTAAATTTCAGCTAGAATGTTTAAATATTGAATCAAATACGAACCTTCGACAGATAGAACCAGAAACATAACGCTCATACCAAACCAGGAAATGTTAAGGAGAAAAACACGAGACTTTGAAAGTAGAGGTATTTCTTCATGGTATGTTTCGCCAAATCTGAAAAAAGAACCAGATCATTAATTTCTACCCCTCTTATTTTCATAACCATTTCAGTTTAACCTTCCTCAAACCTTATTAGCCCCCTTAATTAAACCATCTCCTTCCCTCTCGCATATTTTTCAGCTTCTAACTAGTTCAACACGATATTAAACTGAGTACACTAAGGAATTAATTCGCATTACCTTGTTGCTTCTTCTATAAATAGTTTCTTTATGGTTTCAAGAAACCTATCTTGGAAAACACTCCCTTTTTACGAGTTTTTAGATGAGAATTTCTGCACCACTGGGAGAAACTTGAATCAATTCAACCATATAGCTGAATTAGAAATGAAACATTGAAAGCATCGATGACCTAGGCATGATAACAGGAACAAAAAAATTCAATGTTGTGTAGTCATAAAGTTAATGAAAAGGTGGAACCAAACCATTTGTCAATGAGAACCAAAATTACAGCATAACAGAAGGGAATGTATCATTAGAAAAAAATCCTTAAAGAACGTCAAAGCTAAAGTCCTGTCAATTCTTTTGGCAACTGTTAAAGTCCTATCAAGTTACTGGTTGAGTCCAACAAAATACCCAATTCACGAGAAAGCCCGAAACAGAGGAGAAAGCAAGCTCTTGCACTTTCTAGATAGTTTTTAGATTATTGATGAGCTAAAATAAACCCAAAGTATGAAAGATCGTTTTTAAAACAATATATTTAAACGTTAATGACCTTAAATGCACGATACTTCAATAATTTGCAAAAGCAAATGAGAGGAATAGATTTTCAGATTTTTAGAGCAATATTGACAGGAAGGAATCAGGAAGGAATATCAACAACACAAATCCATTCAATGACTATTTTTGAACATTTTCAATTTGCTATAAAGAGGCTAGAAGTTTGATTATCTATATCCTTCGTGTACAAGCTTTCTGTTTAAAAGAAAACTTAAGAGACAATGAAATGGAAATGTCTGCTTCAAAGCTGCGTTTTTTAGACTTGTGTTAATAATTAAACAGTACATAGAGAGAAAACCTTGTTTCGACCTAAATCAAAGCAGAAACAAACATGCCCATTCATGTAGAATTACACTACAGCGTCTCATTAGTTAAATCACCAAAAATGCAAAAGTATTTTTGCAGAAATGATATATGTCGCAATAAGAGGCAATCCAACAGAGTTCCATCTCAGCAGGCCATCAAGAAAACGCTTTGACAAGAAGGAAGAGGTACAAAGACACCTTGACAAGCACAAGCCTTGAGACAACTGACACAAGGTCTTGAAATATTAATGCCATGGACCTCAAAGAAGCAAAAAAATGAATGGAATGAGAATTGAAACTAGCATAGCAAAGTAAAGCATCTACAAGGCACTAATATTGCGACACTAGTTTTGTTTCTAATAATGATTTATCGCTGAACGAATTAGCCTAAGGCAAGGTTTTTAGCATGCTAAAAACGGGGCCATTTTCCTTCTATTCTGTCCAGCAATAGACAATCCTCCTCTCTTTTATGTAAACAAAGTCATACCAAACTAAGGTTAATTAGACTGGCACCAAGTCGGATTGAATTTTGATTCACGTTGTATTCTCCCATGTTATTCAAATCAAGTCAAACTGTGGATATGTTGAGCATCCCCTAAGTTAGACAATTTCCTTACATCCCTTGAAGGTCGAAATTTAGGGGATTCAACTATTATCTTAGTGAAGAAGCTGACTTTTATTTCCATTTGTCAGATACATATTTTCAATTCGTCTCAATGTTTTTCAGATAGTAGACTGCTGTTGGCATAAAGTGTAAAACTTCAAAGTTGTTCTACACACATAAGGATTACAGCTTTGTATTTGTGGCACCAAACACTTAAAAACGGACTGGTAAACAATTATCTCTTAAGTTAATCATTTGCTTATCAGTTCTCAGTCATTCTCTAGTATGATATTGTTTACTAGGCAAGAGGCAGGTAACATAAAGTATTACAATGAGTTCTCATTCAAAACATTGTTTACAGCAAGCTGGCTGGCTGCAACAGCACACCCTGTCCTCTAATTCTCAAAATGTATATACTTAAAACAATGCAATAAAGAACATTGATCTTGGCCTACAGCATGCAATCCTTTAAAAAGTATTTAGCTTCATGCCAATATGTAATATTCTCAGAGCTTCCTAATTTCAACATCATCTTTCTTTGATAAAAGAGCTGCTACTTACTGGGTTCCATTGTTGTGTCGAACTTTGTGCCATTTTCCATGCAATTGCTTTTGCATAAATGTGTCTTTGAAGTAAAACGAAGCAAATGATAAGTTTTAAATGTTAATTATGACTAAAGAGCATTTATCATTCTCAATTAAAAAGGTGGGTGGTGGGTGATCCAAATGGCCAAATAAAACTCAAAATAAAATATTCAAGTTGTGTCATATATTAGCAACAGTATTAGTGATCATCGTGGATTTTTCCTGATAAACGAATGCATCAAATGGATAAACTAGATACAACACCCGGTTATTTGCTTAATCAAAAAAGAGATTAGCTAAGGCAAAAGAAGGTAGATGTGATCAGGTGGCAAATGGGATTCAGTCTAGCCTTTGAGTTGTAAAAAAACACACTCGTTAAACGCAAATAATAATAAATGAAGTAGAATATGTAGGCATCTTGTCCTGCCAACATGAGGCTATTTGATGTTGATACCCAGATCTTCAAAAGGGAGCTCAAAAAACCGATTTCATTTATAACTAAAACTCAGAAAGATTCATGATAAATCAGTTCAGATTTTACATATTGAAGGTTAATACTAAAAAGGTTAATATATATTAAGGTATAATAATGCATGCTATCCATAAACTATTTAGAAAATGGTACAATTTTGGTATAATCAAAGTTATTTTATGGTAACTGAGATCTGTTTTGTATGCAAAACTGAAAAGTAAATGTGAAGTGTAAAGACTAACAAGGCAGTGGTGAGTTTTTCATACATATATTAGTCAAAAATGCCAATTTTCAAGGTTACCTTGCCCAATAAAACTGGGCAAACTGAGAAAATAGTAAACCTTATAAAACGATAGATGCAGATAATATGAGAGATCAATGAGACCTTGCAAGTTTATCTTGTCAAGTCTTTGCAGTTAAGAGCTGCATAGTTTTAAACTGCACAGTTAAGACTCAAAATTAACAGGAACAAAATTTAAATTGTTGGTAGCATGTCAGCATTCAGTGAAAAATACTGATCTCTGCTAACAATATGTTCTTTAAAAAGATTATATCACAAGTTGCTCACATAAGCTGCTCAAATACCTAGCCTGACAAAAAAAATTATCCCTAACCACTCAAATAAGCATAATTCAGACTGTCATTTCATTGGCACCAAAACACAGAGTAGAATGCATAATAAGAAGCAAAAATCTTTCACCATCTGCATGGCTTAATTATGAAAACAGAATATCACTATAGAAAATGAATATATATCATAAAAGAAATGACTTGTTGATATAATGCTTACTTACTACTAAATTGATCATTCCAAAAAAATGGAAAATTTGTGCCTTCTCTTGAATTTTTTAAAACATGTAATAGCGCTGAATATTATTTGAGGTTTTTGAAAAGTGTTTTTGGCATGAACCGAGAAAAGTGTTTTTGGTATGAACCGAGAAAATTTCAATAAGCCTTGCCAACAATAATTTGATGCTAGATATTTGAAATTATCAGGCTGACAATTGAAACATATTAAGAAATTGATGAGAAATTAAAAAAACTTTCGCTTAATCATCTTATCTGTTAAGCAGCTCAAAAGAGATGAAGTCTAGTTACAAGTGGTGTTTATGTATATATCATGGAATTAATTGTTTGATAAATAGATCAAAGATAATGTATTTTTAATTCATACCTTCATCCTCAAGCAATGTTCTCCTCATTTCAGAGTCAGTTTTTTAGCTAGAGCTTTCAAGACAGAAATTTCATGTAGAGCTAAAACAAAATAAAACAGTACTTATTGAAAAGAATTTGAATGTTCATAGGATAAGAAAATGTGCAATTTATCCCATCAGTTGAAAGCAAAAATTCAAAAAAATATTTTAATTTTAAACATTTCCAGCATTCATCTTTATCCCTGGAATGAGCATGAACATACTAGAAGAAATTGACACTTCATGAAGCCTTCTGCCAAACTATATGAATCTGGAGATGCAGCAATGGGCAGGGAAAATGCAAAACAACAAGGGCCAATCCAATATAAATATTCCGAATTTAAAAATAAAAAATTTAAAAACAAAGTTTAATAATTTAATATTCTGCCCCACATATAGGACTTTAGCAGAGTAAAAACAGTGTACAGGTATGTACATATATGATAATCATTAGACTTTGCAAGGATCTACCAGAGAAAATAAATTTCCTCTCAATTGCAGCTTGAGAAAGGAACATAAAACTCTTATACATTTTTCAAATCTATTGTGAGACCTGGCAATGAATGTGTAGCAAAATCTACAGAAAGGCCATCAGAAATATCAAACTGATGATAAAGATTTGACATTAAAAGCTCTTATGCCACTGTCATGCCTTACGGCAGTTGTCTTGAGAAATTGACTGTGTCTTGAATTTTCATGCAATACGATATAAGGCTGGTTCTTTAAATTATATGCAAATCGTTCTGGCTGTGCAAGAGCCTTTAATAATGAAATTATAATTTTCTGCCATTATTATTTTCTGCCATTTTCTTCATTCTTAGGATCATTTGAATAACTAGCTTGATTTGGTGTTAATCCAAAATCCAATGTACACAACTGAAAATAAAATCTCAAACATTACAGTAGTTATAAAACAGTATGAATTGGAAAAAGCTGTACTATGTGGTTTTTCTATATAATCCAATAAAAGTTTTACAAGTACATATCACAAAATACTTTACATACAGGAAATTACTCTACAATGCTACTAAGGATGATACCCCAGAGAGCAAAGTACTATGTCTACCCCAGGGCCATTAAGCATAAAAAAAACTGGGGCCATTAAACATTAATCTATATGGTAGATGACTTAAATAACTTTTTAAACTTTCCAGAACTATTGATTTGATTTTTTATAAGACATAAGTGTAAAATAACATTAGAAATGCTTCAACAATCTCAAGCAAGGGTAAAATTTTCAATCTCCTATAAACTCCTGTCGCAATATCTAACTGTTTCGTTATCACTGTCCATCTGTCAATAGCAAATGTGCAAAATTAATTTGCTATACAGTGGTAAGTATTAAGGGGTCATCAATTAAACTTTTCACCCAAGAAAACAGAATCTGGTTGATGATAGACATACCCTTCTATTAACAGGTGATTTCATTTTCATCACATAATAGGCCTAAATACTACAGAGGAAAAACTGGTCTGTGGTCTTTATAGCTACAGTTGAAAAGGTACCTTTATGATTGAACAAGCTGCTAAATCATAATGATTACTTTTCGATGCCATTAAGAATGAAAGTTCAATAATTTCAATCATTTTTACCCTGAATTCGCAATTTTTTAACAGACAAAAAATAATTTTTCGGTGAATACTTAGAGAAAGTAAGAGGTTTTTGAACATTTATCTGTTATTGAAGAAAAGTGTAAATTTTTGACAAATTTTAGAACCCAAGAAGCAGTACAATTCTATATCAATAAACAGCCGAGGCCAGGTAATTCGACTGCTTGATCCAGGCCAGGTTGCAAAAACCGAGATACAATTTTTTGTTTCGGGGGGGGGGGGCAGCCCTAATTAATAAGTGAGTAACAGTCATATTTTACAACAAAAAAGTATTTTACTTATAATATTTAAGTTTTTTGGGGGGGCCAAGGCCATCTGGTATCTCGGTCCTTGCCAGGTTTTATCTCGAATCGAAGCTTGCCAGCCCTTGCGAGTTTCAATCTCTGAAATCACGACTATTCAAGATATATCTCTGGACATATTTAAAAGGCAATATTTATTGCTTGTCAGGGAGAACTTTTAGCTTAAATTCATGGATACAACAAGATATCTTACTGCAGGTCGGGCCTAGTGCAGGTCGTTTGTTTACAAGTTAGGTCTAGGATCGAGCTAAACTATTTTCCATAAATCCAAATAGAAAAATGCACAAATCTTTATCAAATAAACTTACCAGCCCATTACAGAGATAAAATCTTTGATTTCCATATTACTGCATATTGTTAAGAGTAGAAATTTCCTAGTGTTAACCATTTCAGCGATGAATCTGTAAACAAACCTGAGAGAGACGCTCATGAGATCACATCATTTTCCCGCTTCATCCTACCACAGGGCTACAAGGCAACGTAGGACGTAGTACATACTGTTTTCCTTGATCTCAAAAGAAAATTTTCCACTCGCATGTAATTATTTAAACCCCTAACCTAGAAGATAAAATTGTCTATGACTGAACAAGGCAGTTTGAAAATGCAGTTCGTCATCGTTATGTATAATCTTTAGTTTCTCTCCAAAGAAAGTAAAGTTTCTTTGCTATCCATGACAGTGGTGTGCTGGGGATGGAATTGCAGGGGGGCAAAGAGTCATAATGGCGCCCCGTATTTAGCTTTCCTTTAAATTTCATTCAATCTTTCAGAAATACACAGTAAAGTAGAATAATTCGGAAGCACGTCGATATTTCTCTTCAAATGAGTGGGGAGGGTCAATTACCGACATGTTGTGAAAGAGTATGAATATGTATTTATTTGTCAAACATAACAGTATTTTTAAGTATTATTGTAGCGGCTATATCATCGAACTGCTCAACAATCATATTCAAGAATGTAACTATTGAGGGAGGTTGAGGTATGAAGGGGGTGGCTAGATTGCTTTGGAGTTGATGGAAGGCCATCATCACGGTTGGCGGCAAAAAATTGCAAGGAAGACGTTCTAGGAATTGTCTGAAAATTCATCTAAATATTTACAACACCACTCTAGACCAATGGAAGACCCTGAGCAATACCCATAAATATTCTTAAAAACATGGCCCAAGGGCCATTACGAGGCCAAAACTTTCGAATTTTGATGCTTCCAATTTGCTGGAAAATGCACTTTTTGAAGCAATTTTTATACTGCAAGCGTTCTCTTAAATGAATATCCACAATCTGAAAGCATTGATAGTTTTAATCGGTTTTAATTTTTTTCGTTTTTTTATTATTTGGCTAGGGTGTCTTTGATGCCCCTGTAAAATCAAAATTCATTTTGGCCCCACTGCTATTTGATTGGCAGAGGGAGCAATTACCCCATTGCCCTCCTGCCAGCACGCCACTGATCAATAATACGTCCTCCTGCGAAATCCGTTTTTGGCATCTACGACCCATTAGGAATATCTTATATTACACAACTTAGGATTGGCCTTAGAAAATTGAAATCTCACAAATTCAAACACAATTTTAGGGATACATTTAACCCAATGTGCCAACAAATGATGGCATTGAGGATACAGATCACTTTATGTTCCACTGCCCCTCTTTTGACAAAGAACGAAGTCGAGGGGCAAATCACTGCTTAAAATTACATACGCTGTTTGTACTGAAAGCTGCAAGAGAGGACCTGAAAGCTGCGAATAGTTTCCTGTTCTGGAGAAAATGTTGGAGAAGCCTGGTGTTTTTTTGCAAGCATTGTGCAAAATCTTATCTAGAGTATTCAAAGACGTGAAATGGTCAGAAAGGGCTTTTGGAAAGATAGATTTAGCGTCTGCATAAAGGAAGCGCACTGATACTTGCAAATTTTAATCAATTTTCATAAGTTGCAGTTGGCTTCACACCAAACATAAGTTGCAATAGGGACTTTGAAGAGTGTTTTTTGTGCATTAACAGGGGTAGATTCCCCTAAGGAGAATTCTTTGGGACGGAGAGGGAGTGCAATCCTGCATGTCTGGTGTTTGAAAATAAGATCCTTGTGGAAGAGACAACAACTGAAAACATTTTATCTGAAAAGAAATTAAGAGGGAGAAAGTTGTTTGGTTGCTGACGTTTCAAAACTTGTTTGCTTCTTTGTCCCCACTAACATTACCACCAGCTCATCGCCCCACCACCCCTACAAAAACTTCACTTGAAACTTCGCCTGCATTGGACACGGGGAGTTTTCCACCCCTACTCCACAGGCCTGGCTGCAGGCTTGCAACAAGCTTTTATAAGTACTCTACGATGGAGTAGAAATTAAGGCCTCGTTATGACGCCGGGGTCACTGAAACAGCCATTGCTGTTTTTGTTGCCCACATGCCACTGAAGTTGATCTGACCGAGAACCACGCCTGATAGCAGTCATTTTTCACTCATTCCTCGTTGATTGCTACAGGGGTGGATCCAGACAGTTCTGGATGTTGCAGTTGCAACTGTCACATTTATGGAAAATGATTTAAGTCAGATTCTTGTAATCTCCACAGATAAAGTTTGATAATCAAGTTTCATATTTCTGGAACTTGTAGTTTTTTATATCCTTGAAAGTTTCAGGAAGGACAGTTTGATTTCCCAATAGCGACATCACTTGCAGGGGCAGAGAACAGTGTACATGCATTTGTCTTAATGTCTTTCACAAAGTGTTCAACAACTGTTACAGGAAAGATAGCTCTTTTGATGCATAATGAAATTTTGATAAGGAGCGTAGGAGGTCCACATAACAGAAAACATGCATTTGCGTTAATGTCTTTCACAAGGTGTTCAACAACTGTTACAGGAGAGATAGCTCTTTTGATACATATTAAAATTCTGATAAAGAGCGTAGAGGGTCCACATAACAGAAAACATGCATTTGCCTTAATGTCTTGCACAAGGTGTTCAACAACTGTTCACTGTTTCTCATCCTAGGCTATTTGCATACATGCTACTGTACAGAAAAGATAGCTCTTTTGATGCATAATATAATTCTTAGGACGAAAGTAGCAGCCCGTAGAAAAGAGGATATGCATTTATCTTAATGTCTCATTCAAGGTGATCAACAACTTTTCACTGTTTCGTCACTTCAGGCTACTATCACCCTGCTTCCATGATGTAGAAAACTTATAATATTGATGTAAAATTTTGCTTATGCTGCTGTTTGGAAAAGATATATCTGTTTTTAGTTGTCAATGTTATTAAACCTTTGCACCTTTTTTCTGTTGCAAATCTGCAATGGTCAAATTCCTTTCTTTATCCTCCCTGTGCTTAATTTCTCTTTTTCAATTTCATATAGTAAATTGCAAAATCGTTGCCAAACTGGCATGATAGTTTGTCATTTAACTTATGAAACATTGTTGTTTAATTTAGCTTATAATTTGGTTTACCGTCATGTGTTCAAACGACGTTAATTGCGCATGAATCCATTTGAGAGCACTTTTGAATCTATGATTCAATTCCTAAAAACACTAATTAATGAAAAACTAATCACTTTCATCATTACAATTCAAACTAATCACACACAAAATTGATTTAATCACAAATAGGCAGTATGTCCTCCATTGTTCTCAGAGCCTCTTTTCATGGCCACGATATTCATGCATCGTTGATTCAATGCACAAATAAACAATCAGAATGAAGAACCTCAATAGCCTAATTTCCCTGAGCATCACGAAGGGGACAGACTTCCCAAGAATGATTTGCCCCTCGAACGAAGTTGGAGTATTTGCACTACTGCGACCATATGGATATACCAATCCTTCAAATAATATGTTTTTTGAGCTATTACTGTATGGCGAGAAAGACTTACCCAATTATATTAAAAGAAATATATTACAATTAACGTTGCAGTTTATCTGTAAAACTGGTCGACTTGCTTAAGATCGTCCCTAACTTGTCACTTGCCACCACCTTAAATTTTGTACTCATTTAGCATAACACATGTATGTAGTTAGATGTATGTTAAAGTTTCACGAAACTATTTTCTTTATTATGTTTAATGGCCCCGGGGTAGACATAGCACTTTGCTCTCCAGGGTATCGTCCTTAGTAATGTTGTAGAGTAATTTCCTGTATGTAAAGTATTTTGTGATATGTAATTGCAAAATTTTTATGGGATTATTTAAAAAACAGAGTGGCTTTAAACAGGGGCGTCGCCAAAGAGGGGTACGAGGCGCTGTAACCCCAACACATGAAGGATCTTTGTCGGGTAAAATAAGGAATTTTTTTTCACCCTGTAGTACAATTGAAACCTTTTGCGACAATTGCAACGTGCTAACATTTCTGCAGCAGTTGAACTTTCAAAGCACAGCCTGTGCCCCAGACCCCTAACTTGAAAGTAGACTCTACTTCCAAGCTAGGGGTCTGGGACACAGGCTATCAAAGTTTGGCACTAGAGTATGAATTTTGAAATTGAAACGCATAAACGCAGGATATAAGATGATTTATCTTATGACATCACCCTTAAAAAGCTCGATCTGACAGCAAAGGTCATTCTGTAACTACCGCCCTAGGCTGGATCTTTCAGATTTTGAAATGAAGATCTAAGTTAAGAAGTATCACTTCTGTGTTCTTTCCTAAACCATTCCCAAGAGCTTGTGGTATATTCTTCATAGCAGGACATCTACCAACCCTTTTAGTTTGTCATAAAAATCTTGATTTTTTTATTTCTCCAGTTTGAAAACAATGCTTGCGGTCTTGCTATGAATTAATAATGGCGTTGAAAAAGCAAACATTTTGAAACATACATAAGCTTTTCGTCTAACACTCTCCAGAGTGAAAAACGTCACAACATAGATAAAAACTCTACGCTAGGAAATATATATATACCCAGTTGTGGATCGAAATAAGCCAATCAGAAACGCGAGCACATGACTGTTGAGGTTGACCAATCAGTGCCGCTCACCTATTCTAACCCCCTTACATTTTTTATTACCCCTGCAGTCAACTTTTAATGCAAAACCTCCTTATTTTTACTGGCATTATCCCATGGTTTCCTATTGCCGTACAGTGCCTCCAATTGTATCTTCCCCGCCTTTGCACTTGAAATATACAGAAGCCGGATGGCGCACGTTGAACAAAAACAAAAAGCGTACATTGCAAACAAGCAACCAAACATGACAGCAAACACACACAAACATTGAAGCAAACATAAGGAAACTTTCAAGCAAACACAATCAAGGAAAACATTGAAGCAAACATACCCATACAAACATTGGAGAAAACATAATAACGTAAACTTCAAAGCGAACATAATCAAATATAGGCACACAGCGTAGGCCAGGAAACGTAAGCAAAAGTGTTAACAAGCTACCAACGAAGCATGCTTGCATTTATTTCTACAAGCAACACAATTTTCTTTAGACGGTTTTGTGGAGCGAGGAAACCCCTCCATGCCTGGATCTAGTAAAAATTTTGATCAAACATTGAACATGTTTTGCTCATAATAAGGCACTGCTCCGCTGCGAAAACGGAGACTTGAAAACGCACTTTGAAAACGAAGACTTTTGAAAACTGAGACTTTCGAAAACCCAGTGTGAACACCGAAAACGGATACTTTTGAAAACGATAACAACAACAGCAACAACAACAACACAGCAAAATGCTTAGACGGCGCCAATTTGAACAACTTTTCTTAACATGGCTGATTCACTCGAAGTTAGTAAGTACACTACTTGGAGGAATATAAGTGGCAGTGAGTGTTTAAAAAGTTTATTAGCAGTCGCAATGTCTGTAAATACTTTTGATGGAATTCTAATCGGTTTGAGTTTCAACAAAACAACCGACAGCTCGTCGTTGTAAAAGACTTGGGTACTCGGGTGGGTCGAAGTTGATCCTAAAAGTCCAGGCATTCAATCATGGAACAAGACTTCAAATTTTAGAGCTCGGAAGGACCATTTAGTTTGATAAACAATTGGGTTTTATAAACGATGGTTTCAAAGCGTAGTGTAGGGTTTTTAAAGGAAAAACATCAAAAATATACGAAAAAATTGCACGAAAACCTCAAAAACGGACTGCGGCGTTGATAATTCTAATTGCAAACATTCAGCAAATATACTTTTATAGTTGGAAAATAAACAGGAAAAGAGACAACGAAATACAGGGCTAGTATCAAAATACACCTAGTTAATCATGAAGCTAAATTTACACATTACTATAAGAGCAACAATGGAAATCTTTTAGAAAAAAAGTAATGTTTAAATGACATGTAATCGATAGATACATACTAAAATTCAGGAAAACAAATCTTTTGCAGGTTTATCTTCCTCAGCCTAGACTCTCAAACCGATATAAGCATGAACAAAGATCTACAGATGAGACACAAAGACAAGCTTACGCTGCTCCGAGTAAACCCAAAGCCGAATGTGAACTTTCAAGACAATCTATTTCCCATGTATGGATAGTACCATGTGCTTAAAACCGGCTTTCAATGGGAGTTTTAGATTCATAGATTTGTTTCATAGATCATAATGTGGCGACATTGTTTACATCTATGCTGGGCAATCAATCCAGGGACGCTGGAGGAAAAGAAATAGTAAACCAATTTTCCTTCCCCGGATTTACATTCACATTCTGTGTTAGAGATATGCAATAAAAGTGAAAGTGAAGACCACACCATGATAAATAATTACAAAGACGTATGAAAATCGATATATAAAAAAATCCTTTCCCAACATATCGCGATGTTTTGTCCAACTTTTTCAGGACTTCGCGTGGAAACTCTCATTTTCAGCAATTCTCGGCTCTTTAGCTTTAGCTTTCAGCTACAATAAGTCGGAGATTTTGGAGTGCAGGGACAATCTCTGTGAATAAGACAGTAATAGTTCCCTATATAGCAAAAATTGTCATGGTAGTTGAGGAGAACCAATAGCAAATTCAAAATAAACACAAGGTCTGAAATCCAGCTACAGAGAATCACCTGAAAGGAACGTGATTCAATTTCTATGTAGCACTGTAAACGAGTCCATGATCCGCTACATAAATAATCGTAATAACGAAACAAAGTGTGCAAATATTTACCCTAACATACCCTTCATGATAGTTCTTCTACCCTACCGAAAAACGACTGCCCCTACAAACTGTGATAAAATATACTCTATAACTTCTAACAACTCAATTGGCGCCCAACGAGGTTACACTTATACGCAACACCTTTAAAGCAAAAAGTAATGAGTGCAAAATGATAAGATGTATGAAAAAGCCTGGAGTGCTTGCTTGTAAGGCAAAATCAAATTGAGTATAAAATGTCTCGCTATAAAAGTGGCTTGACAAAATTAATAAAGGTAATAAAATGGTACGCTTTGGGCGGTTTACAATCAAATTCAGAAGCGTAAAGAAAGGTTGCTTCGTTGTAAAAAAGTGTCATTATAGGTGAAATAGTGGATGTATAATTGGGAAAAATCTGACAAAACGACCATATTCTAAAACTTAAAATCGATTAGGCCTAGCAAGGAACCAAAGTAAACTTTACCAAGCAAGCATTTTTATATCAGACAAAATAATATATTCCTGACTACCATTGACTAAAAAGAGATACAAATTGCGCAAAGGCAGATGGTTCTATAGTCATAGTCAGCTATTGAATACAAACCGAAATGGGAAGCTAAACGAAACCATGTTACCTGCTGTGCTAAAATCTACATGTCTGATCAAAATATTACAATAGATCGTCGATTAAATAACTGGGCGACTGTAAGTCACAAAATGAAGTCCCGTGGTCAAAATCACGGTGAATATATCGCAACAAGAACTTGTGTTCCAAGTTAAATCAGTAGCTTGAATGTGATCAAATGGCATTCTTTAGCAGTCTCTTGAAGAGTGTGTATGAAATGAAACTTGATCACATGATCATACAAACATTGACATGTTAGGGTCCTCATCACTCTCTTCTTCTTCTGCTTCGCGGCGCTTCTCTTCCCCATATTGACCAATAAACGAACTGTCTTCTTGGAACCTGCTGTCTTCTCCATACTCATCAAAACTATCCTGGTCCGGCTCATCGCTGGGTGGTTTCTTTTCTATTGACCCTTGGCTCTGATACTGCGGCGGCAGAGGAGCATCCTCAAGGTCGTTCATACTAGGGTGAGAATAGAAGGGTTAGCGAACTGCATATGCAGAGACCTGTACCAATAAACAGATAAAGCTAAGTCAATGTATATATGGGGTGAACAGCTCTTGTTCAGTCAATCAAAAGGTGGATCTGATGAGCAAAATAACAACTAGCATTTTGATTGGCTATTTTCGATAGAAAGATATAATTTAACCAATCATAAACACCACAGCTCTTAGTAAAACTAATGCTCTTGTCAAATCATTTGAGATTACAAATATATATTGCATTCATACTGGAGGGCTAAGGCCATCTAGCGCACAAAAACTGTAAATCAACGATAACGAACAAGGAGCCAAATTGCAACTTGTCTCTTTAACGTTCAAATTCTAATTAACATGATAATCAAATTTATGCTCTATGCAGAAACGACGAAATTGTAAATATAGGACAATGAGCATCTGAAAAACCAACCCGACGCGATACAAATATGATACATACTGACTGATATATTTTCCGCCTATAACTGGGATGGGCAAGGCGTTCTTAGTATTTCAATTGCGTTTTTTACAACGACTCTCCTTCACTGCGCTATTATGAGCAGATATAGAGCAAATATCTACTTTTGCTCTAAATCTGCTCATAGCGATACGAGGGAGGCACTGAGATAATAGGAACCGGGTTAATGAAAGTAAATTAAGCCGACGTGGCTTCCAGGGAGATATTTATCGTTATTAATTGGTTTCTGCTGACAATAGTCTTAATTTCGAATCCCTGTCATTAATATCTTGCGAAAAACTGATAAGTCGCTCTGAACAGCGAGACAAACGTCTAAAAGCACATGGGCAACGGAAAAATGTTCTCACAGGCTATTCTGCCCTAGCCTGGAGCGTGAGAACGCACACACAAACAGCAACCAATTTCTATTACCGAAAGATGTCGATACGAGTTCTTAAGAGGAATCCACTGACGGAGACCGCTACTTTAGAAGAAACCTCTAGAAACATGGGTGAAAAGAAAGCGACATCTGTCTACTAATCTGTAAATCTCACTCTGTGATTAAAATGTATGGAGACCAAAAGCTCAAGCCGCTCAACAAGAATTAAAAGAGCTGTTCAAGGAATCATCTTCTTTCTGTAACACCCCCCCCCCCGCCCTAGAAAACTTGGCCAAGGTCAAGAGAGCGAAGGGCTTAGGGGTGTGACCCTCAGTGTTTTATGAATTGGTCGGTAAATACACAAAGTCGTTACTTCGTCAGCAAAATCGATGATGTTTTCGTACGTAATGTTTTCGATACGATGATGTTTTCGTAGGTAAATTTTACTCCTCTACCTCCTAAGTCTTGAAGGTTATTCTACGCTAGATAGATATCTGACAGGATATAAATCAAAGAAGTAAGAAAAATGGAGTAGGACATCTTCAAGTCTCAATAAGAAACAAAGGATCTACTCGTCTCTTAAGCTCGCTTATCTTGGGCCATTTTAGCATCTCAATGAAGATGTCAAGGTGTATACATGCAACAGAAGCTCCAGGCAGCTGTAGTTCTAGTCAGTGGCGGACACTTGGGGGCGAGGGGGGGGGGGCGAATGCCCCCCAATACTTTAGAGGACAATGGTCTTTTGTTCTAAAACAATGGGAAATATGACGTCATCTTATTAAAACAATAGGCTTGCCCCCCCCAATATTTGACCAAGTATCCGCCCCTGGTTCTAGTGCTCTACTGCCCATTACAAGACGGCATTTGTTGTCTGGGGATCATTTCCACCAGGCGCATACGCGAAATGTTTGCCTGTTGCCTGGAGATATGTGCTATAAATCGTTTTCTGCTGGTTTTCATAGAAACTGTAAAAAGGGCTGCTCTTTAAATTACTTGTAGCCCAGAAAATCTATCCGATAAACAGTCGCAAAAGGACACTGTCTTTGGGATTCGCAGCTGGGGCTGCAGGAAACCGCCGAGTCTAGGGAAACGACGGGACTGTGACACGAGACATGTTTTTAAAAGATTTTGATCGCTGTTTTTGAATCATTAATTAGTTCATAACATCAATACCATTAAATATCGCTTGCAAACTCTTCACTTTTTATAAAATCCTGTTATCGGCCAGACGAAAGTAGGGAATAAATTTGGCAGCTTATAAAATTCAAAAAGCCATCTTGTTAAATAATGAGGAGACAATTCTGCATTATGCTAAAGTTTTGTAGAACAGCAGCTGAAACACTGATTGAGCAAAAAATTCTGAGAATATTGAGACACTTGATAGCATTGCAAAGCTAAACAGCGATATGCTAAATCCTTAATGATTTCTGGAAAGGAAAGCTACCAGGTTTTTAAAGTCAGATGATACATCAGCAATTTTGGAAGACCCCTTCTCTGAAAATAAAGTGAGAACCTACAGTTGCTGCTAATTAAATGCGAACAAACAAAATATTCTTAAGGCGTACCTTACTAAGATAACCTTAAGAATCAGAGTAGAGGGGATGATTTATCAAATGAACATCGCCACAAAACAAATTTAAAAATGTGCAAAGATACTGTGATAAGGATTAACGTTTTGCATCATTTCACCCGATCTTATCTATTAAACGGTTTTACATTTTAGCTTTAAACGTTTCACTTACGCCATTGGAGTCGCCTGGGGTTCGTGGTATGGCTCTTTCTCGATACGATGGAATTCAGAAGAGGCCTGGCCATTCCAACCCGCAAGATCTTTTTCTCTCGCCGAAACTATGAGACAAAAAAATCATCAATCGCACACACGAAAATCCACCATTCTGTGGACTCAAAAAGTATGTTGTGTTTTCAAATAGAAAACACATCCCGCAAAATTTTTAGTACTTGGTTTTTAAATTGTAGTTAGCTATTTAATACTTAAGCTCTCACTTACAATTAACTCATTTTATTTCTTATAACTAGTTAGTCACCTTGTATTAATTTAAAGGGGGGGCCTTGAAAATCAGCATTGCTGAAGAGGTATCCTCCTTAAATAATGGAAAATGAAATCAAAATGAAGGCAAACTAAAATCAAAATCTCTTTGATGATACATTTAGGAAGTAGTAATAGAAAAATTGCAAACTCTATCGAAATATCAATTATACACAGCATTACAATAAAATAAAACTCTTTCACAAAAAATTACAACAAATCAAAGAAAAGAAGGGATGATACCTCTTGAAAAGAACTTAAGTCGAGAAATGTTTTCAGAGGGCGCTAAAATACCATGGTATTCTTATAAACTTTTTAACTTGCTGTTGTTGTCAATGCATTTCTGATATCATCTTGTTTACTACACAAAACCAATTTTTTTGTACTTCCTCCAACAAACAAGCCTTGTTCTCAGAGATCCCCGCCTTCCGCACCAACCAACAATGGAACTAAGACATGGGCGTGGCTATAAACTTTGCGTTCAACGACCTTCCTCACAGCGCTCAGACACTACTTTTCAGACCCTCTGGGTAGGTATGAGAAACTTCAGTCTAGTGATGGGCCCTTTAGTACAAATATGCAAAAAAAGGATTGAGATCTGTGTTGCATTTTAGAGAAAATTTAAGTATCATAACTTGATGAAGGTTACTTTATTTGCAGATTTCTATATTACGTTTTCAAATGACGCACTCTAGACTTTATGCAGACAAGTTCGACACGTGTAGCAAATCATACACCCTATTTCAATTCACGATCCACAGTGACATTTCAAGCTACCCTGAACATCTCTTAGACTAATCTATGCACCCCAGAGTGTTATCTGGAAACTAGCAATTTTATTCACACACATTTCAAAAGCCATGGAATACGAGGAAATTTTTTTCAGGGGAGTGTACTTTACTTTGACTCTGACGACCATATGGTCCGTTTTTCCTACTACATTAAGTACCGAAAAACCCGGTGCCAAAAATTTCGGTGGATTAATTTTCGGTGGAAAAACTTTCAGTCACATTTTTTAAATTTCGGTGTAAATCTCGGTGGAAAGAAAAGAATTTGGTGTGTAAAGAAATGAAACACTTTCTGTCAGTTATTCTATCTTCAATATAAAGAAAGGAGGGAATCAGAAATTCTGACTGATTGTGGGTTAAAAATTGAGGCGTCCAAAATGAAACCGCTGGAGTGTTAAAAAGAATAATTGAGAGAAATTATGAAGAACGAGCGGAAGAATCAGTTCAGCCCATATTAAACTCAAATTTCTTGGAAGTAGAGGGCGAAAGAGAAGAAAGTGAAGATGAGCTGAATATTTTATTTGTTGATGACGATGGAGAATTAAAAACTGCAAATTGATATGTTGTGGATGTGTAGTAAAATTCAAACTATACAAAATATTTTTTTTGTTATTTTCAAAGTCTATCAGTGCAAAACGACAGTGTAAATAATTTTACTAAAATAAATCCCTCGAAATTTTTGGTACTTAATGTATGCAAATCTGGACACGTCTTTGAGAAACCTCCACTATACTTTCAAGAATCGGATGACGTTTGCATATACAAATCTACATACAGGGCAGCATAAACATTTGAGACTAGCAAATAAATTGGATTTACAAAATTATGAAGAAGCTGTAGTGAAAAGGCAAATAAAGAGAAAAAGCAATATTGAAGGTGCTCCTTACCACTGTATTTGCTGCCCTTCTTGTTTACCAGAAGAAGAATGACAAGCAAGAGTATCAAAACGAAGATGGTACAAGCAAGGGCGCCGACGAACCATCTGCTAGAGTACCATGGCCCTTCGTTTGTTCTTGCACCAGGTCCTGGAAAGCGATTGAAGCTGGTAACCAGATTTCTATCAAACACTGGCAGAGGTTATTCAAAGTTAAAGAAACGCAGTTGTCAAAATATATAATAAGTTAAACATTTACGACTATAAAGTGAAAATAAAAAAAAGAACCCTAGTTCAGGATGGGTAACGGACGGTAAAAGCAGCATGAGTCAACACAAACTGTTTTATAGTGTATCGAAAAACGCACGAATCAAAGGAGGCGATTTTATCATAGTTTACACAGGTCTATTAGTCTGTTCGTTACTAGATTCCAGAGAGCGAAATGACTTCAAGTAGAAAGGGGTCCTTTCTCGGGTCTACCTCAACATATTCAAATGTTCATTCAAATATTCAAATGTTGGACACTGGTCTGGTACACAAATTTATGTTGTAGGATGTTGTCCGTTGTAGGATGTTGTCTGTTGTAGAATGTTGTCCGTTGTAGGATGTGGTTCGTCGCAGGATATTGTTTGTCTGGTGTATAAAGCACAAATGGCTAACTATCTAGGGATGTGAGAGCCTCTGCACCTCCAATCATAATAAAATATAATTCTGCATCCACCCCCTTTCTCACAATAAAAAATGCATGCATAAAAAATTAGCTTTGAATTGTCTTGCTGAAAAACAAAATAAACGGTTCCACCATAATCTTGTCGGAAACTACAATCCTTGCCAAAATTGTTGGAACACTTGCGCAAAGCTGAAGCTTTTTTTGAAAAATCCCCCCTACCCCCCATAACAATGTTGTTCAATTGGGCTGATTTGATCCTGAAGGTAAACATTTCTTCACTGAAAGCTGTATGAAAGTATTGAGAAAATAAATCAACATTGTACGGAGGGAGAGGGTCGATATTTTGAAGCGGCAGTGATATTTTGGTGAGGTAGTTTTAGACTTGCTTTGTTTATTTGCATGCTGCAATGGGAAGGCGTTCCAGTTATTTTTGGCAAGGACTGTACATTGTCCAGTGTTTATTACTATATTACAACGGAACAGTATTTAATCTGCTACTTACACTAAGCTAAAAATTCAATTTTAGCGAACTACAAAAAATACATACTCACCTCACCGAGTCTCCTAAGAAAAAATTACACCATCCTATTCTAAGAACTACATATAAATCTTATTCTGAGAACTACAAATAATATCAGGAAGAGATGGAAGAAGATTGAATGCAGTGGATGAAGAAGTGAAGAAAGAGTGCGGTGCATTTTAGTGTACAGAAGAATTTAGGGCTTACAATTTATGGTTGGCTTATAATTTACGGTTGGTTTATAGCTTTAAAAGTTATGAGTAATTTAAGGTTTATAACTGAAGTTTTAAATTTTAATGTAAATTTAAGTTATAAAAGTTAAAGCTGGTTCTAATATTAAAAATTCATATTAATTGTTCGCTACAAGCTAAGAGTGTTTTTAGCGCTTGTTTTCAGGTTGAGCATTTAAGCGTTTATGGGGGACGCCCTTTATTTCGTTTAGCAAGACTAAACTTATGTCTTGGTTTAACCAGAGACCAGTCTGCCTACTCAAGAAAGAACTTCTCTAGCTTGTCGTTTCACTTTGTTTTCGAATGTTATTGAGCAGTCTGTCATCAAATTGATCACATTATACGGGAGTTTGAAACAAGAAAACGCAACGATCGTACAATTGCAGGCGATATTGCACGATCACTGATCAATGATCGTACAATGCCACCCAAGCATAGCATTGATATACCCAAGCATAGCATTGATCTAACCAAGCAAAGCATTGATCAATAACGATCAAATATGGCTTGTGATCAATGATCGTACAATTACACCCAAACAGAGCGTTACCTTTGGGCAAGATTGCAGCTGTAGTTACGTTCACAACGCTGGTAATGTTGCGAGGGAGCGTGGTACTGCCAGTTGTTGTTAATGGCGCTAAGGCAAAATGAAACAAGAGTGTGCCAAACTCTACACGACATTTTGTAGTCGCGTAGACACAGACAAGCTTAGCTTTAAGTTGTTAATGTGTAAGTACAGAGATTGAATGGGTTATGTGCATAAAGGAAGGCAGAAAGGTTGACATGACAGTTAATAAGTGTGGTTAATGGAACAAGCAAGTGCAATGTGATGTGTTTGAATACTGGCAAGAAAAAACCAAATTATAGTCTTTAACAAATACATAAGCACAAAAGCAAAGCAGTGGAGGTACTGTGTGTATTTGAAACTAGAATACTGCAGGAATATCGCTATGATTCAGAGATAGCTTTGCCAAATTACAGGCTCTTGACAATAAAAAGATTTTTAATGTCTAAGGACGACGGGGGTCACAAGTTCTACCATGCTTTGCTTACCTTTTATTGGAGGCTTAACCATTGAAGGTTTTTCATATAAGTTGGTGCTCGAAACATGTCTAATGGCTTCTCATAGAATCCAATAGCACAACCCCTGTCATACTCTTTTTACAAACTAGATAATTTCTGCTGAGGCTTGATGTTCCTATTTTTTGGATACTTTTGAGGATTAAGCGTTCTCAATGTTGTTCCCTATTCAATATTGAGTTTTCAACAACACAATGTCCTAAATTGTTTCTGATTCAAAGAAATTACAGTTTTGAATAATACTTTTTGTAGCACGGCTGACTAGCTGACAAAATCTGATTTACACACAACAGGATTTCGAAGATAATTAATAGAGAGTGCGGGAAAATAACCGACCCGAGCGAGGCTCGAACCCACGACCCCTGACTTTGTACGTCAAGAACATAAGAACAAATTTTCAAAAATCGAGACTTGGTGTTTCAAAAACATTATTTTTTTCTTCAAATTCTTCTAAGGCTGGGCATGTTTTTATGCTGTTCTTAATTTTGGCAAATCAAGCCTCAGTGTTCTTATAAATTGTAATTTAAAACAGTTGTGTAAGTTAAAGCAATGATCTGACATAACTAGTGTGTAGACTATACTATTGTAAGTCTGAAATATACCTACGGTTCAAGCGACACACCTCAAAAAACAGCTTTCATCTAGATCGTTTAGGCCCTCTTTCAGAGATTTTGACAAGATATCCGGATAAACGTGTATGTATACAAAAAGTTACCAAAAAACATACCAGTGACCAGTGGCTAGAAGTTCCAAAGCCAGTATGCCTTTACAAGTAGCATTCTTCACAAGGGTGTGATTCGGTCAGAAGAAACAAAGTACAAGGAGCCATAATTGAAGAATTATCACAAACAAGGAGTATAATCTAAACAAATCGTGAATTTCACTGTAGGTCCGTGAACCGGGAAGTTAATGAAAATAACTTTTGGAGCGAAAACCAATTCGTAACAACGAAATTTATTCACGAGGCTCAAATCACAGGAATAGCACAGGAATAGCTTTTCATCAGCACTTTGACGACCATGCATGGAACTGCAATGTATGTGGACACACTGCCTTTAACTATGAAGAAAAATATGCAGGTCAGATGTCTCTCTCTATCATTGCTGGCCGCAGCAATGCAAAGCTACCTGTTTATACAAAACACTTACTTGTGTATGGCATGACCTGAGAAATAGCCCTGTCACTATTGATGCTGTCGCCCATGCTGTTATGACCAACTGTCCAAAAGTAATATTCCAATTCTGGCAATCCCTTAACTGTTTGCCAAGGCCTTTTCCTGAAGTTGTCGCCTTTTACAGTCAACGAGTTGAAGTAGGGATCGGCGTCATAATAGGAACCATCTGTTAAATAAAAGATTTAATCACTTACGGTTTCTGTTTCAGAAGAAGCAGAGATTATAACGTATCAAACTGGGGTAACGCATTTCGAATTAAATATTGACTCACGATTAGTGAACATTAATAATCGAATAGGGATTTCACTAACAGAATATGAACTGACAGTTCATGAATTTCACGTTCAGAGCAAAAATCGATTATTTAAAAAGAGATTTATTCACAAATCACAAAGCACAGGAAAAGCATACCAACAGCACAGAGGCAATTAATTGCACCAATGGTGGCAAAAAAATTGCGTTAACAATTATATAACATTTATAGTGGAAACCCAGTGCATTTATATATATCTTTTAAAATCTAGTTTGAATTTCACTTCTCTTCACAATTTTCTACACAACTTGAACTGTTCAACCATTAATCCATATAAAAAATTATCAGGCCCTCTCAAAGTTCGACTGGGCACATATCCATAGTACAAAAAGTAAACAGATGAAACAAATTAAATTAGAGCTGCCTCGTTACCTTTGTGTTTGTAGTATACTGTAAAACTCGTTGGAAGGCCACCATAGCCAGGCAGCTTGTATGTGATGTTAACAGCATTTGCATCGTAAGGAACAACCCTTGGCAAACTCGGCCTTCCAGGTTCTGAAATAAAAATGAGAAATTCATCATAGGTTGTAACTGGCGCTTAAAATGTAACAAAGGAAGCCAAACCCCTTACTAGCTCGTTTCTAGACCTGCATAATCCAGAACAGCGACCATCTCCCCAGATAGCTTACTAGATTAAAGGAGGAGGTGATTGAGTGCTCAGAACGAATGCTAAGAATTAAAAAGGATTTAATTATTTTTATTAAGCTCTTGAAACAAAAAAAAGATGACGGCAGGGTCCCAATAAGAAAATGATATATAGGGACCATGTCCCAGGCCTCTTTTCTGTCAGGCTTGAAAACTTTCTACAGAAAAAAATCTCTTATTTATAAACTAGAAAGCAATAACTTTTTATTAACAAGGAAGAACTGAAATGGGCAAATAATAAGTGATGCACATACTGTCAGGAATACTGACGGTCATTCGCCGTCTAAAATATTGCCCTTCTCCTGCTTGATTCATCGCTGCGATCCACACCTCATAGAACACACATGGTGTCATTCCCCTGATGTAGTATTCGCGCTCAATTTTGTCGACAACAATATGATCGAGTTTCTTCTTCTTCTGGAAGTCTCTCTTTGGTCTCAGCTGCATTATGTAGCCTGTCGTGACACCGTTCGGCTCTAGTGGCGGCTCCCATTGCACGTGTAGAACATCACCGTATATCGTCATCTTGATGTTATCAGGGATGCCAGATTCTACAACCGAACAAAAGTAAAATTCCATTATCAGTTTCTTCGCCTTTGGCACCCATGTCTTTTCTTCAGTGTTAACAAAACGATGAGAAACGAATCTGATGGTAAATGGCCTTTGAGCCAAACTACAAATACAAAAATACGATCAAAATAATGTAAATTTTACTCACTTGTAGCTCGGGTTTCAAACACAATAGCATCACTTTTTGGCCCCTCTCCGCCACTATTGAAGGCAGTTATATATGCCCGGTACCTTAAAGCCGGTATCAGTTCGGACACATTCCTCAACAACTTCGTATCCGAACCAACAAGGTACTCTACAACATACGGCTTTTGCTCAGTAGGGTATTGTCCAAACACCACAGATCTTCGTTTCCGCCTGCGGTCCACGCCTCTCTTGATTTCTGGACGATACGGCTTGGTGATATTCCAGTAGTATATCTATGAATATCAACAGATCAATGACTGATAATTCAGGTTGAGGCAAGAAAATCGGCAGAAAATGCAGTTGAATTATAGGTTGTCTATTCCGTACAGGATTTAAAACCTTAATATAAAAATCTTGCTCATGGTCAATTCGTGTAATAACCCATACAACATAAAATACAAAAATCTTCAAATGTATAATTTTCCTAGCCAGATTTCGGTAAATATCTAGATTGATTTTCCCATTTATTATAAAATTCAAAACAACATTATTTTAAATCATAGAAACAAATCAACGATTATAAAAATAATCCTATGGCCAAGCGTTCTGTTTGTTTACTGTTCATGTAAACAGTAAGCTATGCGGCGCGTTTTGAAGTGAGAAACAAGAGGCGGGGTACCGATTGGGACATTAACAATATCCTATTGTTCCTATTGTAATACCAACCCAATGAGATTTCAGGTGATTCCAGAAATTCACCGAAACAAAGTACCTTTGAGAACTTCTTCAGAGAAGGAGAATAATGTTTTTACACGCACTGAACGAGATTGGGACGCAATAAATACTAGTACTAATGACTCCACAAAATATGCTTTTGATTTTACATTTCGTTTAAGGCATAAATTAAAACAAGAGATTACCCTATAACCGTCAATATTGCCAGGGGAAGGAGCGGTGATTTGATTCCAAGTAATATCAACATCTGTGTATCCAATCTTTGTTGGCCTAAGGCCCGTTGGTGCAATGGTGAGTTCTGGAAGCGAAAGAATACTATTACAGATATCAGTAAAGCTCAACAACACTTCGTAGAAAGACTTTCATTCTCTAACGCACCGTTTCTCCTCTGACGTTACATTAACACCTGAATAGAGATATCCCTTTAGTTTTTAGTTATTTCCACGTCACTTTGAATTTTCTTTCTGGATAACATCGATCCAGCCATTTTCTAATCTAACATGAACCTTTCCTTGGCACGAGCTTGGAAACAAACAAATGACACTTTACATGTTGATGAACGTAATGAAAAGCTTTCAAGCAATCGTAATAAATTCAGTTCTAGGGCCATTTGTGAATATCAAAGCACGTTAAAACCTTCTGTTGAAATAATCAGTAAATTCATAGCAAAAAGCTACTTACTTTGTTGATAGGAATAGGCTGTGATGCACTTTTTGGGGGCGGTTGAGGGTCCTCTTTCGTTGTAGGCAAGTACACATATCTCGTAATTCGTAAATTCTGAAGGTTTAATTGGCCATTTGTGGGTAGAATTTGTGAAGTTTCTTGAAGTCCACTTCGCCGTACCAACAATTCTGTAACTGACTTCATACCGAAATTGTTTGCCTTCTTGGAAAATAATCTTCATTCTCTGAAAAATCACACAATGGAAGATATATCTTTATATACTTATGAGCATTCTTTTTTGAGGCGATTCGTGTACAAAATTATCAGACTGTTCATTTCGCAATCAATCTTCAGAATACCTAGAGCCAGGCTTAAATAAGGACTGGGCAACAAATTAAGAAGTGCAAAAGATTGGGATATGTCTCATTCCTAATCGATTAATTCCACTACAAGATTATCGATGGCAAAGAAAGCAAGAAACCTTCGAAGCCTCTACGATTTGTGAATGTCAGATAAAAAGCTAAGGATAACTTTGACAAGAAGAGACAACATATTACAACCATCTTAAAACCTATCCACTTACACTCCAGACAATATCAGAGTCCTGTCTATTTTTCACAACCAATGTTAAGTTTTCAGGATTTGTAGACGGTTGCTTTGAAGCAGTTACACACAATGAGGAGAGAGATGGCTTGCTGGGTTGGCTTGCACCCACTTGATTGACAGCTGTCGCCCTGAATTTGATAGCTGCATTCCCGGGCAGCACAACTGGATTGAGACTTGAACCAAATTGAAACTGATTAGCACTCTCTCCCTTGACAATACCAGCTTCATACCATATATTGGTATCGTCCGGATAATCAGACGAATACTCTACTTTCACAAACTTCATTGGATCGTTGTTTGCCTCGCCAACTCTCCACTCTACAGTTGGTCGGTAATTTGCGCAGCTAACAGGAAGTGTCAAACTTGTTGGTGAATCTGGTGCCGCTATGACAAGAACAAACAAAATTTTATGAAAAGCTTATACACACTTTTTTTAAAAGAATACATAATTTTTTGCTGAGCCTCTATATTCTTAATTCTTTTTACTTTAGAGCCTCAGATTAGTCTTGAATTATTCTTTAGCGACACAGGGTGTAACTGAGTCGCATTACAGTGTTAATGACTTCAAGGCCGAATGCGCCTTTTTCAAGACATATAGCGTGAAACTTGCAATTTGTTTCCAAAAAAGCTCAAATAAACAAAAAAATTAATTCTTGATGGAGCTTAAGCCTCGGGTTATTCTTAAATTCCAGAGATTTTGAGCCTTAATGCTCTCATAGACTATATTCTTATAAAAAGGAGTGTACCCTTTTAAAAAGGAACTGCAGATAAGAAACCGACCTTTAGGATGGTAAAGAAGTTGATAAGCAACCATTGAACTGATCACCTTCAAACAATGTCATCAGGAACGATTTTGTATTTCGTCTAATTCGATTAGAAAATGTTAGGGTTGGAGGTAATACCGAAAGTATTTTTTGCGACGTGAATTTATTAAAACTTCCTTTGCATATCCAAACTTTAGTCAACGGCGTTTGCAAGTGGTAAAATTAGGGTTCCAGTTGGTGAAAGGCGATCTCTGCCACTAAAAAGGACGTGGCTTAGAATCTTTAATGTTGTTCCTTCAAAGGTCTAGTAGCTTGCGCCGCCACTGCCCTCAACAGTAAAGAATCACTCAAAAATGATCATTTTAAAGATTGGGCGAATTATTTATCTAATTAAATCCTAGGTATTTTGATTTATTTCTTTAAATACCTTTTATATCACTGTATATATAATATTATCATTTTTATTCCTGTAAATAGTAGGCTTTAATTAGCTTATCGTTTTAGCTACTACTGTAAAGAACGCCTACTGCAAATAAATGAATTATTATTATTATTATTATTATAATCCTTATCAAAACCGCATGAAAATAAACACAGCCGCGTAGTTTTCACAACATTTTGCATTTAATAATGCGATTCAATGGCAATTTTTTTACCTGAGACAGAAAGATATCTGGTTGCAACATCTTCAGACCTCACGTTGGCTGTCGTGCTTAGGATTGTATATGCTTTGCAGGTGTAATTTCCTCTATCCTCGAACTTCAATTTCTTGATTATAAGAAGTCTTGGAGCGGCATCACTAACACGCTGCTCTAGCATGAAACGGCCATCAAATGCTTTTATACGCTCCCCATCTTTCTCCCAATGTATACGCAATTGCAGTCTCTGATCATACGTGGCGTTACAGACAAGAACTAAATCTCTACCTTCTTTGATTGTGCTACCTCCATTTGGGGCTTCCGGGGGAACAACAATTGTCGTGGGAACTAAAATGTAACAAGGAAATATTATATCATTTCAAAAATTTCAGCAATGTGGTTTGCAGTGTATTAGGGGAAAATCAAAGTATATTTCACCTGGTCTTCTCCATTGGACTGATTGTACAAAAAATGGCATTGTCTATGTTCGTAAATATCACTCTAACAATATGCAACGTAGACCTAGTTAACAAGCATTTTCCGAAAACGTCCGCCTCCAGCAAAGGACAAATAATTTTGTCCCATATTTCTTTCTTATGGACAAAGTCTTTTAAAAAAGCTCTCAGACGACTGACAGCACCTAAAACGGATACTAAATCTGACCCATATGACGAATTCAATTTACTAATTTCATATTCAAATAAAGAAAGAAAAGTGTCAATGCAGCGCCAAAATTCATGCATCAAGTGCTCTCTTACCGACAACTTGAACATCTGCCGAAGTTTCAGCACTGCCTTTAATGTTTTGAGCAACACATTTGTAACGGCCTTTATCGCTATCTTCCACGTTATTAATCACGAGCGTGCCGTTCACATCTTGAGAGATCCGCCCCGTGTTGAGGTTGACAATCTGATTGTTCTTGTACCAAGTCTTTTTTGGAATAGGTCCGCCGCGCGGATTGCACGGTATGCGGCCAACCCTGCCGCGGAAGATAAACATAGGATCCGGCAGTGGCTTCAAGAATTCAGGCTTTACGGCTGTTGTAAGATAAAGCGAGATGTTATTTTCTACAAAAAATCTACTGTTTTTATTCTAGCCTTACAAAGACGTCTCATTCTGGGGGCAGGGCTTGCTCAAAATATCTACGAACGTTAAAGTCAAGAGCCATTCCATCGCAGGCATTGCCGAACCAGAAATCAAGAGACACATCCTATATACAATATTTGGTGAGTGCTTTGAAGTGAACGTTTGGCCTGGCAGAAAACTATGCATTGCTTTAATTAATTCTTACATCCTGTTATTTGGTGAGAAATAGAACGCCACAAAAGCCTAGCAAGGACGGGAACGAACCTTGAACATCAATGAAAGATTGGGTAGTGATTGTGCCATGTTTGTTCCTGGCCATGCAGATGTACATGCCTTTGTCGATCAGCCTCGCATTTATAATCCTTAGAACACTACGGTCGATTTTGATGTGATCACTAGAATTTCAAATAAAACAACACCACATTATGAGTTGCTAAAATTTCAAATAAAAATGCAGTCAACGTATTTGAACTACAGTAAATCCCCGCATATAAGAACCTACTTTTTTGAGGTTCAGACTGAAGTAGGTTCTTTTTGGCAAGGTACTTGGATTAATTTCAGGGTTTGAAGGTTCTTATTTGAAGGATCCCTTATTTCAAATTTTAGTATTCATTATCAAGAGATGCATTCAACCCTGTTTTTTCCTTTTGGCAATGTTATTAATGCAACATTACAAAGAAAAAGATATATAAAAAATCTGGGAGTAAAAAAGGACCATTGAAAACTCTATTTTTTGCCCTTGGGAAAAGAACCTATTATATTTTATCACACTGAAACAGGTTCTTAATTACAAGGTGCATAATTTAGAAAAAACAGCCTCTAGGTTCTTATTTTTGTAGGTTCTTATATGCGGGGATTTACTGTATCACGGAAAAGCAAAACACGTTCGGGGTCACGAGAAAATAAGAAATTGACGAGCAATAATGTTTGCAAAACCAAGAGACATTCTAATTCGTCGAAGCGAACCCGCTCTAAGCTCGCATGAAGCAAGAAAATTGTAACTTTCTGTCTACAAAAATCTAAATTGCAATTGACAAGCAATTGTCGTTGAGACCAGTTTACTGTAAAATTTACCAATTACATAGAAAATTCAAAGGTTACCACATAATTATAGAGCAGTATTATTAATAAACGATATAAATATCAATCAACACTAGGGTCTTCCAGAAATAAATCTAAATACATCATACCACATATTATACAAACTAAAACAACATCACACTTAATATCAACGAGATTAACGAGCAAGAAGACTGCAAGTGGCTTGAAAATATTCTAATATTCAAGACGTGTTAACTGGTGTTTGAAAAAGGCACCGTATATAAGAGACGATTAATAAATCAAGACTCAAATGCTTGAATATGTCCTCTAAAAAGGTACGTCTGCCTCCCCCTCCTGTCCAGTTCGTCTTTATAGATTACTGTTGGATCAGTCATCTTGTTGGTTTCCAATTTAAACATCTTCACCAGTTATTGCATGAGCCTGAAGCAATAAAATATCAAATCAAGGAAGAAGAAATAAATAACTTACGACTCAACCAAGCGTGTTCCATTCTTGTACCACTCATATGTTGGAACAGGTTTGCCTGTTGCCGAGCAGTTGAACATCGTCGATGACTGTACAGGGAGCGTGATGTCTTTAATCTCTTTATCCCAATATGGCAGGACTAAAACAATTTAAAATGAAAGTCTAAACCAGCAGGAAAATGACGAACATATCGACAGTGAAAAGAAATCGAATCGTATCGTATCGACACGATAATTCTTTAGACCAGGACAAATTGAAAGGATCAAGGTAAATTTCAATGGAGATTTTGCACTTTATAATGTGTCACCAACATTACTTATCAAGACGGAATTATAACCTCTCACAGGTCTGTTATTGAAATGCTACAGCAGCACTGCGAAATTTGGAAGTGCGATTGGGATTACAATTCTATCAAAGAAAAAAACGACTTTATCACAGAACACCTACTATCTGAAGACTTATTAAAATAAATACCCGTTACACAGCATTCATATACGTATGTAGGTAGCATGAGAAAATATACTTTTGCTTCTAAGAAAATTTAGATCGCATAAGAAAGTGGACAAACCTGCGTGACATTTGTTGCAAGATAAGAAAATGAATTTACGATAAAAGAAGTTTATTAGAACCTTTGACAATAAAAAACATTCATTTGTTTGTGAAAGGCATTCGTTTTGAACTCTAGGCATTTATCAGTATTTAGTTCAGCCAATAAGAAGCCGACGAATAAACTCACAGTGAACTAGCAAATTTGAATCCACATATTTAGCACCCATAGAATTTCTTATCCAGCATCTGTAAACACCCTCGTCCTCCTTGCGAGGCCGCACAATTCTAAGTTCTACGTCATTGTGGCTAAGAGTGTACCCGATAAAATTTGTACGGCCAGTTTTGTCCAAATTCTGAATTCTAACACCATCTTTATACCATTCAACAGTCGGAGTGGGGCTGAAAGGAAATGATCAAATATCATTAGAAAGGAGAAAGTGTCTTCAAGAATAAAAAAAATTGGCATGCATCTTTGCGAATTTTTTAGGACTAGGCGAATTTTTCAGGTCTACGTCAATTCTTATGATCCTTCATATATGGAAGTTTCTGGGACACTCCTTCTTGCTGTCCGTTAAAAATCAATTTTCAAAGTACTGCAATCCTGTTGTTATGTATTCCATTGCCTGCATTTAGCCGTATACAAGATATGCTATGAATCGAGTTAAGGTCCATTTCCACTTAATTCGCAATTCGCAAATTCGAAGAAACAGCTACAGAAAAAAGTGGAAATTCATTCAACTAAAATTTGTAGAAAGTGCTTGGAAGTATAGAAATTTCTTGACAGCGGATGTAGCAAATAAATTCAATCTTCTCCAAAAGCATCAAATTTTTTCAACAGGAACACATTCAAATTTCTCAACAATCCAAAAAGAAATACTAGGGCATTCAAGTCGCTAAGGCTTATGGAAATCTACAGTATAATTTAACAAAAGCAGCTCTCGTATATCGGATTCGCATCAAATTTTATCGAATGATGCATGCTTTGAATTTGCACTTGCTCGCAATCTGGAAATTCCTTGCGAAATGCAGACCGCAAATGAAGTGAAGTGGCGATTTAAACTTCGAAAGCTAAAGAATTTAATTTTTGCGAGATACATGCTGAATCCCCCCCCCCCCCCACCCCACCCAATTGCTAATGTATTACAAACATCGTAAAAAAAATAATCTTTCAAATTAACTGCTTGAGAAATGACATCATTGTACTGAAACCATGTCAAATACCTACAATTTAACGCAAAATATTCAAACGTGACATATTGGCCTGCAATGTGGAAATAGACAAAGAAAGGCATGAACAAAGCAGTAAGCTCCCTTACGTGCCAAATCCACCACAAGTGAAAATTGATTCCTGGTCTTTCAAAATGACAGTGTTGTCAACCATGTGAGAGGCAAAATTTGGTTCCTTTGTGTAAGAGGATCCTAAACAAAATAGAAATAAATCTCGATAAAATAAAACAAACAGCCATTAATATAAATACAATTTCCAATTTCTACCATACTACAAATGATTCTTGTTATACATCGTACTGAATTTATCTTTAAAATCCTCCTACATCTCCTCTGAATTATTCCAAGCTTCGCTAAAAATGTATATTTGTCACTCGACCCACTCCCTCAAGGCTACTCCTGCTATTCAGAAAGAAGATATAAACGACAAAGATAGTTACCGAAATCTCTGTCCTTTCTCATTTTGAATCTGTTTGAAGCTCTTGTTCCCAAACCAACACTGAGGAGACATTGAATACCACGATAATCATCGTTTATTAACTCCAAGTCTTCTTGAAGCACGTTTGCAAAGTTAAGGCTACCATCGTTTCCATAGAAGACACGATTGCTGATAGGAATACGTTTGATACGTGCCCTTGGGTTATCTGCACCTGGTACACTGCCCCATTCAATGATAGATGGGTATGTATAGCTGTGTTTTGGGCATTTCATTGATGTGTGGTAATACAGTGTTACTGGATGGTTCCTAGAGTCTCGCTCAGCTCTTGATTCGGGCACAAACTGACCAAGAACTAGAAATGAAATTTAGAGCATTGATAGGCTCTTGTCTGAAAATAACCAAAATTCAAAGAGCCCTTTTTGGTAAGGTTTGAATTAAACAAACAATGGAAAATATTTTGAATGATGAAAAATAGATAAGTGTTATTAAAAAGTAATTGCAAAATTATATGCACATGAGATAATCCAGTAACTGAATATATTGATCTTCAATATGCAAAATGTGACAAGAAATGTGAGATAAGAAGACCATGTTCAAAGGTTTAGCAAGTCAAGGCAAACAACAGAAGAAATTGATTTAGTGACAGGAAAGAGAAAGAGGGAGCTACATCATATTACTGAGTATCTGAGGTTGTTTAGGGCTTTGTGAGATTACTTTATAGTCTGATAGTGGCAGTGAATATAATATGTTTTTAAGCATGTGCGAGTTAGATTGCACCAGAATTCAACCTGCAAGATCACAAAGCTTCAACCTGCAAGGGGAATATCTATTCACCTAGGAAGCTCAAATGATGGCTCTGAAGCTCAAATGAATCAAAGATAAACCCATTTGCACTGCAGAACAGTAAATTTCTATGTATAACTATCTCTGGAAAACTTCTCAGACAAACGAAAGAAACATCTAAAATCACTGAAAACCAAGAAATGCTAGACATTAAAAATATCATAAAAGTGATGACAGCCTTGGTCTTCTTGGTAAAAGTATTGAGCCAAATTATAGGTGGTCAAAGGGGTTAACATTGGCACAACAGGGCTAAAGTTGGGATAATATCAAAGAAATTAGGATGAGCTCCACAAGATAAATTGTCAGCAAACAAATGGTTGAGAATCTTAACCACCTTAGGACTCTATAATCTCTGATAACACATTGATATTTACAAAACCATAGGATGAATCTGATTGGAATGAAATAGAAGAAAAAATTGAACAGAAATAAGAGATTGTTGGGGCCCAGACCCTCCTTGGTATCTTCATAAGACACCACATGGTTATTATTATTACATTCAGTAGTGTAATACGTGCGGATGTACACGCCATCATGTAGCGTTATAATTTAAATGTTGATTTAATATCTGATTTAAAACAGTACTAGCTTACATGTTTTGATTCTCCATACCCAATAAGGACATACACATGGTAAATGTCAATCAACAAGTAACAGTGATCATGATTATGTATGTGGTAACACAAAAGTAGTTGAGGAGTTGGTTGGAGTTAGAGTTGAAGTAAGGATTGTGATTGGCGAATATGTAAAATAAAACACTTTTGGATTTGATACTAAACGGTTTATACAAAATGGTGATTTTTCTCTGAATCTGCATCTTACACTTCGTCCATCATTAAATTTTAAGATAGTGGCACCGCTAGAAATAGCGGTCCCAACAGCTGATGTGTATGGGTAAGGAAAATAAAAAAACTTTACCTCGTATCTTGACATCCAACTCTCTAATGACTGTGCCATCTGCGTTTGATGCTGAGCAAATGTAAACGCCACCATCAGATATGTTAAGATTATTTATTGTAAGAGTATTGTCTTTGAAAGTAACTCTTTTATCTGGGTAAGCATCGGTGATGACAACACCATTTCGTTGGAATGAAAATGTTGGAGGTGGGTCTCCAGAGCCACTGCAATCAAGGTACATAACTACGGGGGTGAGATCACTTTCAATTCTTGGAATTGGTTTTCGAATCACAAAATCGTCTACTTGAGGTGGTGTACCTGAAAAACAAAATGTTGGTTAACTCTTCATTTAATTCAGTCTGGATTGTCATCTACACTGGAATCAGTCTGGATTGTCACATACACTGTACTTTTCTGTTAATATATATTTATTAAACATGGTCAGGTTTTGCTGTCTTAGGCCATGATATGGCCATGGGCTTTTTTCTTCTGTCTTGCTTTTAAAAGGCATGTTTTATTAAATATACACATTTGCAGATACACCCATGTTACCGACCTTTTACCACAACTGACAAGGTCAAGGCCATCAACAGAATCCAGTGCATCATTGGCAGGTTCTCTTCCATGTTTAGTGATTGTTATTCAAAGCTTTTCATCTAGAAAATGATACAAAGCAGGATATGATATATGGCACAATGTTGAAAAGAAATAAATGGCATTATGTTGGAAAGAAAAATCCCCTTCAGGGCTCTCACTTTGAACTTGTAGAAATCCTAATAAGTGCATGAAAAATCCTCAGATTTCATGAAAATTCCTCTCATTTATTTCTAAATTTGCAAATTCTGTCAGAAAATAGAATATTACAGCTCTCCAAAGCTGCTTTAGTATGAGTCTGACTCTTTTATAGAGAATTATTCCCTCATAGAAAGTATAGTCTTTTGAGCATTTTATGCTCAACAACTAAAGCAAGACAGTGTGTACCTGTGTCTAGAGAGTACTGCAATTGACAGTCAAGCTTAAGAAAGAATTCAACAGGACTTTACTGGCATTACTGAACATTAGTATTTGAAAGTGTCCTTTTAGGTCTTGGATAAACATCATTTCATTTTATTCATCAACTTTATAACTCCTAGAGAAACATTTGAATATGAAAAGTCCACAAAAAATTATTTAAGAGTCTCCAAACTTCCTCAGTTTATGGAGAATTTTTAAAAAGTGAGATTCCTGCTCTCTGTTTATTTTATTGTGGATATATGAACTGAAAGGAACATTATTTTGCCCTTAATGAGCTTTCATGAAGATTCTGACTATGGAAGCATGTATATAAAAATCCAATCATGGAACAGTATTTATTTGAATAAATACAGTTCCATGATTGGATTTTCACAATCAAGAAACTAGACAAATTGGTTAATGTCAAGGTTGATATTTATGTCAATTAAGATTATGTCAATATTATTTTCATTTCTATTGACCACTAGATCATTTCTACAGTTGACTCCAATAATAATCACTTCACTAAAAATTACACTGCTGTTTAAAGTCAAATGGAATTTAGACCCAAATACTCAAAGCTGTTAAATTAAGAGCCATTGACAGTCACATTCCACTTACAATCCTTTCGGCAACTTTTGTTTGAATATAACCAAGGTCTACTGTAAAACATGAAATAAAAGTATACAATGTCTTTGCAATGGTGTGGAATACCGTGTATACTTGAAAATGTATAACTGTGGTTTCTTCAATCTTGTTGTCAGATACAAGAAATAAAACAAAGTTGAAATGTACAAATATGTCCAATCAAGTATTTGTCACTTTAAAGCTATTGTGTTTCAAAACAAATGCATTTCTATTTATGCTAGAACTAATAAAAAATCATTATCTTATTGTCACCCTGCATCTGGTATATATATATACCTTAGATATATATACTCTATGGAAGAAATGTGGCAAAAAAAATTCATTTTGATGATGAATATGTATCATTGAAGGATTACCATAGAATATAAAAACCAGGCTAATATCAATTTTCAAAATTCATTTCACATTATTATGGAATCTAGAGGGAGGAATTGAAGAATTTTTTCCATCCAGTAAGAAGTACTGTTTGCAATGTTTGATCATGAGCCATATCCAATCTTAATGTCAGTGTTAGAAGACACATTTTTCAATCCAAAGAGATTTATTTAAGGAAAAATTCTGCTTGTTTTTCAAGACAGCAAAATTCTTGGCATGGCGTATACTTAAATTTTGGTGAATTGGCAAAACAGCCTAGATCTCTTCCTGCGATTGTTTGAGAAGTTATAATTTTCATCACTTTATCTGCTTCAACACAAATTATGGGGGAGGGGTTGGGTGGGTCAGCCTAACATCTTTTTTCTTCTTTTTTGCAGCAAAATTTTCATGCAGTCAATAGGGAAAAACCTCTGGGAAAATACACTTGATGTTTTATAGCAAGCACGTTTGATCAAAAATTACAAAATTAGCTATTACTTATAATTCTTTTTAAAATACTATGTTTACAGCTTCTATGAATTTGTTTTTCGAATTGAAATGACATTAAAATGCTAGCAGCTTATCACATGCCAGATCTCTTCTTCGTACAAAGCCACACAGCCCCTACGCTTATAGTTTTGGGGGTTTAGGTTCAAAACTAATCCACACAAGATTGATTGAGTGTATTACAATAAATTAAGTGTGATAATTCCGTCGAGTTTTGAAACAGGGCTATCCTGAACCTCCTAAACTTACAGAAACTGCGAAAAACCTACGTTTGTTTGGATACTGACAATTAAATTTGAATTAGACACGTCCAAGGCAATTCAGAACCGATAAAGAACTTGCATCGTCATAGCCGGCTAGGCCTCCTATATAAATCTGTTTACGCGCGCTGAATTCTAAGTTAGCTACGCTTCCGGCCTTCTGCCTGTATATACCCCGTTAATGTTTTAATCGAGATGCGATTAGAAAGCAATAATGTATATAAAATTTAGTGGAGCTTTTTAGAGTCTATATAACTGATTAACGTACCTGTGCATGCACTTGGAAATTATACGATACTATAAATACATTATCGTATCCGTGTCAACATTCCCCACTTTACAAACAATGGCTTCACTTTCTAGGCCTATACTTCTAGGCAGTAGGTCAAACCAAACATTTCATATGTGGAAATCAACTATGATTGGGTTGCAATGTCATCGTGGTCGTTGGACTTGGTTAACCAGGAAAATCTCGCAAACGCAAAGTAACTTAATCTACCTCTTATCGGAATCACCTTCAGCATGGTTAGGCCAAATATTTCAACTTTTACTTACTCATCAATACTCACTTTAAACGGAATTAAAAGCCAACAAAAAGACATGTACCTGAAAGTTTCTGCAGAATACTTTTCCAACTATGCAATCGGTGGACAAGGTTGGAACAGCAAATGTTATTTTGCTATTTTGGGTTCCGTTCCCTACATAACCATGAAATGACTCATACCCATTGAACGACGCTTACATTATGGGAGGAGCATTCAAGGTCACGCGGTACAAATAGTTAGAACTGATTGGCTATCTCCGATATTGTTGTGAGTAAAAAAGAAAGTATTTGCTTTTGCAAACACGTTTTGCTGAACAAAGCTACAACAATATTCCAAAGATAACCAGGAATTACATTGTCGGAGGTTTCATTTGAAAGGTGTAACCCATCAACCCACCCCACCCCGTTTTAAAACTGTGCTTAAAAGCACAAAAACTCATCAGCCAAGAAATCTATCTGAAGAGGTGCCCTGAACCACAGAATAGTCATTTCATAATTTAAACTTTTCAACCTTTTTTGAATTTTTCTTATGTGTTTATGACAAAAGGAGAGTTACAGAGGTCTTAAGAGTTTCTAAATTATGATGTCATGAATGTTGTTATAAAATGTTATTGACCTTTTTTATCACGTCAAGAGATTTGCTTCCGATCCGATGCTGAATTTAGATGTGGGAAGTATATTTTTATCCCTCGTGTCTTAAGTTCTAGGCCAACAGAGCAATCTTGTTCTTGGATTTGACAAAATTTCGCTGTTCTCAGTTTTATCACGATTTAATAGTTTCTCAATTTTTTTGCATCGAGTACTGAAGTTTCTCAATTTTTTCTGACTGTCCAGTACTCGTTTCTATAGCCAGAAAAGAAAGGTGCAAGTGTTTTAGGAAGCAGTTTTGTTAATTACCTTTATGATACTATCGAACTATGTAAGCGTGATTCTTGTCCAAATAGCCGTATCCCCTTCTCATTTCTAGTGTACGTGAACCTTGTCCAAGATTATTACCTAGGACTGAATGTGTATCAAATTCGTCAAAAAAGTGACGAAATTACCAGCCCATGCAGTGGCGAATTTAAGGGGGCAACTATGGGCAGTTGCCCCTCCCTCGACGAGTTGAAGCAAGTCTGGCCCCCCTTTTTAGAAATTGTACGCCCCTTTTGAAGAATGAGAATCAGGTGAAAAAGTTTCTGAGACCGATAGGTTAATTTGCTTCAAGGATTACCTCAAAGTTATGTTGTTTATTCCGAAAATGGATCTAAAATGTTGCATACAGCGTACTCTCGTCATCAATTTTTTAAAATTCTTCAGCGCCCCCACCACCACCAATTTTTCAGCGCCTCCTTCAAGTTTGCTCTGGATCCGCCCCTGAGCCTATGCAACACTTATTGTTCAGAATGCTCAACCAAAAACCCAATTGAACTTTCGTATGCTAATCAGCATTCTGAAACATCCTTAACGTCATCTGATAGGCAAGACGAGTTTGAAATATCTTTGTTTGAAATATCTGTTTAGTCGCCTTGATTCATGCGACATCGACAAACTCTAGCTTAAGAACAGAGGACCATAACCACCAAGTCATAAGGTAATGGGAAAATCCTTACCAGATATTTTGGCCTACTTCTAAACATCTGCCTGAATAAGCCTTCTAAGGATAAACTCAACAGAAATACAAACAAAGAAGTAGATACTGCAGAAGGTTGGGACATCCATTAGCGAATTAAAAATAATTGCGTTCTTTTGCTTAAAGACCCCAGGAAGCATATTGTTTCCGCTATAAGAATAAGCGAACTGCTAACAGGAAAAGACGGAGGCAAGAGACCATAAATGACTTGGTTTAGAGACAACCAGATTTGGACAGTACTGACAATTTCAGCTATAACATCTCTGGTAATGGACAAAAACAGAAGGCAAGGACTAGTGGCAACCACAGAAGTGTGTTTTGCGCCACTTTCTGTCTGATTGAATCCTAATAAGCTTAGACAAACAGGGGATCGTCAAGACAATAGTCTTTTTCTATGCAGAAGGTCAGTACCACTGTTCTAACAATGCTGTTCCCATCAGTTAATATTAAAAATGACACAATACTACCTAGTTTGTTACTTAAGATTAATACACATGGACAAGAATTCTGCAAAACAAAAGAATGACAAGAACTCCCCTTACCAAAACAAAGAAACAATTTCCCATATGCTTCCCATATGCTGTCACCGAATTAAAGAAGTTTTCATTCTTCTTTGAGGAATATTGTTAACCTTGATCCATGGAACATTAGAACAATTGCTTGGTTGTCATTTTAAAGTAATTAATCAATTGAAGATCAACAACAGAAAAAGGCAATTTGAATATTGAAGCACATTCTTCTGTATTCACAGAATCTTTTACATGAATGTGGAAGGTCTTTTGGCAACAAAAGTTGATTTGAACTGCGATTTGACAACCCTGTGAGTCAGTGGGAATCTGATCTTCGAGTTCTGTGGAACAAAAATATCAAAACTTTGTATGAAGAAAAAAAGTGGTGTAAAAAGCTAGGCAAGATCAAATATACAAAATTAAAACAGGGTAAAAACTTGTGTAATCAGTCATCATAAAGCAGACAGAATAAATAAAGCAAAATAAAAAACTTGAACTTTGCTGGTGCTTTTTGTACAATGCTGAACTTTTGGAGATTGTAACAAAAAATATAATTTTGGAGATTGCCAGTTATTCAACTATTTATATTCAACTGAAATAGCTTAACAATTGACAATCCCTTAATGCAGCTTCTAAAAATGGGGTTTTTCAATGTGGCCTTCAAAAGAACTTGTTTTGCTTGAAAATTAAGATTTGCCAAAGATTAAGCTGGAGACACACGCCATACAAGCTTATAAAATGCAAAAGCAAGATATTACATTGTTTTAATCTCTAATAATAGCCATTGGGCACCAATAAACTTAACACTATAGCTAAATACAGTTCCACAAGGTTCTAATTTGTTTGTGGATTCAGTTCAGTATGGCTAGCAGATCCATAAAAACTGTTCCTTGTGGTTCAGTAGAAAATACAAGCACAGACGTATTCGAAGAGCAATCACTCTAGGGAAATTTGATTATTATGCAGTTAGATTAACTGCTGTATATATATACTTCAGACAATTAACTTAAAAACATTGCCTGCTGAACTCTCTTGTGTAAAAAATATTAAAATTTTGTTAATGTTATTATGACCGCAACCATCCTCTATCACATATCCAAAGCAAACACTGCAGACAAAACATGACCATTTAATGTGTCAACTCACATGGAATTGAGTGATGCTTGGTCTCTTGCATTTTGATGCTGGAATCACCTCAACTTTGATTAATTGAATTGATGAGGCACGGGCCCTGTGACGTGCAGCCATATCCAAATCTGAAATTTAATAATTTTACATTTCAATAATTCTGAATGGCTTTACCGTATTCATTCAAATAATTATGTGTAGGCTCAATTTGCGGTGGTTTATAATCAGGGGGGGGGGCTTATAAAAAAGGGTGGCTTACAGTGCTTTGCCCAAATCCTGCCAAGCTTTCCTGCTTCCTTGAAGCTGAGGTTGATAATGTCCAAGATGAGGAAGAAATACTTCTGGACAATATTGTTTTTGCTTGAACTAATGGGGGGCAATTTTTTGGTATAAGTACATACTCAGGTTTTTATCAGTTTTCAGTACACCATTCTAAACCAAGTATCTCTGTATGGTTTGGTTGATGCAGATTATAATCAAGAGCAGCTCACATCTTTTAAGAACCCAATTTGCTGCAGCTTATAATCAAGGGTGACTTATAATCGAATAAATTTGGTAGATAACATAAAAAGTCTTTGCTTGTAGGAGAATAAATATATATATTTCATACAAATCTATAAGACTGTACAGCAGGGATGCTGTGGAGAGAATAGCAATAGAACTACTGTTTAACTTACTGATATAGCCTGAGACAACTTGCAAAAAACAATTCATTGACAAAATGTTCCCAATCCAGCAGACTAAGTTTGCAGGGAAACAAACTCTTCATTCTGCTAGATAAGAAATTGATTTTGCAAGCAATAATTGAGTTTCAGCTATGACATGCCAAACTGACCTCTGCCCAATTGTCTTGCATCTATTTTATCATTAACAATCATTTCTACCTAAAGCTTTTAAACAAGAAAGCTATTTGTCCTAAATGGAAATAACTGGAGGAAACAGTAAGATATTATACATAAAATGTCTTATAGTTTTGTATATATTTATATATACTTACAACACTGGCTCACAGCTCCACAAACTGTTGTGTCTCTGTATTCTCTGTACATGTTATGGGTACCACTTCGTGAATCATATCGGAGCCAAACACCGAAATTCTTCACAGATGATGGGTTTTTCTCATGTACCTAAAAGGTTTCAATACAATGGATAAGAAAAAAAACTGACTTAAAATATTCTAAATAAATATATAAATATATAAAACTAAAATGGACGTAAAGTAGACAGAATAAAAAGCAGTACCAAGGTATATATACTTGTAATTTCCCTTTCAAAACAGAGAAAAACTTTACATCCTATTGTGTTTTTCAAGGGTGACTTATAATCGAATAAACTCGGTAGATAACATAAAAATTATTTGCTTGTAGGAGAATAAATATATATATTTCATACAAATCTATAAGACTGTACAGCAGGGAAACTGTGGAGAGAATAACAATAGAGCTACTGTTTAACTTACTAATATAGCCTGAGACAACTTGCAAACAACAATTCATTGACAAAATGTTCCCAATCCAGCAGACTAAGTTTGCAGGGAAACAAACTCTTCATTCTGCTAGATAAGAAATTGATTTTGCAAGCAATAATTGAGTTTCAGCTATGACATGCCAAACTGACCTCTGCCCAATTGTCTTGCATCTATTTTATCATTAACAATCATTTCTACCTAAAGCTTTTAAACAAGAAAGCTATTTGTCTTAAATGGAAATAACAGGAGGAAACAGTAAGACATTATGCATAAAATGCATATCTGCATATCTGGATTCATTATGATATCTGGAGACATTATGCATATCTGGCCTATTGTGTTGGGACACAGCCCTCAAATTAAAGAGCAAGTTAATCTGGTTGAAGTGCTTGAAGCCGCTTTTGGGAAATTCTGACAAAGGTGTAATGACTCTGCAAAAAATGTGAGATGGCATATTTCTTGTTTCTTGCTATATATCTACTTCATTTAAAAAAAATTTGTTTTGCTTTTGTTTGCTTTTGACAAACAGGAAGATTCTGTAAAGCACATATTTACCTGTTGACAACAAACAATTTGCCCACTTGCTTTCTTCACCTTCTTAGCCTGGGAGAGGAAATACCAAAATCGGGAAATAGCAATGGTCTTGTTTTTGGCAAAAATCCTCATTCTATAAAGAGCAGGCTTTGGGGCAGAATCAGTTGGCAAATGGCGGCCAACAATCTTGTACTCTTTGAGCTGTAATAGGATGGTTGAAAATTAAAAGACAAGAAAAATTTGGTATTGAAAATCAGACAAAATGGGATGAGTTTGATAAACTGATAGAACAAAAAACTTTTTATGAAAAGTTCTATGACAGATCTAAGGATAGTTTTTGACATGTCCAGGATAATAAAATCATCAACAGTCTAAGAAAACAATAAATAGTGTTATCATCCAAGAAAAGATCAAATCATTGCAGAGATGGTCTATCAAAACCTAGATGATATCAATTTTGCAAGCAATAATTGAGGCTCAGATACAAAAATTCTGTCCTCTGCCCAATTGACTTGCTTAACTTTATTTAATTCATCTGAAGATGCATGCTGTTTTAAGTTCAGTTTCCAAAAAAATTCCTTATTGCATACTTGAACACACATATTGCAATCATATTTTTATTTTCAATGATTTTTCATTTCATTCTATAAAGAATTTTGAATTATTTTTAGCTCCTTGCTTATCTAGCATATGTTTAACAGTATGTTTATCGCTTAACAACAGTTAAACATTTGATACATTTCTGATACAAGTCTATTGAAAAGACATTTCAAAAGATTCTAAAGGATGTGAAGCATCATTTGACTATGTCCTCTTTAGCAATAATGCTTTAACTGGTGCAAATTGTATTGCAAATTATATATTCCTATTCTAAGAATTGTATCTAGCTGTGGTAGCATCTTTTACATTATTTTAATTTAATAATGCCTTGCAGAAAAAAATACATGAATTGAAATGAAGTGATGGCTGGAAAAATTGTTAAAAAAGCACCTTATATGATGCAGTCAATTTACATAAACTGTAGTGTATGAAAATGACAACTTATTCTTTTTATTGACCTACATCAAGTATATAAGTTCCACCGGCCTAAATCCCACAAAACCAAGTGCCACACAAGTTTGCCAATTTTAAGGCTCGATCTGTAGCAAATTTATTTGGAACAAATTACACAAAAGTGAAAAAGTGCATTACGTTTACTATGAAAATCCTTTTGTACTTCATATTTTTAAGTAATTGTGAGATTATCGTAATAAAACATGGAAAAAACTTCGCTGATTCTACAGGGACCTACCGAAGCCATTTTGAACACGAGGATAGAAAGACTGATGAGAAAGCAGAAACTCCCAGAAAGCAGTGCGCTTATCCCATGATTCAATTCGAGCCAAAACTGAAAATAGATACGAGGCTTGCTCACAACAACAGCAACGTTATTTTAGTTCGCGCAAATTCAAGGGTCAAAGTGCAGTCAAAATCTAATATCAGAAAACAGAAGAAGGGTTTTAAAAAGATCGTTCGTTCATTTTTATTAAAAAGACTAGCTGAAATGTATTCCAGGATCTTAAAATTAGATTTTTTGTATACAAAACTGATTGACTGCGTTCCGAAAGAGGGTACATGGAGGTTATACAGCCGAAGTTATGCAACTTGTGGACGATGTGGTTCTGGAGTTTTGGCAAGAAAAACAAGAGTAGATTTGCTTAAGTGCAATTCAGCGTATAAAAATGGACCTGCACCCTTCCTGTATTCTAATTTTAGCAATTCAAAACGGGATTTTAGTCAGACTGTACAAAAAAGTGCTTTTGCAAAGGACCTCTTTTTGGGGAAATTCAACAAGGTATTTGCTTCTTTTGATGCTCAACGACAAAATAAGATACTTTAATGTCTATTAAATTGTCAGTTTTGTCATCAAATATGAATTTGCATAGCCAAATGTGTAGAAAATACGTTTTAGTGTGTTTGCTTTTTTGGACATTCTTTATTTAAGTTTGTTTTTGTCCTTGGAACTTTCAGAACTGACTAGACTGTGCCACTGTAGTCACAGCAACATTTGAGCAAAAGAGCAGAGCTGCATAGTTTTGCGTAATTCTACTGTTTTGTATACAATTGTTGATGGCCACATTGAAATGAAGGGAAGATCTGGTTATGTGTTACTGTTGTCATCATTTTATTGTGGCATGTAAGCTTCATTGTATATTAAGTTGTTGTTTTAGCTGCATAGACATTTGAGAGTGGGAAGCTTTTAGGCAGATCAGAACAACCATCCTGACACCAAGCTCCAGAAAATACCAGAGCCATAGAATTCCGGAATCCCAGAAAATAGCAGAAATTTTTTCTAAACTAATTCTTTTTATATTGGTCTTGGAATTGGTAAAAGCTGCCAGCTGTACTTTTAGTTTAACATATTATCTTTATTTTTAAGAGTGAAAATCAATTTTCCAATTAATTAAAAATTTTTAAATTTTCACTTGGAAATGATGAAACTAGCATTAATCTTACGATTGGAGTAAACTATGTTCTTTTGAGAGCAGAAAGCCCTGGTGATCATATAGATATATTAAGGAGTCTGAAAGTTTGACCAAATGTTTTGGTTTGTGACATGGCGCACATGCTGCTTGTTGCGTCCCAATGGCAACTTTTGCCCCTAGAGACGGTTCCCTCCCTCCTTGGAGAACGACCTCAGATATATGACATGCAGTTTTGCTTTGTCTCTTGGAAATCTTGGAGGCTGAAAATTGTTGGGCCCTCTCTCCTTGCCAAATTTAAGTCAGATTTTCATTATTTGAACAGTAACTTATTGCTTTTATGTACAATGCCCAGTCAATTAAGTGTTTGCCACTTATTTTCGACTGCATATGGTGCTTTATTTCATGTTGACATATTTTTATAGATCCTAGTTTTTATTTTAGAAGCGATTTCTAACAAAAGACTTAATTTTCCCAGGAAAAAGTCATACCATACCCAAAAGCGCTAGACGAGGAGCAGAGCAAATTGCTTGAGTCATTGGTTGAGCCAGTAGAGAAGTTTTTCACTGAAAAAGGTAAATATTGGATATTCACTCATATTCATGGCAGGCCTTTTCATAAAAAGAAGCCCACACAAGTTACCCAGCGCTGGCATGATTTCTCTTGTAGGAGTGATCACTCTAAAGCTCATAATAATAATCAACAATGCTATAGCGTCCATAACTTTTATAAAAACATATGATTTTGTTTTAAGGTTCTTTTGTTGAAGGCAATAGCAAATGAAAACAAATGGTTACAAATGATCTTTAATGCACTCTAAGAAGTACTCGATAAAAATGTGTTTTTTTTAAATTTTATCTACATCACAAAAGCCATATATACGTTATTGCTGGATGATTGCAAAATGTTGTTCCAAACCTGTTGCATTTTTCCGTTGAGATATGGTTAATTTAGCTTATTTATATTTCCTGTGTTTTTATATATTGGCTTGGTATTGGCTGTGTCGCTTACTTGGGCAACAAAAGATGACTAGAGATGTGTTAATTGATGAGACATTTATTCCCCACAATTTACCATTTTGCATGAGCGATCAAACTCTCACCTGGTTTTGTTTGCACGAGTGCATGGTTGCAAGTGATCGCTCACATCAAACAAAAAGGCCTGTGATTTTCCAGTGGGAGAAATTGTGGGGGCCTAAACAGGTTGTGTCCCCTACCAATCACATTCTTGTCAGAAATCTTGTGCTTTTGTTGGATATTTGACAATAATTAAAGTGGCCAACAGCCCCTCCAAGGCCATATCAGAAAATCATTGGCCCCTAAATGAAAACCTGAAATTCACCTCCTACTATTAAAATTTCATTTGATGAAATAAGGAAAAAGAGGTGCTACTGCTACACAAGCTTTTACTGTATCATGTTCCAAAAGAAACATGATGCTTGTAAAGACAACATTTTTATAAATATACTAGATTGCATGCGGTACAATAAATTAATGTGATAACTATGAATGTAAGTAAATTGTACCAGGAATAAATTATAGAGATTTAATGATATGCTCCACTTGATAACAGGCTATGCTCGAAGTGTCATTATTCATTAAGTCTACTATTTTTTCCTGGTACAATTAACTTACATTCATAGTTATTACACCACTTCTTATCTCTTTAAGCAATAATATATTGTGTCATTTACTGTTAAGCAAAGAGGGAAAAGGGCATGAAACACAAGTTTGGAATATCAATGATGGTTTTTGCATGTAGATCAGAATCCTTTTTACTTGCTACTAAGAGTTTCATGCCTATTGGGATCATCAAGTAACTGTGTGTCTTTTAAGACATTCTCAATTATACATACTATCTATGTTTCTGCATTTACTGAGAAATCTTTATGCCATACTTACTTACTAAGTTTTGTCTCTTTTTTAAACAGTTGACTCTACAAAGATTGATCAAGAAAGTAAAATTCCAGAAGATATAATGCAAGGTATGCGTGAAATGGGACTTTTTGGACTGCAGATCCCTGAAGATTTTGGTGAGATATCTCAAAGTTATAACTATCATTTCCTAATCACTTTTGCTATTGTATCTTCTTGTGACCATAGTAGAGTTTGTTGATTTTTTACATTGCTGTGTTTTGAAGTTTGGTGAGTAAAGAAATCAGACTATCAAGGTTATGGAGAATCTGTGTGCCAGGTTGAAATATCAGTATGCAAATTTTTTTAAATCTATTTTTCTGTTCTAAATCAGTACTCGCTGTGGTACTCATTGTTTTCTTTCTGTTTGAAGCTATGGAGCCACCAACTATCAGAAAATTTGATTTTTGCATTTAGTTTTTAGACAGCATAAACACGCTAGGTGCTGGATCAATCAAGCTCCTAGAACTTTCTAGGCACCTGTGGAGGCGCTTGATCGAGCTCAAGCCCCTCTTTTTGCAAGGCCTGTTTCTAGGAAGCTGAATGTACTAGATGTTACTACTAAGAACTATCAAGCAAGAAGCTAGTAAATGCAGTGTTCCACTTTTTTCTTGTTTGTTACACTGCAATGTGATAAAACAACTTATCAAAATAATTTATTGCTAGGTGGACTTGCCCTCTCCAATACTGCATATGCAAGAGTTGTAGAAGCAATTTGTAGCGACCCTGCGATTTCAACAACACTAATGGCTCACCAATCCATTGGCTTGAAAGGAATACTGCTTTTTGGAACGGATACCCAAAAGCAAAAATATCTACCAAAGCTTGCTACTGGAGAGGAAATGGCTGCTTTTGCTCTTACAGAGCCCTCGAGTGGGAGTGATGCAGCTTCAATTCAGACAAGAGCTACTTTAAGTCCTGATGGAAAGCACTTTCTTCTAAATGGCGCAAAGATTTGGATTTCAAATGGAGGATGGGCTGATGTTTTCACAGTATTTGCAAAAACAGAAGTAACTGACAAGAAAGGGGACAAAAAAGATAAAGTAACTGCTTTTATAGTTGAAAGAGCTTTTGGTGGGCTGGAAAGCGGAAAACCTGAAGATAAACTAGGTATAAGAGGATCAAACACATGTGAACTTTATTTTGATAACACCCCAGTTCCTGTTGAGAATGTCCTTGGGGAAGTTGGAGGTGGATTTAAGGTAAATTTTAATTTGAAGTTCAGCAAAAATGACTCTCAAAGTTTAAGTTTTATATGTTAGCTATTTTATTCAGAACTGTATGTTTCTTTTTGCTACCTTAAACATTTCTCTGCATATAAATCCAGGTGCCTTATTTCCTCGATTACCAATTTTTATATCAAATAAAGCACAATCGATGAAACCTAGCAAAAAGCGAAAATCTACTGTACATACACATAGGCAAACATAGCATGCCTGAATTAGAAAAATTGAAGATATATGAAGTGGCAAAACTATCTCGACCTGCTAGACGTAGTAAAATAGAATTTACATTACAAATACATTGCTGGACTACTTTATAAATTCCCTAACATAGATATTTTCAAACGCTTGATCAAACAGTGAGACAGTCTAAACTGTGAATGCAATACCTACCAAAAGAAACCTTGGTATGTAAAACTGGACGGTTCTTAGTATCACTGTCAAATTTCAGGCCTAATGGAAATCTGGTAGCTGTTCGATTATCAATTTTTTACTATGTAGCCTCCAATTTCGAACATTTAAGTATTCTTTGCCTTATAACATTACATTATTTATCTTTAGAAATATGTATTAGCTAGATTTGAAAAGATCTCAAATGATATGGCACTAAAACAAACAAACAAACAAACAAACAAACAAACAAACAAAAAACATATGAAGAAAATTGTGACATCATCCACACGCCTCGTCTATCATGCCCGGTGTCATTTGATAGCCACGCTCATTTTCTGGCTTAACGACATTCATACCCGACAGATTTAATATTTCTCCAACACTGATAGGAAATCGATATTTGTTATTTGTTTGCGATAGCAAGTGATCTAAATAGAGAGCAGCTTATATATATATAGTTATTCTGATGCTTAAGACGAACGGGAATTAAAAATCCTTCCATATATTGACAGTTCGAAGTCGTTGATATTGGATATAGTCGATGTCAGCAATATCTTTTATTAATGAACACTATGTTAGCCAGTCTGTTCAGAACCTCTCAACACCACATAGGCAGGCTGTAGACGTATCCGATTATCACGTCAAACAGCTAGCTTGAAGTACCAAGAATAGCTCAGTGGTAGGGGTCGCAATGAATAGATCTCTATGGATCTGCTGTTCAGAACACCGACTTGACCAAATTTCACTTAGAATGAGGAGAGTCGCCAGCTCTCTGTAATTTTAGGTTTAGGACTTGCAAGTTGTGGCCACAGTGAGTGGAAAGACCAGGGCACTGCTGGATAAGCACAGCTATTCATTGTCCTGAACTAGATAGTAATAAATAAATGAATGAATGAATGAATGAATGAATGAATGAATGAATGAATGAATGAATGAATGAATGAATAAATGAATGAATGAATGAATGAATGAATGAATGAATGAATGAATGAATGAATGAATGAATGAATGAATGAATGAATGAATATAGAAATAGGTGATAAATAACATTTATAGCAAACTAGAGCTGCCCTGTTTTATCTATCATGGTGTTTGTAAATAAAACCATTAATTGCCCATTGTCTATTCATTGGCTATTTTGTTTCGAGTTTTCAATTTCCTATTTCATAGGTAGCAATGAATATCCTGAACAGTGGTCGTTTTGGAATGGCAGCAGGAGCAGCCGGTGGCCTCAGAAGGTTAATAGGTGATGCATTTACTTTGAATCTAGTCTTTATCTTATATTTCAGCAACCTCCTGGCTTGCCCATAAGCACTGGTTTGTAGAAACTGTAAAGATTCTAAAACGAAGAATAATGCTTGGTTCATCGTAAAATCATATTCACGCTAAAAGCTAATTTGATACGTTTAAGGCATTTTGAATATATTGCCAGTTCAAATCATAATTCAAGTTACAATGGTTGTTTGGCACTGCTAGATAATCTTTTATCAAAACTCGTTTTGTTATCGTTATTGCTATCCACAAACTCTCTGCTTAAATAAATTCTACACATTTTACATGTTAGCCATGGAATTTCAGATGCAAAATTTTCAAGCTTAGAGCTAGCATACTTTTGCACTAATGATGATGAAAATTATTCATTCCCTAGCTATGGCATCTGAACATGCAACAACAAGAAAACAGTTTGGAAGAACATTATCGGAATTCGGCCAAATCAAAGTAGGTACATTCTGAAAATTTTGACGTCCTCTTGTTCCGTTGGTCCCATCGACATTTAAGTACGAATCTTTTAATCTTGTGTTGGTTATAATTTCTATTTGAATAGATTTCTAGTTTTCCACACGAAATGAATTTGGAATTCATATTACCAAAAAGCCCTATTTTCTTTTTCCTCTAGGAAAAGTTTGCCAGAATGTCTCTCTCTGCATATGCCATCGAGTCAATGGCTTATATGACGTCATCAATGATAGACTTGGGTGAAAACGACTGCTCAATAGAAGCTGCTATGTGCAAGGTGAAGCAAAGACCTGCGAATTTCTTAGTTACCTTTCTCTTTCATTTAGAGCATAAATATCAATCGGTAATCGGGTGTAAATTATCTTATCTTGACTCGTCGGTCTTCTAGTAACCCCACTCTTTTACCTCAGAATATTTCTCTCTCTCTCCTAAACAAAAGTGAATTTTCTCGTTTCCTTTGTCTCTTATAGGCTTTCCTTTTGGCACTTTTTTTAATGATTTTGACACAAGTATAATTTTGTACAGCTTTTAATGCTTCCGTCGCCTAATCTAAAGAAGATTCATTTTTTGAGAATCTTCATCTCACAAGATATTTGTCACTTTTCAGTGCTTCTTTGTGGCATTGTTTCGACTGCTACACATTATTTGATTCCATCCTCATTGAAGAGGATTCTTTCTTGGCCTAAAAAAATAAATTGTTACTAGTCATTATTGGACTTTCTGTTAGCTCTAAGCCAAAAAAATACCTTTATAATTCTTTTTGCATTTCACTTTGCTCATAATCCTTCTTCGAAATAGGTCTACGGATCAGAAGGCGTTTGGAGTGGTGTTAATGAGGCATTGCAAATTCTTGGAGGTAGGCTATGGGGCTCAATATGGTTTATAACGAAAGTGATATGAATTTGAAGGGAGCAAGCAACTTGTTCTTATTTGGCTGCGTCATGGTTGCCACTTGTGTTGATGCTTGTCTTTTGTTGTTAACAATTTTCATTTTTGCATAACGACGTTTCTAGTCGAAGAAACTTAAATAATTATCTGTATCCCTTGTTTTTCGCTACTTGATTGATAGCACCAAAAGATTCGCTAAGAAAAATATTGAAGGATTGGAGCAGATATCTTGGTCTCCTGTCCTAACATGAAGTTTCGAATGCTAAAGGAATAAATCCATTTTTATTTAGACTTAAGTGAAATTGCTTCTACAATATTCTTCAGCTTCCATTTTTGTCCCACTATTTCTTGTCCTTCTTTTACTTCTATTTCTTCTACTTCTTATCCTTTCTTTTTCTTCTGCCTTCGTTTTTGTCCTTAACAGCTATCTTCTTCAGCTTCATCTTTATTATATTTTTTGGAAGGAACCATTGCCCCCCCCCCTCCAAATGTCTTAACCCATAATATCTAATGACTTAATGTAAACAGGTAAATATTTTCTAAAATTTGCACCAGGGGGAAACTTGACTCAGTGACTTTCTGACAAAAACCTTCTTTTTGTGCATTATTTGCTCATCTCTGTTTATATTTTAAGGGATGGGATACATGAAGACATATCCGTATGAGAGAATTTTACGTGATACCAGAATTCTTTTAATTTACGAGGTATGTAACCGGACACAGAGACAATTATTTTATGTCGCTCGGAGCTTGCATTCGACACAAAAACACCTAGTGATCTTGAGGGGTTTTCGCTTTTCTACCTAAAAAGTTGTTACATAAATACGGCGTTAGGGTGCTGCTCCTTTTTTGGCAGAATTGACAACCCATGCGCTCGATTTATTTACAAAGCAGCTATAAACATAAAGAAAATCGACATTCTGGGACAGGGGCGGGCTGCAGCTCGATGGGCCCCCATCAGTAGGGGTTTTAAAGGACCCCTTTTTGTGAGAATTATTTTGATAAATCGTTGATTTCCAATTGTAACAGCTGGTTTACCGATTAGGACTACTGCAATTAAAATAGATTGGGAGGTGAAAATACGCGAGTATCTCCACTTTTGGCTTACTTTACTTGCCTTCAGTGTAAGCCCTCATTTCGAAATCGCCATGGCCTTACTCTGTTTTTGCTATAAGATCAATGTCCAATCTAATGTTATTGTTTACAGGCAGGAAGGAGAAGCTGAATGTAAATTGATTTTGTAATTTGACTTCTTCGCTTCTGAGGTTTGGTATTCAACCTTTCCCTTACATAATCCTTGTAACTACATCTTCATAGCAGCATTTTCCTGGGTTCGTTAGAAATTGATCCATGCAAAGAATTTATCTTTTTTTACCAACAGGGAACGAATGAAATTCTAAGGATGTTTATTGCTCTGACTGGTATGCAACACGCTGGAAAGGAGCTTAAAAAGATGATGAGGTCTGTCTGATGGTTATTTTTAACGCTAAATGATCACTGTAGATTCATAACTTAAAACCAAGTTTTCCTGCAGCTGATAGAAAAACCTTGTAGCTTTGCTAATGTTGACATTTATGGGTCAGGTATAGCAATAAGACTGTTGAAGAAAACCTGTCTGGTTGCCAAATCCCGATAAATGAGGGCCAACACCCTTTTTTATCTTTCCTTATAAGGATAGATACTGTAGGATACAATTCAGTGTGGTTTAAAAACTGATTTTCCACTATTTCGGCATAAGAAAAAATACGATGTAAGCTAGGCGAATAAGATGAAAAGATCTATATAAACACTGTACTGCAATTTTCCCAATGAATAACCACCAAAGTTAATGTAGGAGGAAGATATATTTTCTGAAATTGTTTTTATATTTGTACGTTTATGTAGATATACTTAATAACTGGAATGTTTTTGGTTTCTTTTTAACTGGGGGATTACTATTAAGCTCTTTGAAGCGCAAAATTTGTAAGTAGCATGGAAAAGAAGAAACATAACATATGAATGGATGGGATGTATCTAACTCAGTATTACATGATGAATTAATTCTTCGGTGCAGACTTTTGTACTAGGGGAAATCTGTTTATAAAATGTTTCAAGATTTACGAGCTTGCTTCTTTGTGCTCTCACTCCTGATGGGAACCGCCAGAAAAAGTCGAAGCTACTTAAGTACTTTTTGCTTTTTTATCTGACAACTGTGCCCCTTAGAACGCAGCTCGATTTCAGGAAACTGTATAGCAATCTCTACACTACGTTTCAAGATCCAATTTTTCCACAGTTTTCTTTCTTTGGGTGCCTAATTCTTTAATCAGTATCCTTCATTTTCTTTAGATCCCTTCTCAACCCACTTAAAGCTCCAGGGATTGTCTATAGGCTTGTTTCTAATCGCCTCAAGAATTCAATCGGCGTGGCAAAAACTGAGGTACCTGGAGTCGATGAAGCATTAAAGGTATATTGTTTCTGTTCACATATATAAAAGATTTGTTGCATGGCATTGAAAGATTGACTTGCAACCTTCGATATCTCTCTTTACTCTAGAATACTCTGTTGTTTAGTCAAAAATGATACTGTGTCTGTTAACGTGTTTGCCTTAAATAGTCTCCTTATATATAAGTTCTTACCAATGAAAGCCTCTTATTATAGGAAAGTGCAGAAAAGCTTGGCAAAAATATCGCAGTATTCGGAGCAACTTCTGAAAAATTGTTACAAAAATATGGAAAGGTATGATATAATGTTTGCTTTTTTCAAAGCCATTTTCAAGTTCTGTACCGACAGAAAACTGTATAAGAAAAAGTTTAAATAGTTGCTATATTTTATGTAGTTGTTAAGAATCCATGAAAGAGGAAAATTTCAGTTCTTTGATTTTATAGTGAAATTATTTTATTCACTGTTTTTATTTGATATATACTTCCACTGCTTGTCTTTTCTTTATACTTTCACCTCCCTTTTTTTAGTGTATACTGTCACTCTTGACTTGTCTTTGTCCAGCTTTGAAAAATGTATTGTACAGTAACAAGACATCAATCAATTCAATACGTCCCACGCTATTTTTTAAAAAGATTGTGTAGCTAACTGAGTAAAGAACTCAGAGTAACCAGAACTGTGTAAGATCCTTTATTGCCCGCAACTCGCGCGCGATAGCGCGCGAGTGAAGGGCTTATAGTCTGCCCCGCGTATAAGTAGCATATGGAAGCTTCAGTTCATAATGTCAGCACTTTGTCAGCAGATTTTGTCACTTTTCTGCTGCCATGACAACTGTCAATCAATTTCATTGTCAATCAATCGGCTTTGTCGAGGAGGTCGTTAACCGCCACCTCTTTGTGCGGAAGGGAATTATCTTCGGAGCGTTGCTCTGCCAAGACTCTGTTAAAGGCCTTCGGTTTTTTTTGCACGAAAACGGTGCTGCATCACAGCTCGGTTCTCCGCAATGGATGGAAGTTTTGATTCGAAGTTTTGGGAATCAAAACCAGTCGAATGCCACACCTTTCTCCCAAAAACTCGACACCGTACGAGCAAAAGTTATGATTGTCGTGATTATCGCCTGTACATCGCTGTACGAATCCTTTATCGCAATCTATTTTAGCTGTACCCGTTCTATCACGTGTCCATTTTCATACGTCTTTGCTTCACGAAAACGAAAAATAAATGTCAAACCCTAGAAAAACTTCATGATTTTCAAAAGGGCGTTGGACTTAAATCAAAGGCAAACTGAACACCAAAAATTCTTGATAAAAAGAATAGTTTAGCATCAACTAGAGCAGCTGTTTTTATAAAATTGTGAAAACCCAAGATGGAATCTTCTTCGAATATCCTGACCTAAATTTTCAAAACAATCGTTATCAAGGAACTAATTGTTTGCGGGCAGTACTAGCAAGAGTTATTTCTAGTATAAAGATATTCGCTGTACCTCAGATTTTTTCGCAGCTATAAAAGAAACCTAATGTTTTTCCAGGAAATCATTCATGAGCAACTATTGCTGAAAAGAATGGCTGATGTAGCTATCCATCTTTATGCCATGACAGCTGTGTTGTCAAGGGCAACAGACGCTAAACAGAATGGAAAGGAAACTGCACATGACGAGGTTTGCTTTTAATGTTTTTATTCATAGATTGAAAGTCATGAATACCTTTTAAAATGGTATTATAGAAGTATTTTAAGGCATCTTATGTTGTTTCTAGGAAAAAATATTATCTTTGCGATATTTTTTTTTGAAAAATTGACGAAATTTTTATTTTGTAACAATGAACTATAAACCCGTTAAAAGAGCTTCAAATGGTGTTATAAATATGTTTTAAAGCATTTTAGGTTGTTTAGAGCGAGAAATAATTTTCAAAATTGAATTTTTTCGATAGGTCTGAGGTGATAGATTTTTTGAAAAGTGACAAAAGTTTTATTGTGAAATAATGAACTAGAATTTTATTAAGACAACTTCAAATGGTGCTGTAAATATGTTTTGAGGAATTTTTAGGTTGATTCGATCCAAGAATAATTTTAGCAAAACTTGAAGGTTTTTAATGTTTTTGTATAGGCCAGGGGTAATTGACTTATTGAAAATCGACAAAATTTTAATTTTGAAATGAGGAATTAGGAACTCATGAATAGAACTTGAATTGCTGTTTTAAATGTGTTGAATGGCATTTCTTGAACTCTGTTGAATTTTTTTGTGCAGATCTTACTTGCGAAAAGGTTTTGCAAAGAGGTGTTTGAAAAGAATGTAATTCTTTTGGATCAAGTTAGAAAAGGTTAGTACCTACACCCAAGGTGTATCATAGAATGCTGGAAGTATTTGAATTTTTTCCATAAAATAGCCAAGAAATGGCATCATACCTTGCAGATATGTTGATTTTCACTCTGTAGTCTTGAAGAGATAAAAAGACAGTTTAAAAGAACGATAGTTTTAGAAGTAGAATATTGAAAGCAATTAACAGATGCCAAATTGGCTTTAGCCATCTGTCAATTAGAATTTGCCAATCAATTAGCATGATACATACACGTTTCTTTGATTGGCCAATAGTTGATTTGCCAGACGTTTAGTCGCTTCTGTATTGGTCGATTGCCTTTCAAGTTTTTCTCTCCACGAAGACAGACCTTGAGCGTGGTTTATTATCAGAATTGTGACTTTATTTCTTATTTAGAGCTACCGGTAACATGTAATAATAAAGTAAGACATTGTCAATAATCGAAAAATTTCTTGAGATATAGCTCGTTTGCTTAGTGAAATATAAATCTAATCTCTTTTACAGGTTCTAGCGTTAATGGTGATGAAGAGCTAGAGATAATAGCAGATAAAATATTTAAAGCTGGACGTCAAATTGTCGATCATCCCTTGTCTGTTTGAATGTTAATGGCTAACCTTAGTTTATACACACGTATGCATCGAAGTTGTTATTTTCTTGTAGTTAGTTTCCCCCTTGCAAATACTTGAGTGTTAATTAACGTCTTTTTAACGTCTTTATACCATATTCTAACTCAAAGCCTTACGTAATAATAATACCGTTTAACTCTTAGGTATATTGTAAAATCTCCAGTGTATATAAGAATTTTCATTGCAGAATTGAGAGTAACTCTGAAATTTTGAAAGTTGTCATAACTTGTGATATGCGTGGCTTTCTGCTGAAGTGGTAAATCACTGCTCTTATACACAATTGTGAATTATGAGAGATAGCTATAACCAAGGAGTTGTTTTGAGTATATTTTTCTTTAAATGACCATCGAATAAATTCAAAACATTTCATATCCATTACTTAAAGGCTTTTAAAATGGGATGAAATACGAAACAAAATTTTGAATTAAAGAGGAAAAAGGAACATTTTGTCGCAAAGAACTTGTCTAAACCACAGAGGAGTCGTGTTCTCACAAAAGTAAACCCTACCATTTTAGACAATTTCTTGAATATCATATAAGCATTTACTCTACATAATTGTGCAAATAAACTGAAAAATTGCGCATTTAACCTCAGTACCTTTGGTCCAAAGTACTCATACTGCGTGAGGGTTTAGCGATTGCCATTTGGTCAAAAACAGTGAACCATCAAACGCAAAATTCTCCCTTTGGCGTTACTGTCAATCCGCAACTGGATACAAAATTGCCATTTTGGTCATTATTCATAGCTTATATTCTGTATCATATAGGGCAAAGTGTACTTCTGTATGACATACTTCTGCCCTTCTGTGTTTTTCATTTCAAATTTTGTTGTACCAAAGGTTTTTTGAGCCAGTTAAACGGAACAATCTTCCTCACACATTTCTTTCAGTTGTGGGGAATCTCGTAAGGTCGTAGTTAAGGCCCTGTTACCTGAATCAAATTCCCAGTGACACTAAAGAAAACTCACTTTCGTTGGTTATGATGATTATTATGCTCACAGAATGACATTCTTACGTGAGGCAACCTCAAACCCTCTCTAACTTTTACTGATAGTTGCGCTCAATTTATACAATTTTCTAAATAGCCCTGGTCATGGAAACCAGGTCAAAACAAAACCAAACATTACGTAATTTTCTAAAGCTAAAATAGATCTAAGTACAAATCAAAACAAAGCAATCGATATTGCGTCAGACAAGCAATTTGTAGCGTTGGTTGCAAAACAAAGAAACCACGGTTGACGACAGCGTGCGTTAAGTCTAATACTGTCCCTGACGAAATATATCGTTTTAAGCGATTACCTAACTTTTAAGATTTACCACACCCTCCCCCTATTAAAATGTGACTACAGTTTTAATATCCATCTTCCAAGTCTTCCTGGTCTTCGTGAATCTTGACAGCAGCCATTTGATTTTTCGCATCATTTCTTGCCTTTCTTGGTAAACTCTTGAGCCTTCGGATTCAACTGGACATTAACGGCACAGTTTTCTCCCCCAACTTCTAAATCGCAAATAAGTTGGAGCGGTCGCTCAACGATGTAACCGTTGCCTAACTTGATCTTTAATCCCCGCACGACACCATCCCTGCCGATAATTTTTCCAGCAACTCTTCCAATTCTCCACTGGGCTCTGTTTTTTGTGTCTTCTTTCAACAACACTACTTTGCCATTATTCGGGATTTCAACGTGACTTCCATTTTGTTTGAGCTTTCTTTCCTCCAGCGCGTACAAGTATTCACCCAACCACCTCTTTCGTAGCTGCTCCTTGCTTTTGGCCAGAAATACCATCCTTTTGGGAAGCGTTTCCTCGTCCCCTATTTTGTGCAGATCCTCTTGTAGCATATGTGCTGGTTGCCCTCTGATCAGTATGTTTGGCGTGATGACTGGGGTCTCGAACTCTTCGCCTTGGTAGCTCAGGGGGCGATTGTTCATTACGCATTCTATGTCCAAAAGTGCTTCTTCCAACTCTGCAAATTTGAGTATACTTCTACCAATAACCTTTGCGAGACTTCTTTTCATTGTGCCAATCAGCCGCTCAAAAAATCCTCCCCACCATGGGGCTCGTGAGAGGTTGAACCTCCATTTGATTTTGTCAGTTGCTAAGTAGTTCATCAACTCCTCATTCTTCTTGAGCCTGCTCAGCCACTTCTTGGTTGCAATGAAAGTCTTGCCATTATCGCTAACCATTAGTTTTGGTGTGCCTCTTCTTGCGATGAATTCCTTCATTGCTCGCTGGAATTCTTCCGCCGTCAGGTCTCTGCATAATTTCAAATGCACGGCTCTGGTTGTGGCGCACGTAAACAAGGCAATGTAAGCCTTCCCAACTGTCTTCTTGCTCACTCGGTACGTGATTGGTCCTGCAAAGTCAACGCCAGTGCACGCAAATGGATCTGTCATTTGTGACCTGAAACTTGGTAGCTGTGAGTTTGAAGGTGCTGCCAATCCCTGCACTCGAAACCTCTTGCACTTGTCACAGTTGTGAATGACCTTTTTCACCAATGTGCGGAGTTTAGGTACCCAAAACCTTTCCCGTATGCAACTCATTGTCACAGATACTCCCCCATGCAACATTCTTCTATGGCATTGCTCAATTAGTCGTTCCACATAAGTGTTACTTCGTGGCAGAAATATCGGATTGTAGTCAGGCACTCTTCCATGGCATCTCCATATCCCTAGTGGATCCTTTTTCAGTGGGACATCAGGCCTTATCTCCTTAGCTTGCTGCACCTCCCTGATCCAAAACATCTCTGCTGATTCTATCTCTTCTGCTGTCAGCATCCCAGTCTGCTTCTCCTGTCTGCGACAGTTGGTTACAAATCGAAGTACCAGTGCTGTTATTCGCAATGTTTTCCAAAGTGTATGCTTTTCTAGAAGATCTTTTACAGCATTTGTAACAAACTTTTCTTCTTTGGCAAGCATTAGTCGTTCCTTTTTTGGCAACTTTTCAGCTTCTGTTTCTTTACTTTCCCCAATTTCTGGTTGAACCGGCCAATCTTCTTTTTACGGTGCCATACATCTGCTCAATGTTCTTTGTCTCAACACCCACTGGCTTCAACCGTAGCTGCGTTATGAGGCTGGTGCAGATATACGAACTGCTTGATCCACTGTCCACCATAATACGTGCTGGTACTCCATTTACTTTGGCCAAAATTGTCGCATGAAGGGTAGTTGTGACATCTAGTGCTCTCTTGCCCATCTCAGATTGCTGGTTCGCATTTTCTTCTCTACTCAGCGTCGTCGCATCGCATAAGGAGGTGTGGTGTCGCCTATCGCACTTTCTACATCCTCTGGATCTGCACTTGGAAGCTGTGTGCCCATAGCCAGTGCAATTAAAACAGAGCCTTTTGTTCTTCACAATCTCTCGCCTTCGAGCCAAATCAAGTACCTTCTGACAGTCTGAACTTTTGTGATTGTTATAGTCGCAGTAGACACAACTGTTTTGTTTTCCCTTTGCTCTGTCCATTGTGTTTGCTAACATCATTTTGTCTCGTGGCTTCCACTCTGCTTGGTAGTCGCTAGACCTCTTCTTGGTACCACCAATTTCACTAACTGGTAACGGATGTCTGTCGATGTATTTCTCCAGATTTTCCACAAGTTCCTGTAGGTCCCAATTTTCCCAGTCATCATCCTTCTGAATCAAAGATTCTTTCACCGATCCAAGCTTATCAACTAGCGTGTAGACATAGCTTTGGGCGCTATCCAGCTTCTTCATGGTCACCAGAGTGCGGACAATCCTTGCCAATTTGTTGTAGAAATCGTGGATCTTCGCAGTGTTGTGAATGCTTGAAATTGATTCCAGCCCTTCAAGCTCCTTGATTAAAGCTTTGTGTATTTTGATGTCCTTGCCATAGGTCTTTTGCAGGATCCTTTTAGCTTCCTCGTAGCCATCTGCAGTGTGGGGTAGGCCCAGGATGTCCTCTTTAGGTTTCCCGTCTAGCAATTCTAGCAAGTAATTGAACTTACTGATTTCTGCAATGCATGATGCATCCACTTCTACCATAAATTGATTCCAAAATCGGAGCCAGTCCTTGTAATCTCCCTTGAATGGAGTGATCGTGTACTTCTGAAGTTTCACCGACTGCTGCTGCGGCTTGACATGTACATCTTCCTCTTTTCGCTTCTTTGCCAGTTCCATCTCCATTTCCAATTTTTTATTGTACCATCGCTCCTCTCGTTCTTGTTCACGGATTTTTGCCTCTTCCTTTTCTTGTTCCCGTCTTCTGTCAATTGATGCTTTTTCTTCTATAAGTCGCCGTTGGTGCTTCAGCTCGTCTTCTTTCTTCTGTTCTGTCTCTCTTCGTCTAAAGCCTTCCAGCTCTTCTTTTAGCCTTTTCCTCATGTTTCGGAATTCTTTGATTTTTTCCTTCTGCTCTTTGTTCCATTCCCGTACTTGATCGATTGTCTTCTCCTCAGCGAGCATTTCCTCTGTGATTTCGTCTTTTGAGATTTCCAGTTTTCTTGTGATTTCGCAGACTCTTTCATAGGCCACCTCTATTTCCTCCTTTTCTCCTGACTCCAAAGCCTCTTGAACGTCTTCCAACACGATTTTACCAGTTGTTAGTTCTTGGTTGTATTTTTCCTCAGCTGCCATTTTGCCCTTGATATCCTTGTCTTTGATGTGGTCCTGGCAGGGTCGCCACTTTTAGTGTGGGGAATCTCGTAAGGTCGTAGTTAAGGCCCTGTTACCTGAATCAAATTCCCAGTGACACTAAAGAAAACTCACTTTCGTTGGTTATGATGATTATTATGCTCACAGAATGACATTCTTACGTGAGGCAACCTCAAACCCTCTCTCACTTTTACTGATAGTTGCGCTCAATTTATACAATTTTCTAAATAGCCCTGGTCATGGAAACCAGGTCAAAACAAAACCAAACATTACGTAATTTTCTAAAGCTAAAATAGATCTAAGTACAAATCAAAACAAAGCAATCGATATTGCGTCAGACAAGCAATTTGTAGCGTTGGTTGCAAAACAAAGAAACCACGGTTGACGACAGCGTGCGTTAAGTCTAATACTGTCCCTGACGAAATATATCGTTTTAAGCGATTACCTAACTTTTAAGATTTACCACACAGTCCACACCTTTATGTGATTTTTTGCTTACCTTTTGGCAATTATCCAATGCTTCATACTCTTTCAGCGGATGACCACCAAAATAACCTTAAGCGCGACTTGCAATGATACTTCTTTTCGTGCAATTTTGAAATTCCTCAGACATTATTAGCCTGTTGCTGAGTTAATGTAAGATGTTGGTCTTTGGCACAAGTTCTTGTTACAATTTTTGTTTAAATTTATATTGAAGTGAACAATTTTTTTGCGGTACAGAATTTGAAAATGGCTTTGAAAAAAGCAAACATTTTACGACATACTAAAAGCTTTCGATCCACAACTGGGTATATATTTTTCCATCGTGTTTTTTCGGAACCTATTCTGACGTTTTATGCTCTGAGGAGTGTCAGACGAAAAAGCTTTTAGTGTGTCGTAAAATGTTTGCTTTTTTCAAAGCCATTTTATATTGAAGTCTTTATTTTCAGTGCATTAAACGTAATCATATTTTGGAACATTTCAAAACAAAATTCATTGCTTTATGAGGCCCTGTAGACTCCGGGGCCTTGGGGAAATTTGTCCCCTCTTTCGGCGGCTTTTGTGATATTCAGGGTGTTGTATTTGAACCGTGGCTTTTTCATGTGCCGTTCACGAAAAAGGCTTTAGTCAAAATTGCTGCATTTCCACTTAAAACAGAGTATTCTCAGAATTTGCAGGAAATATATTTGAGCTTACCATTGGTGTTACAATGCATTTCCTTTTTCGCTCCGTTTGCTACCTTTTTTGTTATTCCAGCTTGCGCTCCGTTAACAAGGCACAAGAAAGTATCAGCTTGTGCCATATTTCATCCTTCATACACTTCCGATCGTAGTTCTTGAACTCTACTAGGCGCAATTTGTCAAATTAAATTCAAACCTGACAAGCACGGTAAATTTAAAAAGCGTTTTCACGCACCCATGGGTAACAGGTCTGGTAACAACCGTCCCCTGTGAGAATTTTCCTGACGTGGAGTCCCCTTTCGAAACATCGGATTACCCAGGAATTTTTTCATTTCCCACATCCCCTGCAGGCTGAGACTTTTTGTCCCCGGTCAGTCTTGAGTTCTCTCTTTGCTCCAACAACTCATCCCCAGCCAGTCTAAGACGAATTTTCCTGCCCCTGCCATATTTACCTACTATTCAAAGCCAAGATAAAAGCAAAGGGGTGTATTTTCGAAAACTCTTGGCGAGTGCATAAGATTTGTTTCATATTAACCCTTGTACACATCTATGATTTCGCAGACAAAGGTGTCTATATTTTGCAAAGTTTAGTTTCTTTAAAAAGTGCACTTTCCACGCGCAAGATTGCTATGTTTCGACTCGTGTACTTAGGGGTTCAGTTATCAAAGATAGTGATGTGTGTTTTTTTAACACGGTTGGGGTATGTATATTGGGTTTTTTGGACCTGCCGGGAGAAGACTTCTAGATGAAGCTTGAAGATGTGAGAGGTCAACGCAAAGGTCGTCCGTGTTTCGTGCAACGCCACTGCAAATAACAAGAATGACATGATTGTACTTTGCTCAACACAACGTCACGAAAATAAGACTGACAGGAAAGTCTGAAGTCTGCTTTAAGCAAGATACCAAACTTTTCTACTACTCGAGGCAGTTTTCATGATATCATCGGTTTTTCAGTGGTAGGTTTTTCGCTTGTAGATGTCATGCTATTACCTATTTCTCTGTTCTGATTCAAATCAGTTGTTATAAAATTGCGTGTACTCTAAACAACACGTGCCCCTCCACGTTTTAGAAACAGTGATAAAGAACCTGCTTGCAGCTTACAGAGGTGTTGAAGGAAGTTTTTTAACCTTTCCATTTGTTTTTAACTTTAACATTTTTGAGAGAGTTGGGTACAGTGAGTTGAAAGCTTCAGAAATACTCACCAATTATTTTTCTTTCCACTTCTCAATCAAATTTACTACCCTTTCCTTTCTTGTATGCACTTAAACTAATGGCTTTGTTGGATCACATATTTTAGATCGACTAGATGCAATATATTTCTTGGTTAGTAGTTATTTTCATGTCTATCAAATTTCTTTAAAAGAGCTGTTGGATAATTAGTAAAATAATATTTAAAATATTTTTAGCCTGATAAGATGGCTTGAAACAGCCCTCCCTGCCCCCGTCTTTCGCCGCTACTGAATCCAACACATCACAGTGTATTTCAACAATCCTGTTGCAGTTCTTTACCACTAACTTTCTTTTTCTCTAATCAAAAACTTGCTGGTACTAGTGAAATCTAACCAGTTTTAATTTTTGTAGCATTCACGCTCTCGCGTTCCTGGTTTACTGATTGTCTTGTTGCCTCGTGTGTTAAATAAGTTGCGCAGCTTTTCGCATGGTTTGTATTCACTCTTTTGGTGGCCGTGTTTTTAACTTGGCTGGTTATAATTCCTTTGACGCTTTGATAGACTTCAAGGAGCAAACTAGAAAGGGGACAATTAGGCAGATAAGTTGGGATTTGTGGAAAAATGTTTGGAACCAGTCTTCTTTTTGCAGTACCTGTAAACGTCTTTCTGGTGAAGAAATCACACTTACCACAAGCACTGCATAGAAGAGGGCTATGCGAAATATGCACAAAATTTACTAATTTACCACTTTTCTCAACGCTCCCCGGTGCCTGCGCCAATGAACTGAAAAACTGGACAAATACGAATTTAGCGTCCAACTTCGCAAGTATTGATATTGTTGCACAAAACAGTTAAAAAACATACCCCATGCAGGCCGAAAGTGTTGCTGGGCACGCTCTTGAAGGCCCTTATACAGTGACCTGGAGTGTTGAATCGAGTGTTGCTAATGTAGGGGCAGCCCCTTATGCAAGCTTTGCCAGGGTCTCTGATGAAGGGGGCCGAGAGGCATGCCCCAACGTTTTTGCAAAACAATTTCCCCTTGCACCCCCCCCCCCCCCTTCCAGCCTGTGTCGGAGCGTATAATTGCGCCTTTTGAAATGGTGGGCATACGCTATATTATGTATCAAAAAGTTTTGTGGGGGGGGGGGGCAAGGCTAACAAAAGTGGGAGATCGAGGCTTATTTCGCTTTTAATTGCAGCTTTGATATCATTTGCTTCGGAAAAAATGGGAAAGCCATGAGGAATATCCATCCCAACCCCCCCCCCCCCCTGTTGTGGGCCCTGACCATGCGCGAGGAATCACAGGATTTTGAAGTAGTTTTTGTTTCATGCCAAGTTCTTATGGTAAATAAGTCTTCCTTCTTATTTCAGCCCATTTCTGCCATTCTTATAGAATCTATGCTCACGTAATATTTTTGTGCTCCCACATGGGGTGCCCAGATAATGATTAACTGACATTGTCAGTGTGATGGATGTTGTTTACGACACGGTATGACGTAATTTTGTCAATGAACAAAGCAACAGTAAACTGCTTCTAAAGACTATTGTTAAAAGAACAACGAAAGAGAAAGGTTGGAGCTTTGTCTGGGTTAAACCTGAAACAAAAAGCTAACTCTCTCACCAGACAAGTATTTGCCAGAAAGAAGCTTATTTTCGCGTCATTCGTCATTGGTTGAATCCCAAAACGAATGGTCTGTTTGTTTCGTTATGAGGTAACTGCGGTGGTTCGAGATCGAGAGACTTGTCATAATGGCCTAAGCGTTATCGCTATTTGATTCGTTTTTTGAAGGGCTATCACAGCAAGTCCATCGTTAAGACAGCATGAATTTGAAAAGCTAACGGTAAGTATTTTGAGATATTGATTGAACAATGAGTTGTTCCAGATATGATAAATATTTAAAGTTTTTATTAAAGTTTGAAAGTGAAATCACAGAAATCAGTCACGGAGGTCAAATTCGGCTCTTGCAAATGTGCAGTGGCAAATATATTTGTTTTCGGGGCTTTCTTGTAGCTGAATTCGTGATGTTATGAATTTTACCACGATGATTGGTATGTATCAGTGATTTGTAAAAGACTTTGGTAATTAGTAGTTGTTTAACAGCTTTTAGCAGCTCTTAGTGGGAGTTGTTTAACAGCTCTTAAGTGGGAGTTGTTCCGGGACGGCCTAACTGGTAGCGCTACGTTTTCAAGTTTAAATTAGTTTGAGTACCTCAAGTTTCCTACTTTCCATTTCGTAAAAACGAAGGTAAGAATTGAAACGATTTAAATGATCATTTGATAGAGCTAGAAAATTATAAATTCAAAAATGAAAGGAAGTTTTGCCGTCATAAATTGATATTCGGAAATTTGCCAGGCGACCCGACCGTTACCATGCTTTGCGAAATTGCATCTGTTTGCTTCAGTAACATTTCAGGCTTTGCTAGAAATGCTCGTCAGAAACCTAGGATTTCTACCAAGTTTGCTTTTCTCTGCTTTTAAATTACGATTGATTGATTTATTTGTAAACAAAAGTCTGGTACCTGGTATAAGTTTAGGTTTATCCCATTATGGTTAGCCTTTCTCTCTTACGCAGCCATGCGTTGGCTATTTACATATAACATATATATAATAGTTCGCACCAATTAATGCTATTTGAATCATATTTTCATCAGGCAAATAAAGTATAATGATAATAAGTTTTCATTAAAAAATTAACAGTTGATAACAAATGATGAAAATATTGGGGAACAGCTGATCAACACAATAGTTTTATGGTTCACAGTTGCAAAGTTCTAATGAAATTGAACAAAAGCAAAATATTTATCCAAAAGCTTGCAAATTTGTTTTTCATTTGCTTCAACAAATGTACACTGTTTTCAGTTCATTTTGGGCTTGATCACAATAAAATTTAGTCTGCAGTGGGAAACTGTCTGTGCCATTCTCTACACCTTGAAATAGGTAAAGGTCTCAATCTAGGTCTTTTGTTATCGGAAAATCAATTATTTTGAACAAGTGATTGTTGTACAGTATAATCCAGTTATAACACAATTCAAGGGACCAGTGTATTAAGTACTTTATATCTGAAGTATGTTGTAATGAGGATAAGTAAAAATTGATTAAAACCAAGCACACCTTTTTGCCGGGACCAAGCACACCAGTTTCTTATATCGGAAAGTACGTTATAACCGAGTACGTTATAACAGGATTCTACTTTATTTTGGAATGCAGAATTTGTTAATTTCAAAACCTGTTTTCATGAGGTGAAAGCACTTGTATATAGTGAAGAGAATTGCATAGATATTAGCAAGTGTTGCAAATTCTTCAAGACAAGCACATCTAGATCAACTTCCCATATTGTCATCCTAAGTATAAAGTGTGTAACCTCTTTTTTTGGAAAGTAAAATATTGATTGTGTACTGGATAAACTGCATACCGCACTGATTTTATGCAAAAGAATGTTAAAGAAAATTTGAAGGTGAACCTTTAGACATGTATTCAGTGCCCTAAACCACAAGTGAATCACTATTTTCAAGTATATAAATTGTGTATACAGTATATATAAATATATCTAGTATTTTATCAAAACTTGGAATATTTATTTATATATCTATTTGTTTTTAAAAGCTGGTCAACTATATATTTATACCAATTTTAAATTGTACAGTGTTATCCAGTCTAAATAATCATATACTACTCCCACTATTACAACCCTTCCTGCATGTTAAAAATCATGTAAGACTATCTGTGTTTTGCTGACACAAATGAACTGTGACAAAAAAAATTTACTTCACTTTTAAGCTTGGTTGAAACTATATCCAGAGCTGCCATTTGGTCATTTTGACAAGCAAATTCTGATGTGCTTAGTTCTGGATCCTGTTTTTTTAAGTAGTTCAGGTTCTTAAACATAGTTTTTTATTTACCTCTTATTGCCAATCTATGCATTGCAATTGAATTTTTAGAAAATGCTTCTTTTGGTGGGTTTTTTCTTTTGGCATTGCCTTTTTTTCTGAAATGGAAATTCTCGCTTGTTCTAGATGGCCCTAACTCTTGGATTGTGCTTCCATAAATCTCTTGTCTAAACCTAACAAATAACACTCAAGCATAACTTAAATTATGCCAATGTATAATTTGGAAGTTGCTAATAGAGTTTTCAAGTGTAACATCACAATAAAACTATTTTTTGAATTTTTGAATTTTGACCACATAACATGAAAGAACACCATAATATAATCCCATGTATGTAAAATCAGTTAAATTTGTTAAAAATCGGGTGAGCTATGGTCAATAGAATATTTGAAGTTTGCTAACAGATTACTGTTATTTTGGCTCAGTTGATAAAGTTATGAACTGAGACCAAATTACAGAGGTTTGTTGGGGCCAGGGGTTTGCTCATCTGGTCATATCTCAGCCAATTCATAATACCTTTAACTGATTTTGCAGATTTAGAGGTATTTCTTGATGTTCTTTCAGGTTATGTGAAATAATTTCAAAAATTCTAAAAATAGAATGTTGTGCGTCATCACTTGACAACTCTATTGATAGACATGCCTTTTTCTGATTTCCTGTTAACCAAACAGCTCCCATTCATTAGTGTACAAATTTAATGTAACAATTTGCTGAAATAATTAAAATTAACAAAAAAGCTGAAACTTAATCTTGAGCCCAGCTAGCTTTGAATATGAGTTTTGCTTAAGAATATCCCCATTAGATAGAGAGCTATTAAAACTGTTTGTAGTTTTTTGTGTGATACATTTCCTGGCTGCCAATTTACCTTTCTGGGGAAACCTTTTGGCTGTAAAATAGACAGCACGGTTTCTTCAACACTGGGTGGTAGTTTGATTGGAGTACCTAGGCAGATACCCCCTGTTTTCTAAAGATATGTTTTACAGATTTTATATTTTAGAGATTTATAAGCTTGTGTTGATGGTAGGTGCTTGTGTGGTTGAAGATGGTGCTCTTATGCACAGGCAATTAGAGCAAAAGATCTAAGTTTGTTTGATTGATGTTTCTATAAGGTCTAGTTTGTCTTAAAGACAAGGCTAACAGACATGTAATGAATAGTATTAAACCAGGTTAATTAAATATAAAAGTGCAATTTCAGGGATTTAATTAGTCTACCAAACTTGCTGGTATATGGATTTTCATATCAAAGATAATTGCTAGGTCGTCAAATATATTTGTTGCTCTGTTAGGCCTCTGAACTTTGGTGTTATTAGATGCTAGGTAGTAAGGAAATGCAGTTAACTATTAGCTGCTAATGCTATTATGTAACTTTGTTTCAATGAATTCCATTTTGTTCATCTTTGTCTGGTTTATTCATTATGGTTAAATAGTGATGCAAAAAGGCAGTTTGCAAATGCCACTGCAACCACATAAAGATAACACACATTTTCAACTGAGGTTGTAATAGGTAGAAACTAAGAAAAAAATGAATGCAAAAGCCACAAGTCGACTAGAGTCATCAAACTTTGTTTGAACATGTTTGTGTATCTTTATGCAGAATGTTGGTTGTCGTGGTTTCAGGGTGTGCTTATGAATAAAACCGTTTGGAGGTTTGCAAAACATTCCGTTGGAAAAGCCAAAATTTTTTGTTATTATGAAAAGCCATAATTTAGCCACAATGCCGCTTTTGTCTAAAAAATTTGGGTTTAATTGATTGTTAAAGTGAAAAATAACGCTAAGGCATTATTCTGACAATCAAACTCTAACCCTGGCGGTGCTTGTGACAGTGAAGTAAACAAAGTATCTTGCAATGGCAATAAAATGAACCAGGACCTGTTCTTTATGAACGTGAGTTGAACGCGAAATCTTCAGGTCACCACCACTTCAAGCAGAGACCTTAACATGTTCCTTACGCCAAGAAAGAGGCATTCAATTTGTAAAGAAAGCCAGTGTTGAATTGGAGCTTCTAAATGGTATTTCTAGGTTTAGTATCGATAGAACCCCCATGTTGCATTGCGATATTCCGCATCTCATTAGGATTAGAGCTCCGCATGCTAGCTTTGTTTCGAGTAAAATAATATAGATTGACGGCCTAAGTGATTTTAAAGCCGTATTCTAGCGTTGTTTCAGCTGTAATTTTGTCCCTGCAACGGGCAATGACATCATTAAAATATGTCATCAGTATTATTGAATTTGGTCCATGTGATCAAGAAGAGTACCACCAAATACCTCGTAACATGCAAAATCTGTTAGTTCTGTTAGAGTTTTGAATTTTTGGTATATGTTTGTTATGATGCTACCTAATAATGTGAAATGATAATTTATTGTTCACTTTTGTACGGAAAAACGTTTCGATTTTCTTTCTCATGTCAGGAAGTCTTTACAGAAGCAATTGTTTTTGTTTTTGCTTAGTTTAATGTTTTTTTGGAATTTATGAATATCCTTGCCTTTTTAGGTCACTGGTTAATTTGTTTGATGTGAATTCAGTCATGGGACTAAACCTATTGGCCCAGATATCTGCAGCCAAGCCAGTTATTTTCGCGGAAGGCCTATTCATATCTTGTTATCTTCAAAACGAGAAGTTCGTACCAGAACAGGGTATTGACAAGTCAGATATTATTTCCATATTGAATGGAGAATTTTTCAAAAGTGGCACTGATTTTGTCGAAGATTTTACGGTGAGTTTCAATTTTCTGTTTTTTTTTCAATTGGCATTCATTTTCTAGTACACGTTAGCTGCAATGATGGCCGGTGCTATTTAAGAAACTAAACACATAAACAATACCTTGTTGGCCAGCATCAATCCCTTCTCCCTCGTTCAAAGTAATAGTGTAAGTAATCTAAAACCAGATATACCAGTAATAGTATCTGGATGAGGGGCATAATATCTCATTACCCATGTTCCATGTTTCTAGCCGAAGTGCCTAATATACGGAAGTAACTGAATAGGTTGATTGGTGTGTCTCGTGGCTTTGAATGAGCTGCAGCTGCTTGAAAGGGCACGGGGAAAATGTTTCCTATTCCTGGGGTGACAAATGAGGCATGAAAATTTTAGCTCCGCAAAAGTAGGGAAGATGTTTCAAATCTAGGGGCTAGATTTGTTGTGGATATATGGAAATACCTAGAAATGATAGGTTATAAAGCAAGTAATGGTATCCAATCATTTTCTACAAATGCGTAGAAAAATATGTATTTCTGCAAAATCTCTTGATTTAAAGTATATCACTATTTCTTATTTAGAAATTATGTTGTCTTAATACCTATATATACCTGAATACCTTTTACCATGATGTCTGAAAGGCTACAATCTTTGCCAAAAAGAGTTGGAACACCTTCCCATTGCGGCATGCAAATAAACAAAGTAAATCTAAAACTACCTTACCAAGTATCACTGTCGGTTCAAAAATCTCGACCCCCTCCCCCCGTATAATGTTGATTTATTTTCTCTATACGTTCATACAGCTTCAAGTGAAAAAGATTTACCTTTACCATCAAAACAGCCAAATTGAACAACATTGTAGTAGGAGGTAGGGGGGATTTGTCGAAAAAAGCTTTAGCTTTACGCAAGTGTTCTAACAATTTTTGCAAGGATTGTAGGTCGAATGACACAAATAACCTACAAAGCCACAAATGTAAAAAAACAACCTTATAGACGAAGCACAACCTCTGTGGTAGAAGGTTTCGTTGGGTCATTGCAGCCCATTTCCGCCGAAGCCAGGGTTTCGTATTTCTAGTCATTCGGGGCATGATTTACTCAGGACCTGAACATGAAGTTTTCAGTATAGACATGCATTGATCCTGTTTATTCACCGGTTTGAGGAGGGGTTGGCCGCCTTGACAACCATTGCCACCTTCAATTTTTTTTAGCTTACCAGAATCATCAATGCGATAGACAGGGGCGCAGCTAAGGGGGGTGTAGGGGGCTGTGACATTTTTCCACATATTCATGAGTTGGTCGGTAAATTTTCAGTTGATCCACGATATCCTTATTTGATCAGTATAAATGTCTAGTGGTTTGTGAAATAGCACTTTCTCCACGTTTATACCTGCGATGGTAAATTTTATTGTTGATGACTCCTGTACCCCTAATCTGGAAGGCCAAGCTAGGCCGCAGGCGATAGGTCGAATATTCTGTGTCACTACCCACGTTTCGTAACAATCCGCGTAAATATCGTTTCGTAAAAATCCGCATTAAAGACAAGAATTGCAATCAACTAAGCGCCATAGGATTGACTATAGTAAGATACAGCTAAATAATAAACAATAAACTAAGTGTGCTATTTAACTTTGTTTCACAGCTCAAAAGAAAACTGCACACGCTACCTAACAGAAAAGATGAGTATGAACTGGAGCAGTTTCCAGTAGAAGTTCCTGAGAGATTTATCCTTTCACCAGAAGATTTAGCGCTTCTCAAAGATACTCAAGAATATAAAAATGATGGCATTGCCATGTTACACATCTCAGCAATCAAAGATAACGAATATAACAAGTCATCTTCATATCTTAATGACCTTCGAAAATTGTTTGAAAAGCAAGTTATTTGGACTATGGAAGAGGGCGATGATTTTGTGAATACAGAAGTGTTTACCGAACTTCACGAAGCTCTTATCTTGCTGGATGTACTCAAGAAATACGACGTGCCGTCTGTTGTGAGCTTTCTTGCAAAAAGGAATGAACCTATAGCCATTACATATAGTAAGATACAAATTAGCCTAGATTCTTTACTATTTTGTCTCTTCCAGTGATAAGGTATCTAAGTCCCATGTTATCAAGAGATATGTTACAGCTTGCATGGGCTCCGACAAAGGTTGAAAAGTGGGGGGGGGGCCAAGGGAAAATTTAACACCCATAGCAAAAGATTTTGAAAAAAACTCTATTGTTTTGCAAAAAAGTGGGGGGCCAAGGACCCCCCCCCCCCTTCGTCGGAGGCCCTGGCTTGACGTTGAGGGTGTCGCTAAGAAATGGAATTTGTCTGCTTAGGGCGAAGTTCTTCAATTAATACCCTCTACCAGGCTCGTTTTAATGTAGGAATTACTTTTGCCTGAGGGACTCGAATGACTGCTAACGTAGGCCAAAGTACTCCATATGTTAGTTTATGAGTTTGAATGCCAAAATGAGTGCAGTAGATTTTAGTATATCTTGGTTACTGGTCTGTTCTCGAGCAGTTTTAGCAAATAGTTTAGGGAATTCTAGGCATTTTGATAATGCATATGTATTTAGATAAACATGATTAGAATGCAAATCAAATGACTATATATTATACCTTATTAACCACAGCAAAGGAACACATTTTAAAGGCCAGCATTCTTGCCAAAAGAGATACCCTTGATTCGGTTTTGATCTAACTTCTAAAAGTATGTTTATAGGAATCTAGCCACCCCCTTTCTAGTTACACCATAACGTCTTTTATTCAGTCGTCTGCAAGTCCAGCCTGGCAGGTGCGCAGTGCCTGAAGAGGCAGACGGCTACAGCACCAAACTTGTCTATGTTTGAAATATTCCTATGTTGTGAGTCGGAATTAGTTAGGAAACCAATGTCTTTAGTGCCCCCTCCCCCATGTTTGAAATTTCATTGCACCCCTGCAGTCTGGTCAAATATGAAGTCTGCTAACTAGTATTGGAAAAACATTGTTGCTAGTAGTTTGTTGCCTAGTCTTCCGAAGCCTTAGGGCGTTTTGCCCCTAAATTATTGATATTGGAGAGAAAACAAAAGTGAATTTAGCATTGGTAGTATCACCCTCACCCCTTAAGACCAAAATCATCATGTTGTTTGAGCAAATCACCGTTGTTTGAGCAAATCATTTGAGCTTTTGTTTGTGTTACGTTATTTCATAAGATTCTTGCTCTACCCCAATGACACCAAATAAGGATCAGCTCCCGCCCACTTGTCAAATGATTCTCCGCTTTAATGGTGAAATTGAGAATTTCGGATGCTGGTCTTGACTACAAAAATAGTTTACTCTTTATGTTCTTATTCTTTTTGTTCTAACATTAACCTGGGCTTTTAACTCCTTAAAGAAAAATTCGCCTAGGAAGCTTAAATCGTTTTCGAATTTCTTTCAAGCTTTAAGTTTGTATTTAAGAGTTAACATTTGTAAATAGGTAAAAAGAGAGAAAGGATTGAATGCCATCTAAATTTGAGATGAGAGATTTATGAGAATTTATTAGCTAATTATATAATTATCAGATAATTTCATTGGCCACAGACTTGTTCTTTTCTTTGTATTCCTTCAGTTCTGCGAAACTACGGGGGAAAATATTTTTTGAAGGTGTCGTGATCATAAGGCAACGGAGTCAAAATAAGGGCTTCAAATGAATACGAAGTGTATCGGAGAATGCTTGCTATACACTTTGGAAGAATGTAAGTTGACAAAAAATGTACGCATTTTTATAAGGCTGGCCCAGGGGCTATAAAGAAAGGGACATTGATGCATATTTATCACTTATCACCATCTTCTGCTTTTATCGTTCATTCCTACTGAAGCACTTGCTTTCATCCTTCCTCCAGATAATTCCCTTAAGCTCTGAAAATCTTTCTAAAAAAACAGTTGAAATAAAACAAAGTTTGGGGGTGCAACTTAGGTTTCTTTTGTTTATATTCGCCTTACTCACGGTCTTTGACCGTATTTCTGCCATGTCATCTTTGCCTTACAAAAGAGAAGCAAGAGCCTCATTGTTAGGCAAAGTAATGTTGCATTTAGGCTCTTAATTTGCACAATATAAAGAACCTATTACATATTATTTTAAATTTTGCTTACCCTTAAAAACTAGCTACCCAAATGGTATTTATACGCTAATATAGTTTGCAAAAAAATTTAGTACCAGAATGAAAATATGTCATAAACAGTAGGCAGGAAAAACCTAAAACTAAGAGGAGCGATCCAAATTATAAAAAAAATCTGTTTACTTCAATTTTTCCCCAACATACGGGACTCCCATCATAACGAATGTAATGAAATTGAATGCGATAAAGAATCCCTCGTGCAACATTTTTAAGAAACCAGATTCAAGCTCTCAAAAAAAGGCTAGCCCTATACTCCGCAAAATAACCTGGTTTAGGTGCAAACGCGTGTTGAAATGAAGCGGGCCCTTCATTATTGTGATCCGTCATAATGGCAGAGCGTAAGATAATAAAACCTCTTCGCGTTCAGATTATTATTATCCTTTTTTTTGCAAGAAACGAATTAACATGACATAGTTACTGATTATTATTTATATGGGAAAATGATAGTAGCTATTTGTAACATTTGATGATGAAATCTTACTGAAGTTACCCCCGGGATCTAATCATCCAAACACTCCTCCACATCCCTGTCTCCTTAACTATCTCCAGGCTTGTAAAATCCAGATCCGTAATGTAATGTAGCTCTATCGAAGATACCGGTAACTCCAAAACAAAACTGCTCACTCCCGGACAAACACAAGAACCTGACAGATGGCTAAAGACTGAGTACCGGGAAGCATAACCAAAACATAACGACCGGAAACGATCGATGTGCAAAAAACTGTGGCTGTTGCACCTGCGTTAGGGTAGCCATAGAATCGATTGCATCTGAAAGAAAGGACAAGAATTTAGAAAGGTTTTGGATTTTCTATTTACAAGAACAATTTTATAGAACAAGAGCCTCGAAATTGGCTAAAGGACAAGAAAAAATGAATAACAAGCTGAGACTTAGCTACTGCAAGATGTGTTTTGTCTCAAAAACTAAGAATTTTTTGCTATCTAGAGGTGCTTTTCTGGTGAACTTTTTGGTAAATTGAGGATGTTTGTCTCACTTTGTTGGCAAATGAGGATTGTACATCCCCTAGAGCACGCTAGCTACCAATTGCTCTGTTTGCACTCTTGTAATTTAAAAACAAATTCAGCCTTAAATTTTAGAAAAAATAAGAACAGCCAGTCTGATATGCAATTTACTGGTTCTTTTAAAAAAGTGTAGTCGAAAAGCGGCAACATGACCTATCACAATAAACTGGGTTCGTCTGACATCATCAGAGTGCAAAAAATGTGGGTAATTATAAAACAGTGAACTAGATATATCAACTACTCAGGGTACCAGAGCTTAATGAATCTAGGGATACTTGCCCAAGTCTCATTTTTAATGAAAAAAACAATGAATTAGAGAAAAATGAAATGTGGGAGGCAGGGCACGGAGCGAGAAGGAGGGATAGGGCAGGGGAACCAGTTAAGCGAGTGGAGAGCAAGGAGTGGGAGGTGCTCTGGAGGGAAGTGCAGTCTGGTGAGGGGAAGGGGAGGGACGGAGGGGAGAGGGAGGGAAGGAGGGGAGGGAAGGAGGGTAGTGTATATATATAACTAACTGTGAATTAAAAAGAATGTAAAGAGAATTCAATTATATATGCCCTAGTCTTCTTGATACCGCTTTATATTGAATTTGTAAACCATACCTGCTAAGACCTTACAATAAAATGCTGATATTTTGATAATCGCCTTGCTACATTGCTTTTAACAGAAGCATACCAGGGCAAATTTTCTATGTCGTTGCATTTAATGTACGCCTCTAACTTTCACAATCTGGGATTTCTGGGTGGCTAATGTAGAATTGGTCCTTTTTCCAAGCCTTGTCATTAACACTAATATGCGAGTTGGGTATGTAACAGAGAGGATATGTTGGTGCCCTGTTGCTAGATCTGTTAGAGACCATGAATTGCTAAATGCAAAATTACATACATACAGTGGCATCGCCACGGGGTGGACAAAGTTACATACATACAGTTTTCCCAGAAGTCGATTTTCTACTTTCTCGAAATTCATTGAAAAACCTTTGGGGGGGAAGGGGAATTGGGCTGATCAGATCGATTTCGATTTTCGCACTGGCAAAGAAGCCACCGTTACGAAAAATGCTGCTTGAGAAAGTTGCTTCTCCAAAGTTTTCAAAATAGATAGAAAATACTAAAAAAAGATTTTCCGAGAGTCTGAAGGACGTGACGGAGAAAGTTTGTTTTTTCCACCCCAGTTTTTTTGAGCTGGCGACGCCACTGCATACATGAAGATTCAGCAAGAAGACTGCCTTTGAAAACTATAGCTATCTAGCAGTGGCGTAGCGTGAGCGCAAAACTTAGGCATGCGGTAACATAAAATATACGGCTATATTGAAAAAATGTAATGGTAATTTCAGTTTCTAAAAAATACAAGCGGTAATTAATGATAATCGTGATAGCAAATTTTGATTTTCAAAGTAACAAATCTTTAGTACTCTAATTCTAATCAATCAAGGTGTCTATTCTTTTCATTAGAGGCTCCGACAGAGGTTGGAAAGTGAAGAGGGGCCAAGGGAAAAATTATCACCCATGCGAAAGTTTTTGAAAAAAGCTCAATTGTTTAGCAAGACTTTTCAGAATAACTCCTAGTGCTAAAACTGCTTTGCAAAAGATTTTATTCTTAATCATATTCCTCAAGAAAAGGCATCACCTAATGCCCACCTAATGTAAGAATTTTTTATGCTATAATGAAGCTGGGGATTCCCGCAAGAAGGAGCTCTCCACATTGCGAAATTGTTAACACACTGCAGAGCCTAAGCGAACAGGAGCAACAGTTTCTGCTCATTTTTTACTCTCATAGTTAACTAAGATGAAAATAGTGAGCTGTGAGAGTTGTTAGAATTGAAGATGCTTCCATGTGTGAAGTTTCAGAAAGTTAGTCCCGGCAAATCATCATGTATTTAGCAAGGCTTGCGCTCAGGTCTACCGCATGCCCTGGTCCGTAAATTCTGACTATACTGGCAAGCCTTTTGACTTGAATTACGGAATGCGGATCATGACAAATAGACTCTGACCCCACTTTGACGAAACTTTTTCTCTTTTCAACAGTCACAAAGTAAAGAAAGGAAAATAATTGGATTTGAAATGATGTATCACGCAAAGAGTATTCGCAAAAAGCAGCTTATAGGTAGAAAAATGTTGTGGATTATCAAATATTCGGGAAGGCTTGCGCTCAGGCCGACTGCAAGCTCCAGTCCGGAAAATTCTCACTTCTCTCAGAAGCTTCTCTCGAGTTGCACTGAAGCTGCACTGGAGCATCACATGTTTCTCTTATTTTGGACAGGCAAAAAGAGTGATGTGGAGGGGCTTCAGTTTTTCAGATTTTTCGAATTTCATAATTTTTAGCGATCAGTTTACTTGGAAAAATAGCCAATTTGGGGCCAATTGGCCTGTTGGCGCTAGAGTTCACTGCATGCTGCTCATGACAAGAAAGAGAAGCCGTTTATTGCGGAAATTGTTATGCATTGAAAGTGTTGCAAGAATTTTAGAATTTGTCTATAAATTTCTACGCTTGCGCCGCAAGCGTAGCATACATAGACGCTACGCCACTGCTATCTAGCACATTGGAGACAAAGGCTAAAGTAAATCGGGCTTTAAGCACACGGAAAATAACAAAAAATAGTGGTGTTGCAAGGATCGGTTCTAGGGTCTTTTTGCTCAATTTATTTAAAGAAGATAGTCTGTCACTTAATTCAGGCAGTAACTGATCAGAGGCAACTTTAGTTTTAAAGCCAACACGATTACAGTACAAGGTCTAGATACAGAATCTTAGGGCTGTACGTAACGTTTTTTGATAAAGTTTGCTAGCTAGATTACTATATTAGGAAATACCAAAAGGATTTCTCTCCTCTTTCTAAATGAGGCTTAAATATCGAACAACTAGGGCCGTTATAAAATATTAAGTGTATGCCTAAACGTCCTCCCCCTCCCCCCCCCCCATGCCCGTGTTTCTTTAAAACTTCAAATCACCGGACTTCTACTTACAATGCATTAGTTTGAATGCTGCTAAGATTATCACCGACGTAAACATGGAAATCCGCTAGTCTTTCAGGACAGCAGTCTCCACGATTTGTAACTTTCACAGTGCCAATCGAATACGTTGCACCAAGGTCGACACGCCACCATGGCTGGAGCTGCTGAGCTGTATGTGCACAAAACCCAAAAAGGTAGTTTGTGCCTGTCTGACCATTTACTGCTCGAGAGCTGGAATCAAACCCGTCCCAGATTGACGAATGCGCTGTTGGTCTATTTAACGCAATGTTACCTGCAAAAGTGTTAAAAATTTACTGTCGATAGGCAGGTTATGCAAATGAAAGCAACGTTAATTAGCTTGGAGGTATTAGCGTGGGAACTGGGCCTAAGAGGCGCGTGCCTCCACTACTTTCTTCAAACAATTAGGAGAAATTTCCCCTTTCTACGAGTCTCTGTAATTCAAAATAATGCCATTTTCATCATGCCCTCGTAGAAAAGATGGTAAAAAAATGGCTACCCATTCTGCTTTAGTCTGGCGTCTAATATAAGGTGTAAGTGGTGGAAAAGGCCCTTTCAGTTTGCAACAAAGAATCTCACTTTAAGTGAACGTCGAAAATGCCTTAGATTTGGTTGAATTAAGTGTAGGCAAGTTTAAATGGTAGAACAAGGGTTAATTACTGGCTAACAGCAAAATTTTATGTACAATATGTTATCATCCATAATATATTCTGCAGTGCAAAACAGTGATGGAGGGTTATGGCCTCCCCCTTTTTGGAGGCCTTGTCAGTTGACGGCATATTGACGGGCAAGGCCGGTTCAACTTCTGAAAAGTTTGGTGTAGTGCACTGGCGGTTTAGGGGGGGGGGCTCAGTCCTGCGATTTTTTGACGAAAAGACAGACTCAAGGAAGGCAGATCAAGATAGATCTCTTTAACTGTCAGATGCACCCTTCTACCAACTGGAGTGTCTATTTGGTCAATAAAGAACGCCAATGTCTAACTTTTTGTTACATAAAGGCAGTTTCCAAATCATAGCAACCATGCAAAGAATTCTTTAAAACGTATTACCCATCCCCGAGCATTTTCACATTTAATTTGGAACAAAAAAACCTATCCAGCCGAAGTAAGGTTAGGGGTCAGTCCTTCCCAATTTTACCGCCATTAAACTCTACAAAATCAGGTGTTGGAAAGCTCAAATTATCCAACACGGATGCGAACTATGCTGTTGCGCATTAGGTTTGTACGAGTCCTTCGACTGACATGCTTTTGCTGTGTGATCACATGTGACTGATCGCATGAAATGAAGCGTAGGTCTGTTGTGGCTGATACCATAAAATGTTAGACTTTAGATATTAGACAAAATTTCTATTTGAGTGTAAATATTATTGTAAACAAACATACTGAGTTGACATCTTGATCCAGCAAATGAGCGAGTACACAAGCATGAAAACTGGTTTACATAATTCCTACAAGTGCCCCCATTCATGCAAGGGTTGCTTTCACATTCGTTGATATCTAGAGAGAGAAACGGAGAAAAAACATTATCAATGGACAGGCAAGGCTAAGAGGCACAGTTAAGGCTTAATTCCCTAATCTATATTCGTTATGTCAATATTCGTTTCGATCTTTTTTATTTCAATGAAAATGCTGTGAAGAAAACTAGGTGTACACATTGAACAGGATTCAAAAGAAATTTCTTCTTGTTTACTTTTTCAAAACGATCTGAGTAGTTGCGTCTTCATATTTGATAAATTATTATATTGCCCTCTTTTCAAAGTGGATTTTCAAAAGTATCAATGTTCATACTGGCGTCGGTTGATCGTCGGCAAAAATTTTGCGCGTCGCTTTGTGGTCGTAGCGGGGTCGTATCTTACAGGCACAAATGCACTTAACATATTTTTGCTTGCCAACCAATGCGTTAGGAAGCAAAAATGGTGGTATAATGTGAACGACTGAATCCAATACGGTTTGGAAATTTATCGACAATGAATTTGCCTATTGTTACAAAGAAAACAGTTATCGCAAAATTTTAAATAACTCTGTTAGAAAAACTATTACCCGAAACTCATAAGTTTTCAGCATCATGGTTTCCAGGTACAATTCACGAGAAGTGCCAAGAACCATGCAAGAGAGACATGCATGGACCTTCTAAATAAAGTATCATGTTAACATGCGATGATCTCCTTCGGTCTCTCTTAGAAGCTCAATGCGCAATGGTTCAGCTTTCACCTGTTGATCTGGAGTGTCTGTACAGAAAGCAGTGCTTTTGATGGGGGCAATTGCTCTTCTGGCACAAGTGGCATTCAATTGTTTGAGACTTTATAATATTGAATTTATACTGAAGTCCTTTAGAAGAGGCTATATGAGAGAAATAGGGGTCAACTCACCAAGATCCACTTGTGATAATCAAAAGAGAAATGCTCATTAAAAGGGTAACATTTGTTGTAGATAGCCAATGCACTGAAGAAGTAATCCCTTACCGGTACACTGGTATCCAAGGGTGACATCACAGGTATCAGTGCATCGGTATCCAAGGCTGCAAGGATTGACAACACACCGTGGTCCGGGCTAAAATGAAACAACGAATGCAAGTGATGAGGGACAAAGATTCCAGGTCTTTCAGTGATAACTGAAGCTTTGTATCATTGTGTGACTACCTTGAAAGAATCTAAAAACAGAGTACTAGAAGTAAAGAATTTATCTTTTCTCGAGACAATAGCCAAAGACTCTGAACTGAAAACCTTTTCCCCTTAAACCTTTCAAGTGACTCGTACCTGTGACGTTGGTTCGGAATGTATCCATCCAACTAAGCTTGAGAATTCCGCATCGTTGCTGGATAGGTTTATAGTTAGCAGTTGACAATTATTCTCTTGGTTAGATCCAGGTGTGGACTTATAGTTTATGGAGGAGCATATGGGATTCTTGATGCACTGGCGAACGCAAGATGGCAAGTTTCTGGTGCGGATGGAAGAAATCAAACCTCCAGAATTTCCAACCAGAATTTGATTTCGGTTTGTTGTTTTAAACAACGCAGCACTTCTGCAGCTTGATCTGTAGATTGGCTGTGTACTCTGCCAGGTAAGAGGTAACAGCAAAAACAAAGAGACAAACTGCTGATCTTGAAACATTTCACACAGTATGCAAATATCTAAACCTACCTACGTTCTTATTGGATATAGAAAACTTACTCATCCATGAAGTGGGTCACTCCATATTCTGTGGTTAGATTACAAACAACTCGAGTTAGTATGAAAGGGTGTAACGTGTTTTGCATGTATGATTCAATAGCATACGAACCACGACCCAGAGGTGTAAATTAAATAAGAAGTTAGCTTCATTATCTCAATTTAATTTGTACGATTCTCTACCAGCTTCACACTGGCAAGAATTCAAGATGGCAGAAGCAGTGGTGGCGCCAGAGGGGGGGCAGGGGGGGCTACAGCCCCCCCGTCGGAGGAGGCTAGCCCCTCCGTCGGAAGATAAATTATGCTTGAATTTTTTTTGTCGGAGCGAATTTTTTAAGTTTTGGCGGAAATAGAAATTTCTAAAAGGACTGTTATCAGAATTCAGGAAGCTCATCCCAAAACAACTCATCGACACATCAATTTCATGGTAAATAATAATCTGTTATAAGAAGTTTGAATTGGTTGTTTAGATGTTCAGTACCAGGTGTTTTCCGCATGCTGTTAAATTTGATCTTATGTTATGGATAGTGCAGTTCGTCCAAATCTTGCTTGCTATAACCAACCTACAACATCGGAATATTTTTGTGCGATAGCGATATGGCAACAAATGTTACCCGTTTCAGTGTTAGATGTAGTATATGTAATGACGTATTTAACAATGATTACGCTGCCCGCCACACGAAGTCCAAGCACAAAGATTTGGCTGCAATGGGAAGGACTATGTCAATAAATATGTCAAAAAACGTAGTAAAAAACACGATTACACCATTTTGATAGCATTTTTAGCCAATCTAATGGGTGTAGCCACCAAAATTTTCCCGGGGGAGTACCCCCGGACCCCCGAATTTTCGGCTCGCAACGCTCGCCTTCGGTCTCCAGTACCCTTACAATTCCTTGTCGCCCCCTAGCCCTATCGTTCTCTAAAAAAATTAGCCCCTCCGTCGGAAGTGCTAGCCCCTTTGTCGGAGGAAACCTAGCGCCACCACTGGGCAGAAGTATTGATTCTATTTCTGGTTGTTTTTGAAAAATAGAGATAATATTTGCATAACCTGTCACATTTGCTGAGAATTTGAAATCGACAGGTGATATTAATTAGCTGCTATTAGTTACTGCTGCTGGAACTCCAAACAATCTCGACGAGCAACATCTTCTCAAGTAGTGTTTAGGCTAGCATATGTTCCAAACTTTAGTTTGATGTCTCGAAAATCCTCGGTGTCGTTTTATTAAAGTTTACTCACAGGCACGCACCAGGAATTTCAGAGGGCAGGGGTCCAAGACACAAAAAGGGCACTAAGAAAAAATTTTATTCAGTTATAGCCTGCTTTATATTTTCACGTTTAGAAACAGAAGATACGCCAGGGTGCACTTCATGCACGCCGAAGGTCCACCGGGGCATTTGTTTGGATACGCAGAAAATATGAGCTGTTAGCAAACCTGTAAATATTGTACGCCAGACAAAGAAAACTGATCAATAGAGAAATATTGTGGTGCATGAGTCTATATTTCATTTCTTCTTTTGTTAACTATCTACATGGCTTCGTCTAGTTTCTCCAATCTCAGCGGACTTTCCCTTTATGTCTGCCATGCAGGGCCGCCGAGAGGTTTTGGAGGCCTGAGGGGCGAATTGAAAAGACGAGGCCTCTTGCGAGCGAAGCGAGCAAACAAATTGTGACCACGCCCTTACGAAGAGCTTAAATTTATTTATTCGTTCATAACGATTCACTTTTTTAAGTGTATTTTTTTACTTCTATAGTTAATTCCATGTTAAAACGGAGTTCATTGCTTTATGATGCCCCCTAAACCGCAAGCCCCGAGAGGGGCAATTTACCCCCTCTCGGCCATCCTGCTGTCATCTCCTTTTCCCAGGGCCAGCTCGCTTTTGAAAAGCAGCCCGTCATCATCTTTCATATCCGAAGTCAATTTGCTCTTTAAAATGTTGAGTTCGGCTGGTTTCTGTCTGCAAGTCGCGACTTCAGCTCAGTTGTTATTCTGACAAGGAATGGAACAGTTGAACATCAACTTATTGTGCCGTCTTCACTGCTTGCTAATACCAGTCCGCGAAAGTTCCTCTACAATCGCTCGTTCCATGCAAAAGTCCTCTATGACCCTGTAAATTTTATGGACCATGGGACAGGCTTGAAAGATGTGTTGGTTTCTTTCTTGTAGCCTTTTTACGAGTGGTCGTAGAGGTTTTTGAGTCCCAGAACCATTCTTCTTCAAACCAATGCGTAGCGCATCATAAAACACGCTGTAGAGTTGGGGTTTCAACGTAGGCTCTATTACTACAACATGATAACGTTCGACCCAACAAATATGTGAAAGTCTGACATAAATGTGTATTGACATAAACTACATTTAGCCAAGGTTGGCAGATAGATTTAATCCTCCACACTTTACAAACCAAAAACAGTTCAAGAATTTGACAATAAATATGCCTGGAAGCTCAATCTTGACAGACAAATTCCCTGTCTGACTGACAAACTGTTAAGACAAACTTATATTTTGAAAATTCAAAACAATTTCTGTAACCGACATAGCCTGTAATCACAGTATCTAAGAGTAATTCAAATAGCCTCAACATTGAAACAGGAGGGGTTGGGAGAGGCTTTTTTGTACCTTTTTTGAAAAGTGTAATGATTCTTCGAAAATGTCAACTGTTTATGTCCGGAATTGTAGATTTAGGCCTATTTTGCTTGTTTTTACTACCCATAACAAACAATAGTTTAAAATATTATGAAAGATAACCTAACGTTACGTTGTTTGTAAAATTTATTCTTTGATAAATTTATAAAAGCTACCGCTGTATGAAGTAAAAGTTCTCATACGATTCTTAGTTACAAAGGCTTGAAATGACCAATCGCAACCCTCCCAAGAAATCTAGTTCTAGAAAGTTCTAGGGAGTTCTAGAAACTCAGATTCGTTAAATGCTTAAATCCATTTAATATGAACCTGACATAGAAAGGTAAAGGCATTATATCCAATAGACCTATGGTTACTGCAAGCCTATTTTTAACTCTGAACGATTGAATGATGGGACATAGTGACTTCAACGTTAATATCTCTTCTATATTTGTCAAAGAGACAAAATAGAGTGGAAATGTTGTAGGTGCGAAGTGTTTTGGGATTAAGCGGAAAAGGGGCGCACAAGCAACTAGTGTAGCCCTTGGATTTTTAGATTACAAGTTTTATTTCTGCCGAAGTGTTGGCTCTTCTGTCGTGTCCCTATCTTTATAGGCCGGGCTAGCCAACATTTAGGAACAAATCTTAAAGATGCGATATTGTGATGCGATTACTGCAGGGATGGCGCCACCGGGGGTGCTTGGGGGGGCTGGCAGGAGCCCCCCAAAAATTCATTGAGCCCCTCCGTCGGCACTTCAACTTTTGAAAGATTTTAAGCAATGTCGGCACTTTCATAACTTCCACTTCGTGATTTTTTTAATTTTTTTTCGTTGTTTGATTTTTTTCAGTTATTTTTTCATTTTTTGAACTGGAAATACCACAGCGGAAAAGGTGTTATATTAGATCTTTGTTGATGGTTCGCTCCCCCAGATTTTTTTTTTGGCGCCATCCCTGGGGACAAGCTCCCGTTTTGCTTGCAATATAATTCCCCATTCCATCATACATTGCATGAGATTTTAAGAATAAATAAAGGCATAAATATACTAATTTGATAATGGGCTATGCTCGAAACGTCGTTTATTAATTCGTTAATTTTTTCAAGTATAACTCCTAGTTTAATTGAATTATGATATAGTTTGCAGTAAACTGATTCCCAACTACACAAATTTGAGACACACTTTGCTTACCCGACGAGTCAGCCCGGGCCGAGTCAGCCCGGGCCGAGTCAGCCCGGGCCGAGTCAGCCCGGGCCGAGTCAGCCCGGGCCGAGTCAGCCCGGGCCGAGTCAGCCCCGGCCGAGTCAGCCCCGGCCGAGTCAGCCCGGGCCGAGTCAGCCCGGCCGGAGTCAGCCCGGGCCGAGTCAGCCCGGGCCGAGTCAGCCCGGGCCGAGTCAGCCCGGGCCGAGTCAGCCCGGGCCGAGTCAGCCCGGGCCGAGTCAGCCCGGGCCGAGTCAGCCCGGGCCGAGTCAGCCCCGGCCGAGTCAGCCCGGGCCGAGTCAGCCCGGGCCGAGTCAGCCCGGGCCGAGTCAGCCCGGGCCGAGTCAGGCAGCCCACCTAGACTGCCCGGACAAAATCATCCCAGATCAACCTTGCTTAGGTAACTTTGGGTTCACACTACTGAAAATATTACTTGGGTTCACTTTACCCCCTACCCTGGCTGAAACAAGCTTCGATAGTATAGTGTAGACAAGACATTAGACGTTCATGACAGGGTCATACACAAATAATATCATCTATTATTTAAAGATTTTTAGGCCCCCTGTCCCCTTTCTCACCACCTGTCTGAACCCCTCTATTTTATTGCTACACATTCATTTGAAAAGGAGAGCAAAGCAAAAAAGCATAATTTCTTTTTTATCAAAAGAATTTGCAGATCTAATGTTGCGAAAATTATATTTTTGATAAGTTGCGAACATTAAAACAACTCTGAAAGATACCTTCTTAAGCCTGCCTAGTTCGAGATTTCTCCAGGCTCCGAATTCCCAGAAACATCCTTTATTTATGCTTCTTTTTATGCAAATTTTCGTCTATAATTTTAATTCATATTTTATCTGAGTAATCAAGAAAATCAACAAAACTGATTTCTCTACCACGTTCGTTGCTTCAGTGTTTAGTCTATAGAAACTAACAACTCTTACAAATCTCAGCGCGTTTTAAAGATATGGTGAATTTTTTAGGCAGCTACTGCGATCGGAGAAAAATAACTCACAGCGCTGACTTACAGCTAAAATTTAACTGTACCCAAGAGAGGAAAAGATTGAATGGTGTAACCTGTTGTTTAGAATGCATTGAGCATGTCGTGTCTAAGCAAAATTGAGCTGATAGAATGACTGTAATACATTTAGAAAATTACAATATGAGTACCAGGAAGAAATAATGTTCAAAATAGCTCGGAAAAGTGGAACAAAATTCACTTGAACTCTTCGTCCGACGCTTAATAATGAAAGCAA